CGAGCAAGTTGAATATGTTACCGTACCAGATCTGACGGAGGAAACAGCTTTCCAAGGAAAGTTGAATGGAGTCGACTACATTCTGCACTTGGCTTCCGCTGTCCCTCGAGGCACAGACAAGAAGGACTATTTCATCCCGGCTGTTAAAGGAACAACTGTTTTGCTGAAGGAAGCTGCCGGCGTCACAAGTATCAAGAAAGTCGTCGTAACATCGTCCAGAGCTGCTCTGATTCCGCTCACTGGAATACCCGCAGGCGGTATCGTGAAAGGTAAGTCACTCTGGTTTGGTAATTCTCGACATCAGCTGATCTTGTATTTTCCTTCTATTTTCAGAGGACAACGATTGGGACTTAAGCGTGGACGAGAATGCAAGCTTCGAGGTCCCCAACGACCCCGCTGCCACGGCTTTCAGACTATACCACGCATCAAAGCTGCTGTCCAACAACGCAGCTTGGAGCTTCTGGCGAGACGAAAAACCCCACTATTCACTGGTGTCACTTCATCCAGCCTTCGTGCTAGGGCATAATCTAGTCCAGTCATCTTCAGATGAAATTGGATCCAATAGTGTTCTCTGGAAGCCCATCATGACTGGCAACTTCGGCCGTTCGGTTGCTGGAGTGCATATCCAGGACGTTGCCGAAGCACACATCAAAGTCCTGAATCCGGATATCCCTGATGGTTCAAAGTACCTGCTGGCCGGTAAACCAATAACTTGGAAGGAGGTCGCTCAAATCGTGCACAGGGACTATCCTAATGTCGGTACAAAGATTAGTATGGACGCCGAGGGGGGAACAGTGCCCTACGACAACACCAAAGCAGAGCAAGAACTTGGGATGAAATGGCGCTCCTGGGAGCAAATGATTCATGAAGTGATGGATCAACAGCTTGGTTTGGTCAAGGAACCAACCATATAGGTCTTGAGACGGGTTTAAGGAGTGTTGTAATTCAGAGAAAGATTGATTGTGATGATTCACTTCCGAAAGCTTGACGCTTTATACACAAAAATAAATATCAGACCGATTGGAAATCAATTTAATTGTATACGCAATAAGTTCCGTACACCGAGCTCTATTACTTGATCGAGCCTCGATTCACAACAACCTGAAGCAGCCTTATTATATTGAGGTTTCGCATATTGCAACACTTATAATCAGCTTGCGGTAAACTAATGGGACAAAACCGATACATGGGTAGAATCTTTCTGAAAGTACCTAGATGAGATACAGGTGTTTCTCCAATTGCAGACAGACTGATTAATACTATAATACTACAATGCAGATTTTTTACAAGATCCAAAAATTATATATATACAGGCAAGTCACAAAGGTTCTAATGGAGCTGTGCTGAGGCTATAGCCTTCTGCTTACAGCTTATCACCATTTTACATCCCCTTTCAGCTATTTCTGAGATAGTCCCATAAAGGATATGCTCTAATCCGCCTTGCAATGATAGAAGTCATCAGGGTGCAGTAGTTACTTATATTACAGCATATTATCCCATCATATAGTATGGTGCTATAGTATCTGAATGCATTGATTTTTAGCCATAGTACTACACCTGCAGGTTAGATACTAACACTAATATCTTCATCTCCACTAGACACCTCCAGGACTTTGAAGATCATTCTTTACTATATCTAGCAGCTTTCTATAGGTCCTTTACTGCCATTTAGTAATAAAGTAAGAGAGGTTTAAATAGACAGTCTACTAAGTAGGTAAATCTCCTTTATATAAAGTAATAAACACCTCTGAATACAGCTTCAAGATTTAAATAGAGGGATCAGGTTGTTCCTTTATGAATATCAATCACCTGGTTCATTTTGAGAAAGCATCCATCTATATGCCGTCAGCAACTAAGCGCAATATTAAGTTAATAAACATTTATTTATACACTTTCTAAAACGCCACTGAATCACTATATTTTTTATCAGTAGCCGGAGCCCTTTTCTTATAACTAATTTTATTTAGTTTACTTTTTTATTCTTCCTAATACTCCATTATAAACCCCCTTAATTCAGTAAACTTACAGAGCTCCTCCGCTTTTCTTCTCAGGTTAAAATCATTTGAGAATGAGTCATGTAACATCATTGAAGGATAAGGAGGAAAAGCTAAGAGAAAATAGATTACAGAAAAAAACTACTTATAGATAGGAAAGGAGATAATGGTTAAGCAGAGAGGAGGCCCTCATATTTAAGCTAGCAATAGAGGGGTTCTAGTCATTATAGAATCACTCTATCACCCACTAATCACCCATGCTCACCCATGCTGTTGGATAAAATCACTTAGCTTACCTTCACTCACCCATACTCACCCTATGGTTTAGCGTCTCTCACCTGTAAAGCAGCAGGCCTTCAAGGGCGCATATAACTTCCAACCACGTTGATAATACTAGCTTAAGTACGGCTGAGCGGACGGGAAGCCCTGTTTTCCACACCCTATGGTCGTATGTGCCAGAATATGAAGCTTTGAAGATTATATCCAAATTCCTTGGACAAGTTATAGGAGCTGGTGTCGAAGCGTGCTGTTGAATCTTAAAATCTACGGTCTAGTGGAAGCACAGTAACCAAATCGGAAGACCTTATTCGCATCTGAAAATTTGAAGCCTCATAGACAAGACGATCAACGTATTGATTGGAATTTATATATGGAATAAATTCCATATACGAAATCTCTATTGTCTGCTTGATCGAGCCTCGATTCACAACACTTGGGATAAGTTACCACTATGGCTATGTATATGAACTCTTGGACGGACGAGGACATCGTCCGGAAGTATTTCTGGCCCAGCACCATTATATTTCTGTAGAAACAATTCTAAATCATCTAAGTCCCTGTAATCCCCTGAAAAGCAACGACAAACTGCAGCATCAATGTGCAAATGCGGTCTGTGAGAACAGCTTCAAGGATACTGTCGCAACCATCGCTCTGCATGGCAAGCGAGGAAACTTCCATCCCGGCACACCTTTCGTTTTTGTAGCGTCTTTCGTAGCCGATGTAGTCTTCCCAACGAGCCGAAGTCCCCGAGATTGCTAGTTCTATGAAGGTGGATCGCAATTCGCGAATACTTTCCTCAAAGCACTTGCCTCGCACAAGCCCATTTCAGTTCCCCCTACCAGAAAGAAAGCTGCTCGAGATGCCCAAAGAAAGTCACACCATCGCCTTCCCAGACACCCTCGCCTTGAGCATAAGCTTAGCTTATATTATATTCATTAGTGCCGGGGAGCGGGCGGAGCTCACTTTCTCTTATCAACTGGCGGATATTAAATTGCGCTTACCGAGTCGGTATATCGAGCTTAACCTGCTGGAAATAGTCCAGTCCACTATATTTACTTTTCCAAACATCAAAAGCTGTGGTGTTCTTGCCCACTTCTACAACTTCGTGAACGCCATTGGGATGCCAGACTGTTGCCCAGGCTGGGACGCCAAAGGGCTGCTTCACGGTAGGGCCTACGACCCATCCATGAATCATCAATCCATTCGAGAGATAGAGCCAATATCCATAATGGCCACCAGATATCCCAAATTCACCCCACTGGCGCTCAAAGTATCCTCGGGACTGATCATGATCAATTGTAATTTCCTCCCCATTCACAGTGAGCGTACCATTCAGACGTACAGTCGGGTTGCCCTAAAGCGACAAGCTTGTCAGTGGCGGAAAGAATTTTGTTCAGTTTAGTACCAAGAGTACCCCGGTATAATGCTCCGGAAATCATTGCCACTGCTCGACAGGGTAATACCACCCCTTCCACTGACGTACAGATTCTTGCTAGTTGGGTTAATGTGTACATGGAGCTGCACCCCAGCATAGTTTGCGGAGACGGTCAAGTCAGTGTAATTGTCGGATCCACGAAGACTGGTCAGATACTAGATTTCCGAACGGAAGTTAAGAAACTCCATGCTTCCACTACCAGGAGCAAAAAACAGTCGTGCCAATGGATGAGAGATCCTGGAGATGTTCTACCCTGAAGATGCCGGTGGTGCTGCCGCGGAAAACGTTCGGTGCTAATGTTACGTGGTACTTGCGACCGTGCATTGTAGTCAACTAGAAAAGGAAGAAGTAGCTTTTACTGTTAGGAGCCCGATGCCCAATGCATGATTGCGGGGAACAAGACATAGCTGTTCAAGTTGTTGGGATTCTCCTCGTCAAACCAGACCATGGTCTTTCGAACATCATAGCGACCGGCGCGGGTCTTTCATTAAGGTCAGCATCGTAGGCTTCAGGAGATCCGGCAAAACTCACCCCATCGCTATCGATTGTGCGGACCGGGAATCTCGGTGGTACAAAGGAAGGCACTTTGAATCCGTCGACAGCACTTAAAAATCGCCACAAGGGCGATGAGCTGGGATAAAAATCTATAATGCAAAGAGATGAAGCCGCTTATATACTCTTGGTAAATGAGCCGAGCGAAATTGCAGGCACTCGCAATGATCACCGGGAATTAGATTATTCAAAGTATTCGCTGATTATTGATGGAATAAGTCTGGTCATTTTCCTATCATTTACCTCGCGTGGGTTAGGGTATATCCCTCTAAATTATACTACAGGAAGCAGCGAAAAATCCCGGTATAACAGGCGCCAAGCATGTCGTACTCGTTTCATTCTCTAAGTGGGGTATGCTTCGTCAAAGTTCTCCATATGTTGCGGGGCGGCAAAGGAGGATGTTGCACAGGCCATCATATCTGATTGGACCGTGATTTGATCTACTCTGCATATCTTTTCGTGGCTACTGCGCGCTAATTCCTGGGCTGTTGCGGGGTGGAGCATGTTCCGGAGAAGTGTTGTATCATTGCGAACATACTAATGGCTACTAAACCAGAGTGGATCAGCAGCACCGGAATAAGGTTTGAGAGTCATTCGTACTCGTATCCATTGCAGAATTTAGGAAATGCCGCTGTGGCTATGGGTATGAGAATGAGGGCCCTCTTAACTATGATATTCTTGAAGAATCCTCCGCAATCCTTTTTCTCCTTTGCTCCAGGGGTTAAAATAAGGTAACCATAATGGCTTCTCGAACTAAGAGAACTGCCCCCATCGAGCATATCACAGAGAATGAGGACCTAGTCAGTCTCCTTTCGCCCGGTTTTTCCTCTCTCATGATTTGTCCAAATTTATTAATACGCCGATAGGCAGAGGCATCCTCATCATGGACCACCACCGCTCGTTCCTTCGGCCGCTGGGTCCTGACGCCCCTGGGGTTTGCAATCTTGGTCTATGGCCTTAATGTAATTGCATGGGGTGGGATGTTATTCCTACTACTGTGCAACGCGGCACCAGCAATGTGCCATCCGAGCTGCAATGATCTGTACTCCTCTCGCCGGATCTGGATCGAGATCGACTCGCAGATCCTCAATGCGCTTTTTTGCGTCACAGGGTTCGGACTTGCGCCCTGGCGGATTCGGGACCTCTACCTGTGGTGCCGTTGGCGACTAGGCCGGGGAGCAGGAAACCGGCGGAAATGGTTCAATCGTCTTGCAGCGATTCACGCGAATTGGTTCTACCAAGGGCCCCAGCCAAATGGGAGTTCTCTACTTCCTACAACTCAGGATAACCCCTCTGAAGAACGAAGTCCTACGCCTACGCCGAGATGCAAACTACATGTGGTAATATGGGGCAATATCTTGAATACAGTCTTTCAGGTCTGCCTTGCTGCTTGTATGTGGGCGATGAATCGATTTAACAGGCCAAGTTGGACTACTGGGCTCTTTGTCGGTCTTGCTTGTGTGGCGGCTGGAGTTCCTGGGATTCTGATGTGGTTGGAGAAAAAACGAATCAAGAAAGCCAATGAACACCCAGGGGCTCTGTTGTTGATACCGCGTTCCACACAATATAGTTTACTGGGTGGCAGATCTCACACAGCAGGATCAGGAAACAACACCACAGAAGCGCCATAAGAAGCTTTCCGTGAGCAAAGAGCAGACTTGTCAGGGCTGGGAGTCTGGCTGGGGCGTTGGACAGTCTGAAGAATTTTGTTAATGCGAATGCAGATACAAGGCCCATTACACCTAGGAGGAGAGGTAGTTTGGTGGAGTGGAATACGCTGGGCGAAACGGAACTTCGACAATGGAAGGACTTGCTGGCCAACGCGAGCGAGGAGGAGGATTTGTTTGAGCGCCATGGCTACTGAAAGTAGGATTGACAAAGCGGTTGCGTTAATACAAGACAAGGAGGCGTCGGCTGGGCCCGCGAGCCGAAATCCTGCTCATTCAGGGAGTGCGCAGGGCAAGGAGACGGAGCGGACTCACGAGATGGATAAACAAGATGTTTTGCGATTGCGGAAGCACTCGATGGAGGATCAAGATATGAGTATCGAGGAGCTGAGGGAGATTGTACCTCAATAGCCAACGAACATGCAAACTACAGCCTCAACGTTAGGAAAGAGCCGGCCATACATCTTCGCCTACCACAACAGAGTTTCAAAAGAAGGCACCCATCTCTCGAAGATACGTGGCATTTAGCAATTGAACAGGAACTTCAGAACAAGTCACGAGTCGCGTGAGCACCGGAAGAGCCTCTATGTGGCTTCTAAGACAGTCGCTTTGCAAATCAAGAAAATTATGGTAGCATTATATAAGAATACTAAGCATAGAGAGAAAAGGAAGTATGTACACAGACAAGATAACTATCTACTAAGCGAGGTGATGTAAACGAATCAAGCTGCTGAATGTAGTGGGCTGTCGATCGACGCAGAAAGTTCATGGTGACGAGTCGCCACAGTTTCTACAGAAGGCCAGCGCTGGATATTGATCAGCTTGGGCAGTTTCTAATCAATCGCACTACTCTCATGGCTAATCAATCCTTGGCTGAGGCAATATTGGATTTTTGATACGTAGCGACAATGGCTGCCATTAGGTCTCCTCTATTCCTCACGACTGTTATTTGTCAAGGATCCGCGTCTGAACAAGAAGCCAGGCCGCTCAGTAAGGTGTGGTATGCTAATTTCCTTTATAGAAGGACAGAAAAGAAGATCCTTGTGTACTCCGATTGCAAATCATTCTTGGCTGTACCTGACCCGGGTGTGTGTGTGACTAAGGCTCAGAGGGTCAGACACCCAGAGTGTCTCCATTGAACGGTCTTCCGGGAAAGACAAGGCGCCGACCAACAAAAAGGAGAAAGATATATTGCCTAGGAACATCAACGTCCCGGAGAGTCGCAAATGCCAGCCCTCTTCTGTTGGTGCGCAAACTGAGGTCGTGATTCTTTTGTTAGTTGTATAGGAAAATTCATCAAGCACAATGATGGATCCATATCTACTAGATGGTACTCAGGAAAGTCACTGAACCAAGTAGGGCTTTTATCTACGCTTTTGACTCAGCATTGATGTTCGCCTACTGAATTATCCTGAACGTGTTCCACCAAAGCAAGCTCTTGTCGCGTGGACAGGCTGGCTACAAAGCGGACGTTGAACACGAGATACTGAACCAAGAATGAGCCAGAAATTATTGATATGCAGGATTAACGTCTGCCTTTGAAGTTGGCTATTCATATAGACATCAAAGGGGGTATCTGCCATCGGCGGAAGGGGTACATTCTGTACAGATGTCGCAAAGTCAGACTACTGGTTTCAAAAAGACGACGAACACTTTTTCTGGGAAAAAGTACGTGCATGACTCCACGCACAATGGCAACGTGATGGTCGATGGCGCATAGCTCAAATGTGAACTCTTTGATTACAAGCATGAAATAGTTTGGCGGATCCACCCTTTATGTAAATACCACTTATCAATGTGGTGCCTGTCTTATGCGCTGTAGGAGACTAAAAGCGGCATTAATTCCACTTACATTGACAAAGGGAGGCCCTCCATCAGTGCCCTTTTTAAAGGTTCTATTAGAGGACAAGCCGTTGGTGGAAAGAATAAAGAAAGTGTCGGGTCCTAGTCTATCACAGGATTTTCTCCGAAAATCTCACTAATAGGCCACGTTATGTGTAGCCTCCAGTCCGAATCCAGAAAGCTGTAGATATCTCTGAGGACGCAACGACCCCATGACTGGACAAACGGATTTTGCCGTGCCACATGCAAAAGTGCACAATAATGCGCATGTACGACCAAGGCAAAAGGCTCCTTCATTTGCAGGTATTGAAGATACGCCGAAGGTGCTCTTATCGCCCACCCAACGGCGAGGGTCATGGAAGTCGGTTGCGCATATGTGTATGCCAATAATTCCCGCAGATTTGAAATATTCTTTCCGAAAGTGTCTGTATCATGCGGGCCGTCACTCGCGCGAGATCTGTTCAGTTGGTCAAGTCGATCAAGAGATTCCTTGACGTGGTCGGGGATGGAGACCGCCGGGTAAGTAGGACTCAACAGGGGCGCAAAACTGCTCTGTCGCAAGAAGCTGGACGCGGCGTTAGTGATCTCCTGGATGCCCCGGCACAAGACAAAGATATTGGTTAGAGCATCAAGACTGGGATGGTCGCCGTCTGCTAACCCAGTCAAAGCAGACCCAAATGCAAACATAACCACTAGCCCAGCGAAGCCCAGCATGGCCTTTGCATTGGCGGGGTTGACATTTTGCAGTTGTTCCTGGAAGAACCGAAGCGCCTGCCCCTTGTGCGCAGTAGCCAGTCCAAGCCAGAAGGCTTTCGGGGTCTCAGCAGCAGTAAGAGAGAGATGCAAGGCAGACACGGCCAGGATACCATGCATGAGGAAGGGTGTTTTTAGTGCCTCTTCAACCAATAGAACCTGCCACACGTGATTGACGTCCTCGCTTCGGGAAATGAACCGATATGTCGCAGTTTGCCACTGAACGAGGAGCCTCAGCTGATTCATCTCCAGCGTTAGATTCACGCCGGTTATGGTGCCACTGCTTCCAAACCTATCCAGTAAGTCAAAAGAGGCGTGACTGATACGGACTGCACCAGTCTGGTTTTCATTTGAAGACCTCGCTCGGCGTGAAGCCCTTCGACAGTTAACACCCCCAGGAGTCCATATGTGAGGAGAGTGCGTGACATAATGACAACTCTCCTGACGTTGCTTGCAATTAGAGCAAGTTGGCCGCACCTCATCACACTGAAAATTGCATTTGAAAATTAGGAGTGATATCCATAATACAAGGAAAATTTGCACAGAAAGTGGAGGAGGCTTGGGTTACAAGCTGATGAGGATATACGAAAAGCGGATGACAAAAGGTCAAGTCAAGCAAGGGTTGCACACCTTTACTCTTCGGCGTTTACAGGATTCGCAGCCGTGCCTAGATTTTCGGTGGGGTCGACGTAGTTGCATTGTGATAAGCGCACTAAGCAGGTGTCTCGGCGAAAATGGAGGACATGGGACGTACGCTAATTCATTGCTAAAAGAAAAAATGAAAAAATGAAAATAATGAAAAAAATGAAAAGAAAAGAGTAAAGAAGCTTTGTGTTGCGAGCAGCAGATAGGGAGCTGCTTAGCAGGTACGGCTTGAAGGCAAGGGAAAAAGTTTTGCCTTTTACCACATAAAAGTTTATGAACGAGATCGTACCCCAAAAATAATCGCATTACGTATTACATTCTGGGCAAGCAAACCACTGAACTAATTAACCACAAAGAGTAATATTTACGAGTACGATCATTGTGCCAGTGTCCATTGCAGAGTAGGCTAGTTGCGTAAATCCTTTACTAGATTCGGTAGTCGGCTGCTAAAAACCACGTGCGTAATCGACAATCTTATGATTCGTATCCAACGTTAGGCAGTTGCATTACAGCCTTTGCCACAGCCACTAATAATAACCGTGATTCGGTCCATAAAACCATATTTCTCATTTCTGCTCCCATTATCTGGATGATGCCTCCGCGGCGCCCTCACACGTAATCTCGTCTTGGTTGTGTACGATGTGAACAGAAGCACGTTAAATGCGAAGAAGCGTTACCTAGCTGCGGAGGATGCACAAGGCACAACATTCCGTGTGTTAGAGTCTCCCAGTCAAATACAACGCCCTGTTCCGCTGGGGAATGACCAAAGAAGAGTTCTTAAGTTTCACCACCGCCTCCGGTATTGCCTTCATCACCGAGAGAAAATAAAAAGGGCGCGAGATCAATGGTCACTGCCTGGGAGTTCGACCTCCTTCATCATTGGAATTATCAACGTGGCGGAGAGTTTTGGAATCAGTCCTGGTGTACACCATGCGATGCGGGACCATGTGGTGAAAGTTTCAATGCAGCATGAGTTTCTTCTGCACATGATTCTTGTCTTGTCGGCTCTGCACCTAGGGATCACCCAGCCAGCATCTTTCACCGACGACCGCCGGGCTTTTCGGTAGACATTTCGGGCCGTAATTAGCAGGCTGCAGATATACACAGACGTGAGCATAAGGTTGAGTCGGACAGACAAGGTAATTCGTTTCCGTAGTCGGGTTATTCGAATGTGGAAAACAACGGCACAAAACGCGAAGACACAGAAAAGCAGCACCTGTAACACAAGGCCCCCGATGACAGTATATTCAGCTGAGGAAACTTCGGTGGGTGTATCCGCATTCACAAGTTTGGTTGCACCTGCGGTTTGAACCCAAGAAACACAATATGTCGCCAATAACGAAGAGCTTCGTCAGCAAATTTATGCAGATGAATAAGAGCTGCGGGTATCCGGATGGACGGAGTAAACGGCCAAGAAACATATATATTGCAGCTGCGAAGAAAGCCGGTGCGAGGAGAATGAGGAGGACCTGAATTATGTACAGACCAATTTCAGATAAATGGTCACTGGAGTAAGCTCGCGCTGCAAGACCCAAGGCTTCAACTGTGATGGCATGTTAAAATCGGCCCAGAGTTGATGCCAAACCTGCGGATGTTGAACAACACATGGGAAAGACATACACAAACCTCCAATGACCATGGCAAAGCCGAACCATTTGCGAGACGTTATAGTCATATATAATTGTGCCACAGTCAGGATCCCGAAGGTAATTACCCCAACCAACACTGCCGCTTTGGATGGGACGTAATGTTCATATAAATTCGCTGATATAGCCGCCATACGTACATCCAACAACAATGCTATTTCGTGAGTCACCCTAATAAAGAGAGCGCGTAGGTAGAGGAATCCTCGTGGGATTTTTGTTGCCCCCAATTCGGACCGTTCGCAGGCGCGATGCCGAGCACCCAGGCGAGGGCCGCACGCTCCTACATACACTCTTCATCCACGTTCGGATCTACCTTCAAGCAGCTAAACTTAAATCGAAAATTCGAGATATAGGAGCTGGCGTCGAAGCATGCTGTTGAATCTTAAAATCTACGATCTAGTGGAAGCACAGTAACCAAATCGGGAGACTGAAACTCCTGAGCAGATAGTTCCCCTTCTTCTTTCCTCTCCCTAATCTTGAATTCTTGATACTTCCGTTGAAATGCAAAGTTGATTTGACCTTCTTGCTGGCACGTAAGATGAATTGCTATACCCCAGACCTAACCCGGAGGTCCCAGATGGAACTGGCTAAAGCTCGGTAGTAAACCATGTGCCATGGCCATACCTCGTCGTCGGATTTCTGTCCCGTTCCCACACAGACGGGACCAATTCTCTTCCTTTCCTCAAGTTTGTTGTAAAACGCTGTACAATTGAATCAATTCTGCTACAGCCCTTCACATCTGTAACCACTTGTCCACCTAATCCACTATAAGGTATTTCGTTATAAAGACGAATGCCTTCCTTCGATTAGGACTAACGCGTATAAGAGAAGATAGAAGGTGCCGGTCGTGACCTTAGCGCTCATGGTTCGGAAGCTTGGCGCATCTACTATACTGCACCCATTCCAACGTATCACGTCTGATCAATTTGGACGCCAGCTCTGAAAGACCCAACCCCCTTCCACTGCCTTTGCAAACCCAATCCGTGGTCCTCGTTCACCATGCCTCTCCTCAAACATATCCTCTACCTCATTTACAGGCCTTGCCATGCGTACTTCAAACAGCGCCGCTACTATCGCAGGAATACTCAGACGCGCCTGTGCCTCTCCTGTATTGTCCCGAACAGCTATCAGAGCTACAATGGCGAGGATAATGCCCAGAAACACAAGCAGCAGATTTGCGGCAATCAGGGCGAACAGTGGCGCTTTGGGAACGCGCGCAACAAGAATCCGCTCTCGCACTTGGGACGCCAAAGCGGCGCGTGGCTCGAATGCGCCTGACGCAACTGCCAAGGCGGTTTGACTATATGCCAGTGCAAACTGATCTGCGATCTCTTGTGCGGAGTTGCCCAGCCCTGCGATGCTAGCAGCCTGAATGAGATTTGGGTTCCCGACGTCTGTGTGGCGCTGTGTGCCTTGCACGATAAGCGTCGTAGATCTGTTAGAGTTGCTAATCTTCCAGTTCTTGATGGTGCTGTTGACGGAAGAGTATTCGACGTCGTAGACGGTGGATGTGCAGCCCACTGCCACGATAGTAGCGCCGCCGTGTCCACCGGACAGAACCTCCGGGTCGTTCTGCAGGGCTGCCGGGCGCGCATTGCGCATATTCGCTAGGATCATGGCGGAGTAGTAATAGGGGTTGCCAATCAGGGTCTTATCCGTGTTATTGTTAGAGCCAGTTGAGTCTGTGAAGTAAGCCATGGTGACGGAGTTGGACGCGCCCACGGCTGTGTTGACGGCCCCTTGGAACTCAAATGGGCAGTTGTAGGTGGTGTGAACTCCGGAGACATCATTGGGGTTCGCGCACTGGGAGGTCAGGGGAGAACATTGCGAGTGTATGGCATACGTTGAGACGGTATAGTCGAGAAGCGATAGGCGAGATGTCTCCGGGCTCGCGATGTATGCGTACTGATCTTGACCCGCAGAGTAAATCCGGATTGTCATTGTATCTGAAATGTTGGAGAGAACTTTCATCGGGTCGGGGTTAAGTAGGATATTGCCTGAGGCAGGGTTGTTGAGGTTACAGCTAAGGAGAGTGCTGTCGACGTTCGTGCAATTCTGGTACACGCCGAATCCAAGACCTGAGGCGTCGGAGTTTGCGTTTACTTGGATGAAGTTGACGGTTTTGGTAGTGAAGTGAAGCCAGGTGTCGGTGACTAGGACAACAGTGCTATTTCCTTGTTAAACTAGCAACTCGGTAGTATTCTACAAACTGAAAAAACACAAACCTTGAAACAATGCCGAGGATCAATACGGTTGTCAGACTCTTTAACGCTCTTACCTGGCGCTCGCGCCTTCCTCTCCAACCAAAGGAATACATCAACCAGCTCCAAAGGGCAGAGAATGAGCCGCTCGAAATCATGCGGACAATCAATGAGAGCTGAAAAGGTGTTGGTAGCTGCGCCACCTCATGATTTTCCGAGGCTGTCAACAGACCCTTCGCAACAGGGTAGGACACCAGAGCGACACCGAAGCCAACTAATATTGGAGCGATAGTGCTGGACCACGAGGCAACGGTGGTGAGTGTGGTTGCACTTATTCGGACAAAATAGACGTTTGGATCATTCTGGGTGGAGTCAAATGCTAGATCACTGGAGCTAAAGTCGTTTTGTGTGATGCGATAATGAAAGACCAAGCCGAGCAGAAGGCCGGAGAAGATTAACATTGGCAATGTCATAACAGTGAACGCGATGAGAATCTCCTGGATGCGCCCCTGCATCCGCTTCGCCCCTCTATCGGGAGCCAGAGGTACAGTTGAGTATACTCCTCCCTTGTCCATATCTTCAGAGGCGACCATCTTGGTGTGAGTAGGAAGTATGGAGTCTAACTATCGCGGTTCAAGACAGCATTTGATGGCAATTAAGGGTATTTGTGTAAAGTGATTGACAAGAGTGCGGCTGAGGAAAACGAGGTGCTCGCCAAATTTTGTCGTGACAGTAAACGCCCACCTAGACGCCACTAGAGCCTAGCCCTTAGAGACCCCACGTCTAAACACTCTACAAATGATATATCGCCTGTAATCCAAGAATCTGGACTACAGGACCCTCCAGATCACGGGATGGCTTGACTGCGTGACCATGATAAGGTTTCTTTTAGTTTGAGGTATTGGTGGTAGACGGCTAGGGAGGTGCGGATAAGCGATTGGCTCTGACAAGTTATAGCGCTCTATTCTTCTAGGGTCCTTCTAGAGTCACTATCCTAAAAAATGGATGCTCCTTTTTGCTCTTTTTCCATTCAAGCATATATGATTCTCTCTCCTTGTCTTATGACATTTTCTTTCGTGATGCTATTCCCAACCATTGGTGCTCCTCTGCCAGAACAACCTCTAACCACCAGGAAATTGGTGGTGAAGTGGGAGTGGTTCCACAGTTGCTTAGAGGCCTTCTACATGCTGCATTAACTTCATACCCCTCTCTGATATCATATCTGCCGAAACCTTCTTTGCATTCAGCTGAACCCTTTGATCTCCGAGTAGGCTACATCGAGGATTATGGTAAATAGAGCACCTCATTTGCTTCTCAAGGGCTCCTCAAGAAATAGGCTTGCAACAATGGGACCTGTTACTTCTTCCTTACCTGATTGACAGACCGTCTACCCTGCAAGTAGATTCTATCTTAACACCTTCAGAGGTCTTATAGTGAGAACCTCAGCCACTGTCTAAGCCCCTTAAAAAGCGCCATCATCTACGCTATGCACTACCACCTATACAACAAAGCATAGGCTAAGAATTAAATGATATCTGAACCAGTTCTTTGGCCTATGATTCTTCAAGTTAGCATTCAATCAAACTTTGTAGTAGCTTATCTACAGACACACAAGTCTTTATCATCACGACAGCGCTATCCTTTAAAAAACTGGTGATCAATCATTACCTAGCGTTTTACTTATCATTAGTGCTCTATTTTGTATTGAAAGTAAGATACTGTTGATCTCCTGTTAGCTCGACCAGTCCCTAGGGCGGGAACCAGGGGGAGGCTTGAGATGAAAACCAACCCTATAATATAAATATTCGTTAGAATAACTCAGGAGCATCTTCTATTCAATAGCCTGGTGTTAATAGATTCAGAACAGCAAGCCCGATAGGCGCCCTGGGGCCCATATCTATGACCCGGACTCAAGGTAAAGTGGGAGAGTGTGTGATCTAGGTCAAAATTCTTACCCTATTCTCACCTCCTCTCACCCCGTTCTCACCTCTATCACCCCAGTCTGCAGACTTCTCACCCATATCACCCACACTCACCCTAAGATCAAATCCGACGCCATTTTATATATAACATGCAAGACTACTTGTCGCTCATATCTCCAGTATGGATACTGAAACTCCAGGCTGCGCGACCAAACGCGTTTGATCTGTCTGCTCTACTTCTTTGTGCTGGGACAGTTTTCTCTCACATATTCCCCTAGTTCCAATGCTTTCTGTCCCAAGACAGTGGTCCGTATCTGGTCGCGAGCTAATTTCCTTGTCTGCATACTTTATACACTCCAACCAGTACTTGGTCCTCGGTACTATCGCCGAACATCCCTCAGGCGGCACCGAAGGCGCCGCAGAAAGTCCCCAGACATGACTTCGGACTCTGTAAGAAAATTACACCCGTACCAAAAGGACAGAAATGCGCAGCAGAATTTGCTCAACAAGACCCCTTCTTGCTTGCGATTCACACCCCTTCTCACCCACATCAGTCAACATTCTCCACGGCCGGGTGACTAATACAAGAGGGGCGGAGTGTATGCTGAGTTCTTTGGGCAATTAAAAAAAGCCTTCCGAAATCCTCAAATCAAAGTTGGCTTTTGAAGTATTACTGGTTCGGAAAAAATAAGTCCACCCTACTCTGAATCAAGTAGAAAGTATCAAAATAATCGAGAACAAACAGAAACCGCCATTAATATCGAACCTCCCCACAGCTAACAACCTTTATTGCGGTCATTCCAGTCACGATCGAAGCGGGTCAAGGCACGCTGCGCGGTAGGAACACAGTCCAAAGCCTTGACAGATATCCTTTCAGGGCGGCTGAGCATATACAGCACAGCATCAGCAAGATCATCCGCTGCCAAAGGGTCATATCCGTAAAAAAACTCATCCATCGCGTCCTGGTTATATTTGACTCGTTGCAAATGGAAGTGCGTGGCAACACAACCTGGCCGTAGAACCAAGACTCGGATATTCGACCCTGCGGTTTCCATTCGGAGGCTGTTACTAAAGCCTTCTATGCAAGCTTTGTTGGCGTGGTAGACAGTCTCCCCGTCAAAGGGGGGGCACTCAAGCCCTGTAACCGAGGATACGTTGATTATAGTGCCCTGCTTACGCGGCCACATGCATTTGTTCAGGACAAAGTATGTGGTGTACATTAAGCCGGAGATATTTGTGCCATTCATCTGCCGGATCAGTTCAACGGGAAGCTCCCAGAAGCGAGCTGGGGCACCAAGGGCAAGACCAGCCTTCAGCCCAAGTTAACAAAATTCCTCTCTATAGAAGATGAGAGCTGGCTGTGACGTGATTGGAGATAATGGCATAACACGAATAATCACGAGGTCTATACGCACATTGTTAATCAGAATATCAATGTGTCCAATCTCAGAGATGGCGGACTCGATGGCTGCATCAACCAGCGAATAGTCTTGGATATCTACTGGATAGGTCCCGATCTTCACGTCGGGATGTTGTTTCATAATTTTCTCGCGAACCGTCTCCAGTTTATCCTATCCTAGTCAGTTATTATCAAAGTGTTGACGAAACGAACAACAATGTAGCCAGAGAGCACACCTTGCTTCTCGACAAAAGAACCAGATTGGCTCCAACATTCGCGAGTGCTAATGCAACAGCTTCCCCGATGCCCATGGAGGCACCGGTCTTGATATTCAATCAGTTGTTAGTGGACATACATCACGCGCGGCATAGAAATCGCTCATACAATCAAAGCAGTCTGTCCTCTCAAGGAGACCATGTTGGGTAACAGGGAACAGTTAATGGATGCAATAATGCGGATTAAAAGTTTAGAGTCGATGTGAGCATGAAGTTCTCTTCAATTGATGGACGAAGTTTACGGTTTGTAAGATACTAAAGCGGGCTCCAAAGCCGGTTTTATTATGGACCATCAGTGGGGCCACCGACCACATGAGGATAAATAAACGTACCACCTAAGCTAACTAACTTAGGATTAGGTTATGCATCCAACGCCCCACTTGACGTTGCTGCGTAAACCTTGCCTAGTTGGGCAGTCAATCAGCTTATTCGCATGGCCGTCAAATCAACATTTTCAGCATGCTTATAACTCCAGACTCTTATACAGCGCAAAGGCCAAAGCATTCGATCAATAATCAAGATCACGAAAAGCATTTAAATATGTCTTTTGCGGGGAAAGAAGCTATTCTCTACTTCGATATCCAACAAAGGCCACTTGCCAATGATGTATAAATGAATGTTACTTGAACGTCGCTGCATCCTTCCCAATCTCCTCATTCTCTAGGCTTGTCATCAAGACGTGCAGGACCTACATGGTTCGGCAACATCTAAAGTTTTTTATTCGACTTGCTGCTCCTGATCCTTCTCGGTATGTGGGGGTTGAGCACCCATATGCCGGTATCCGCCCTCCTTCATCTCCTTGGTCATACAGCGAGCGACAGCAACAGGGTTCTCGCCACTAGCAAAGAACTGATCCACAACCTCTCGAGTGAAGTTGCTGGTCTCGGGGAAGAAGTAGTAAATGACGGGCACAAACTGGAAGTTGGTGACCATAGAAATCAGATACGCTCTCCAGACTAGACGGTTGATGACCACCGGGGTAATCAAGACAATGAAAAAATTCCAAAGCCAGTACAGCATCCAACGAGCATGATAACACCATACTCTGGTGCGACCTCCTGCATGGGGGGAAATCAGAGGGCACCAAAACCCTGCGCTGGCTGCTGCTGGGTGTCAGAACCCAGGCCATCCAGCAGTTCTAAGGTTTGCTTACACCTACCTTATTAGTGGACGTACTGCCAGGATTAACAAGGATAGTGGATAGGGATTAATATTATAAGCTACTATCTCCCACTAGTACTTATTAATTTAGTTAGACTCTCTAACTCTATGGCTTAACTCCTGATAGCTTATAAAATAATCTTATATTTATCTTGTCCTGCGTGATCATCGTGGTGGTAGAAAGATTAGGATGCTGAGGACTGATACTGCTATCTGGTTTTAGCTAGTTCCTTTCCTTCCTAGTCATCACTATTCTTCTTTGTTTCACTGAGAATAATAAGGTGTATGGCACTACATCTATAGCCTTCTTTTTCTTATACTATATTACATTTGGAGTTGGCATGCTAGGAGTGCCATAGCTATATCCCACTGAGATCAACTTATTGCTAATAAGAATAATAGGAGCAGCCATTACCACTATGATAAACTAGTAAGTTTAACCCCTGACCACAGGATAAGGATCCTGTGTGAATGATATTAATAGTCTCTTGATAGAATTACTAATTTTACCATTGTTAAAATCACTCCTATTAGTATTCAGAATCTGGGCTGGAAATTCTGGATTGTATGGACTGTCCTTAATATAGTATTTTTACTAGTAATTTATATTATGTACCTAGAGACTGATAAGTCTGTTTTAAACTAAATTTTCTGTTCTCCTGCTAACCTTAGTTAACTCTTATAGTAAACTGCATACTGGAAGATGTGGATGTCTATTACTGGGCTAACCTGCTGCTTATTGTTATTCTTAATCTGGATGCTATCTCCACTAAGCGCCTGCTCAGATTTATCCAGTATGAGGATGAGGAGCTTCAGTGGAAGGTCAAGGAAGCGCAGATCAAAATCCCCAAGGGGGACTCGGCTGACGTGGAGCACGCTGAATGAGGTTTTCCTTGGGTTGTTGCCTAGAGGATGCATGAGTATGACTGCATCAGCATCCGGCCAGGATAATGACCATTGTAAGACGATTATCCGAATCTACACATCCAAATGTCTACATCAATATAGCAATAGCAATACCGAATCTTGGATCCACACCAAAAAGAAAAAGAAAGGCCTAGGGATGCAAATTGATCACATACACTACAGCTGAACAACCAGGAAGCACTTTGGTCTATAACCTGTTATCATTCGTGCTGACGTGCTGGTTCTAGTAATTACAAAGGAGTTCATATTTCCCGTAACGTAGTCATTGTTGTCTTGGGCAGTAACCATGTGGTTTTCCACAGAATAAGACATTCCTGTATAGAGCGGACAAATATCAAGGATGCCGACGGCAATCGCTCTCGGCCCAGGTGAATGAATCTCTTTGCCTTTTAAGGCTTACAGACTTCTGGCATGCCATATCGAGGTCATCATATTCCCAATTAAATCCCCTCTCTAATGGAAATATGCAGTCTTGATTAATGTAATATACTCACCTAAAGCGTAACCAGGCACCAATGGCACATCGAAGCAAAAATAAGTGCGTCAAAAACATACAACAGCCGGGATTCGCTGGTGGTCACCCACCCAACTACTAACCGGCCGGCGTGTGGCTTAAGTACGGCTGAGCGGACGGGAAGCCCTGTTTTCCACACCCTATGGTCGTATGTGCTTTATATTTCGCATATAGCAAGTCATATCCTGAGAGAAGTTTGTTGTAGAGACGTGTAAGCACCCAAAGTGGTGACAAATCTCGGGCTGACAGACGCTAATCTACAAAAGTACAGGGCATCGACAACGTATCTGACCCAGACAAGCAGAAATCTTCGGCAAAACCATACCTATGGGGGTGATAATCCAATGATTAGATCGACGCCGGTCAGGGTTCCAGTCTAAATATTTAGTGCTTTGCTAGGCACCCATAGTGGCTGGAATAGAAAGCGCATTTATTTCTCTAAACCTACTGGGTCATGGAAGCAGGCCATTTCACATGTAATCGCTTCGAGCTCCGCGCTTCAAGTCGTCATCTATCGAAACACATAAGTATAGCCTCTGTTACTCTTTCGGAAATAATTGCTAAAAGCACGAAGACAAAACCAAGGAAATTCGAGTCAAACCATCTGAAGTGCGACTGACGAGCAACGATGAAGACCTTGATTATGCCTAGCAAATCAATGACGCTTCGTTAGAAATCATCTTCAGGAAGAACCTATCTAAACACTCAGTTGGCGTATATATGAGATTGTCCCAAGAAGTTGGGCTACCTTTCCGTGCTATTCCCCCCAAAAAAATCCGAAAGGTACAAAATACTTTATCCTCGAGCTCAACTACATCCTGGACAGACCACCGCCAGTTTACAAGCCCAGGCTCAAGCCTTGCTGAACAACTGCAACCATTGCGGGTGGAGAATGCGCTGCTACTTGAGCAGCTTGGACATGCAGAAGACCACGCAAATGCAAGAGCATTACTAGACTTCGATACCCAATGAGAGATGCTCAGGTCGGTAATTCGGGATGCACAGATGGTCATACGTGCACACCAGCGACTGGTCGAGAATATGTTATAGAGCGCAACACTCCCAGGAATGGAATGCCAGCAACTTGGCCTACCTAATATCATATGTATTTCAGTCTCGCACGGTCTCACATTGGAACCTCAACTGGGGTCAATAGGGTTCCTTCGGTGTCCGCGGACGGGGAGTGGACCACACGGAGCGGTATCAGAAAGCGGGACTTGGCGGATTCCGCCAACCATCTTCGACAGCGGATCAACTTCCCTCCGCTGAAGGATCTCCGTCGGTCTAAACTCGCCCCGAGTCTGCCATATAAATACATGAAACCGAAAGTTAGAGAAATCCCAAATCCCTCAGCTGGCTTCTCATACAATTAATAATCCTGATGAGTGTTAAGGCGGCATTCGTTGGGGCTTCCGGAGCTACACTGAGTCATGTGCTAGCATGGACATTACTGGCGGGCCATCGCGCCGCTGCCCGTAAGTCACTCAGCCCATTTTTTATCTACTTTGACTTACAAAGACCGTTGTAGTCGTCCGGGATGGATCCAAACTCAGAAAGGTCTTGTCAGATCTTGGCGTATCTAACGAGATTGTCGAGTCACAACTCATCGTCACAGAAGGTTCATCCCGTGATGTGAAGACGATAGTTAGGCTTCTTCGCAGCGATCCTGAACTCATCTTCAGTGGTATTACAAGTCTTCCCAAATTCTCAATTAATCCATTCCGCCCAATTGGCATGCAGGATGCCACCATCACGGGAGACTCTGCTATTGCAATAATTAATGCTCTCCGTGAGCTGAGGTCCACAGGCAGAATCTCAAATTCGCCCCTATACATACCGATATCGTCGACTGGTCACGGCTCGCAGCGAGATCAGCCTCTTCTATTGATTCCACTGTACTTGTGGCTCCTGCCAATCGCCCAGGAGGACACTGCCGTTTTGGAGAAGGTTGTACGTGAAGCAGCCAACGAAGCTGATTCGCCTCTTGGTGGCTACGTTATGCTACGAGCGCCGCTGTTGACTCATGGTAAAATGAAAGGGCGTGAATCTGTCCGAGTAGGTTGGATCTGGGAGGATGAGGTCTTCAAGAACCAATATGAGGAGGAGCAGGGTATCAAGATTGGATGGACTATTAGTCGGCTGGACTTGGCAAAGTGGATGTTTGAAGAGCTTGTTCAAGGAGATGCTTACAAGTGGAAAGGGAAATGCGTCTACCTTACATACTAGACTCCTCTTATCCCTTTCATTTATTCCGAGTGTCCAAGAGCGAGCACCCTGGTTGGCTTAGCTCGACTACCTAACTGCGAGTACAGGCTGAGAGGCATTATCGAACGCTTTCCCTCTGTCTCCCACGTTGAGCAAGCATCGATGATTACTGGCAAACGATTTAGATTTTCCGCATACTACTTGTACTTCTCTTCCTGGCACTCGATCTTGCCAAGCTCACAAGCCAGAATGAGACTGTGAACTTTCGCATTGTCTGACGGTCGAGCCACCTTGTCTTTGGCGAAAGCAGCTTTTGATACGTTACTTTTGACTGAAATACTGGCAGTATTAGAGTCAGAACCTTGAAAGAATAGGTTAAGGGGCAGCCATGGTGCTGGCGGCTGAGACGAGAGAGATTTTCGCCAAGGAGAAAAGCATATTTGTTGATTGGCTAATGCTTGTCTTGTAAGAATCTCGAAGAAGACGAGCGTGAAGGATACTGAGGTTATACAGGAATTTTCAAAGCGGCGCGTTTTGATATACTCGCCATGTACATAATTCTGTCCATCAGGTCTTTACCGTGTGGACTCCTCTTGGCTGCTACTCTGATGACCCTAAGCTGCTGCCGCTTCTCAAGGCATGATGAGCAAGGAGGAGGGTGACCCTGCGTTGACGATCAGCAAAGTGTCAGTGCCTGCTATCTCGCGGCCCGTACATTTGCAGGTGTCAAGGCGGGCAATGAGTGCCGGTGCAGCCCTCTCCATTACTACCTTCGAATAGTCCAATCTATTCTGCCACAGCCTTCTCTCTCCTGATCGTTGAGAGTCGAAGCCCTTTCTCGCTCCCCAACAGGATCGATTCCACCGCCCACCGAGAAGTACAGTCTGACACGCCTCTGCCTGCCTCTGTGGGGCAGTTACATGGCGGTTCCCGGGGCAAGGAGCACTTACGGAAGATAACATGGACGTGGGGGATGTTGACATTGGATTATCTACAGGCCATGACTTGTTTTAACTTAGAACCACGAGGGCAGGAGTAGGAAAGGGGGAAAATAAAAAAACACAACAAATCTCACTGGATTCATCATGCCCATGCTTTTTGCGATATGGAATCTCCAGCTCACGTGCCTTTGGTAAATCACTGCAGAGGCATATCTAGCTCTCGATTGGCCAGACCGTGCCTGGCAAAGCGACATTAGCTTTTAATATCGAAAATTCTGGAAACTACGCACCGAAACTTTGACTGGGGGCTGCGGAGAATGGTACAAAGACAACATGGCATTCAGTAACCAACACAAAAATAACTGCCCATAATTGAAAATGTAAAAGCGGAAAGTATCTGAGGCGGATTTGAGGCCTGCTCATTAAAACAAAATCATAAGACTGTACAAACGTTTATGGTAGCCGGGGTTCTGCAGCTGACTATAAAAGAAACCCAAGGTAACGAGGACATGCACCGCTATCCGATTATCTCCGCTGTAATCGTGGCGGATAAATCAACGTAAAGATATCAGGATCGTTTTTTTCCCAAAAGCCAAAAACATTGCTGTTCTTCACTGCGGAGTTATGCTCATTCACCAACCATTCTCAAGGTCTTCCTGAGGCTGGTGTAGTTACCTGACTGTCAATACCTCCCTCAGTGGGCAGTTTCCTGTCTTCAACAAGTTAGTTATCTGTGCGATGATGATCCGCGGCTATTATTGGGGTCTGCCATATAAGCTTGATCAGGCTATTCTGCTGCTGAATGAGCGGTTGGATGAAACTCTTGATATAGTTGAGGATGTGAGGTCTGCGAGGCAGATGGATAAAATTAAACAGTATCATACTTGCTAGTATACAGTACATAGAGTATCCACAAGCTGCATGTCTACTAATAATACTATCATAAACATTCAATGTCACTCATCATCAGAATGATATACTACAAACGCTGAAGCCATGCAACGACTCCTCAGTAATGGAGATGTGAAAGAATTTCATCATACATAAGATAAGGAGGACTTGAGCACAGGACGGAGGTTAAGCCTAGCTGCTGACGACCAATGAGATACCTTTTTGACTAGTGTCTCAAGATCAAGCGGAAGGAAGGAGGGTCGACGGTTGGAAGACAAATGAACTGGATACAGTTTGCATCTTTTAGCTAGACTGGCTTTGTCCTGGGCGCTGTCGAGTTTAGTGGCTCTTATCGACGTCTTCGTACCCTTTTAGCTCGAGTGGTTGCCTTGTGGCGTAATTTGGTCGAGTAGTGGACTTGGAGGGATGATGCGCTTCGTTCAGGGAAGTGCGCAGGAATCTTCGCCCACGGCATTCCCTCTCTTTCCTTCAGTCGCACCAACAGTGCGTTTTCGTCCGAAGTATATGGCCTTTTGTTTTCCCAAAGTATCGGCTGGAGTGGTCTGAGTCAGCATTGGACTAGCGTCAGAAACGAATGTGAGATAATATGCTGGTTTCTGTTCACTGGATTCAACTGTGAGGATGGCTCTCCTGCGGACCTTGTAGATAGCACGGGAACAATCACATGAAACAGGGTCTGAACCACCCAGTGAATGACGAAGAGACTTGGCCGTAGGTTTTGATTTAGTCGCTTCTTGCACGTCACCGGGGCGACCCTTGTGGTCGCCCTGGTAGCTTTTCCTCGCGCGCATGGAGGTACTGGTACGACTACAGCAATCGATGGGTAAGATTCTGGCCTATCCACGTTCGGAGTGGTTAGGCTTACGGAACATTCGGGGCTAGAGCATGCGAACGACTGAAAAGGTTCACAAGATGAAGTGCACTTGCCCTTAGCCTCCTCGGGATCTTTGGTCTGCCGGGCATTGATTGTTGTTGAGCATGGATCTCTATTCTGATCCAGGTCACAAGGCAGCTTATGTGTAGGGTGGTTAACTGGCTCTTGCTGAGAATCACCACACATCAAAAGGCTGCAACCTGGAAACAAGATGCTTACTGCAGGCTACACAGGAGCAGAGTGGTGTAACTCAAATGACTCTACTTATTCCTCTCAGCTTCTTAGCATAAGATTACCCCAAGCTAAGATAAATTCCCATTGGAAAGCTAAAGTATGATGTTTCTAATATTAGCCTCCTTGGTGGCATCCTTTGCCTTGAGGAGGCGACATCTTGGAGAACGGGAATGGGAAATGTCCGGTCCAATATCTATTCCCGTATTAAAGAGAGTAAGCAGTGTGGTGAGCATTGGTTATGTGGATCGCGGACTGTTCCCTTCCATTCCATTCCCACCAATACCCTGATACAGACGGTTGACCCATATATACCTCATTCGCCAAGCTTTCATCAATCAAGACACTATCAGGGGGTTTTCTCTACTCTTTTAATTTGACAGGGCTTCACAATGAGCACTGACGAAAGTTAAAAGGCTGTATGCCTCAACTATCAGTGGGTTCTCAAAGTTGACACTGTTAGAACCTTTCTAGACTTACCCAGGTTCGCGAAAATCAACGCAAAAGTCATGCTAGAAAAGAGGATTACGTCCAGGAACTCGAGCAGCGGCTTACATCTAGCAGAGAAGATGCAAAACGAAAGGATATTAAGCCCAAGTTGCTTGTCCAGAAAATTAAGGCTAAGAACAGAAAGCTTAGAGACCTCCTAATTTTCTCAGGCATGCAGCCCAATGTCATTAAAACATATCTGCACATGGACGGAATCTCAGATACAATCGATAAGATTGCAATTCCTGCTCTACAGGGTTCTGAAGAAGCCATCAGGTTGCCATACCAGAAGAGCATGCACATTCGCCCCTGCTCATTTCAACATTGATGCCCCGACGATGCCTCATCTGCAGAACCACCAGGGCAGCCAATAGCGAGCGCAACGTGTCAGCATTCTCCAGATCCTGCTGAAGAAAGTACTCCATCTCCCGAACCAGAAGATTCAGTACATGGCGTACCCGCTCAGCAGTCTCCGGGGCCTATCAAACACAGCACTTCATTTACAGGACCACTGGAGCAGCCAGTATCTAATGGCGCCTGTCAGCAGTCTGCAGGCCTTGTCAATGAGAGTCCTACATCTCTCAATCGACTGAAGGACTCAATACCAAGCGTACACTGTCAGCAGTCTTGCGACCCTGTCCAGGATCGCAGCTAAGAGGAACACGATTTCCAACAATTATCAACCGACCTGTCCTTCTGTGACTGTCAGCCGCTTGACGATGGCTTGAACTCTTGGCCCTTCAATGACGAAGTTTCGAATAGCACTCTTTGCGCGACTGCGGAGTATACTTGAGGGTGCCAGTGGTAGGATCCCAGAGCTTGATAGTTTCATCATCGGAGCCAGATGCTAGAAGCTGGCCATCTTGTGAAAAGTCGACTGACAGAATTGAATCAGAATGGCCCTCTAGAGTGTACTTGAGCGCGCCAGGGGTAGGATCCCAGAGCTTGGTAGTTTTGTCATCAAAGCCAGATGCTAAAAGCTGACCATCTTGTGAGAAGACGACAGAGCAAACCCAATGAGAATGGCCCTCCAAGGTTTGCAATTCTGGACTCCAATTCTCTTCCATTTTTGGGCTCTGGATGACCGATCAGGACAAACTAAGAGTTGGTTAATAGAAAGACTAAAGAGGCGAGGCACCTGCGAGGACTTGGAGCTTGGTGAAAATGGGAGGTCCTGCAAAAGAATTAAGCAAAGCAAGCGAGTTGAAAGTTGCTGCCTGGGTTGATGTCTAATTTGCTGCCATTTTGCCAAGACCCCTGGTTGTCGCAGCACACAGAAGACTTAACCTGAAACAGAAATTGCTAATGGTGAAGCGAAGGGTCAAGGTCAATGGGGAGATCGTATCCGATGATTACCCGTCAGCTGGTCGAACGCTGGATAACAAAGCCCAGGACATTAAACGCGAAGTAAAGCGCTCCACTATTCTATGTTTAATGCTTAACACTCCTATCCTTTTTAAACTCCTCGATCGATCCTGAAAGCGTCTTTAGAAACTTCTAACATCTGGTTCACTCGCTGCTACAGATACTTCTCCCAACAACGGCACCTTATTCTTCTGTCCATAGTGTCCATATTCAACCATGCCTCAATGTCCCTACGAGCCGAAGATACCTTTTGCAGGCAACTGCGGTTGAAAGTGCCTTCGAATCCGGGTCTATTTACACATCACCTATCAACGATAATCCACCCAACACCTCGCAGAGGATTTCTCCTCAGCCTCAATCATTACTCGCGAGCTAATTGGTCGCTAAATACCACCCGCTTTGACACCTGCCAATCCCTCCACTTACAGCGCCTGCCCAAGCGCCTGCACGTGCGGCACTCTTATCTGCGCTCACATTTAACACCTGAAATCTCCTTCGGGCAGCTCTTGACAACCTGTGAATCAGCCGGTTCCCATGAAATCATCGGTACTTTGTTGTTGTGGCCCTGCCTTTCATCTACAAACCTCTGATCGTCTCCGTTTGCTTCCTTGGCCAGGTACGAGTTGTGCTTCTCTGTAGTTATCTCCAAATGCTTGCTAAGAACGAACAGCCCTCTCTTCATAGACCCTATAATTTCGTCTCGTGATCCGATCCACTCCTACAGCCGTCACCTCTATGCGGAAAGAAGAAATAAAGCTGCTCTGTGAGCGGTTCAAAACTCGCCTGGGCGATCGATTCTCAAAAAACCATCGAGAAGAGCGCTTTGTACCGCATGGCGCTGCGCAGGAGGTATTCCGAAATTACAAGTCGGATTTACAAGAGCTTTTACAACATATGAGTGAGGCCCTTCGAGCAGACGAGGGCCTTCTAGTGAGCGTTGCTCATCGGATTTTGGAGAGTCTCTCGAACGTCCTAGCGATTGTGCTTATGGGTAGAGCGCGGAATGACATGTTTGTCTTGGATCTTTTTCTGTCTCTGGTTCTGGATGGAAATAACCACATGAGAGAGTTCCTTATCTTGACCGATTCCGAATTGCCTATTTCCAAAGCTCGTGCCGAAGACCTGTTTCCGGACAGAGGAGCTACTTTCTTCACCACGCAGCTGCATTTCTGTGCAATAGTGCTGCAGGAGGAAAAGGAGGTGAAATACTTGGAGAAGGAACAGCGCCTGTGCCCACTCCCGTACCTGAGACAAGAATTAATCGGGGAGGGCGCCTTTGGGCAGGTGTTTGAAGTCGAAATTGAAAGGCACCATATGCGTTCGGCGAGCGGAGACGGCGAAAATCGGAAGCCTACACTACTAGCACGGAAGGACTTTCGACTCCAGCACGCGTTTGAGGAGGAGTTGAAAGTGTTGAGGAAGATTATGCGCCGACCCGAAAGGCACGACCATCTGGTACCCTTGCTCGCCATTCTACAGCACGACACCACCTACAGCCTGTTCTTTCCGTTGGCTGCCTGTGATTTGACCACCTATTTTGACCGTCAACACGACCCACCCGGTCCCGGAGCCCTAGACGAGAAGAAGGCCCTCTATCACCGAGGAGTTGCGTTGGCGGGAGCCTTGGCGTTCCTTCATCGTGGTTTCTCCGACATGTCATGCTACCATTTGGATCTAAAACCGCGCAATATCCTCGTTTATAATAATGCACACATGGCAGATGAAGTATGGAAAATCACCGACTTCGGCCTTTCCCGAGTCAGGGTCAAAGCACAACCGCCGAATGATGGCGACTCAACCATGACAATAGGGGTACAGGGAACGTACTTAGCCCCGGAGTGCGCAGTAGCTGGTGCGAAAGTCAGCGCTTTGAGTGATGTGTGGTCATTTGGCTGCATATTCAGCCTGGTTCTTACCTTCATGGTGAAGGGTGGCAAGGGTATCAACGAATTTTCGACCCGACGAGGTGAACAGCCCAATGGCGACCTCTTCTACACTAATCCTACGGAGCCCCAAGTTTCGCCTGCCGTAATTACATGGTTTGATCATTTGAAAGGGTTAGCCTCCAGGGATCGCTGTCCGAGGCTGATGTGTGAATCGCTAGATTTTCTGCTTGGGCATGTTTTGCTACCCAAACGGAAGAACCGACTGGAAGCGTCGAAAATCGAAGCGCGACTGAAGGAAATATGGACTTCCTCCAGTCCCCTAGAGCCTCTTCTAACACATAATGAAAGGCAGCATGACGATAATACACCGTCCAGGTTGTCTAGGTTGTTTTCTAGGACAACAAAAATTCTGAGGCCCGTGTCGCCGCCGCCGCTGGAGGTTGGGAGCTCCGCTCGTGGAAGCAGATTCTCGCCTGGGGGGGAAATTCTGGTATCTTTCACTTCTACTCAAAATCGAATTTTGAAATTGTCGGGTACGTCAAGGAACATGGATGTAGATGTTCAAATACCTGGATCTGTAAATTATGTATCGGTCAGCGACAACTACATTTGTAACGCGTTGGATGGAAACTGTTTTAAGGTTGGCTTATTTCTGCGAGATCCAAATTTCCATCACTGACGGTACTGCTGCAGTGCTGTATTTATTCTATCAGCGGAGCCTTTGTCCCCAATCAGCAAGCAAAGCCCATATCTTTCCCCGATTTGGGCTCTATAAAGATGGCTGCCCTATCAAACGATGGTGCGTTGGCCGCCTTCATTATTACCCAGAAGCCCGGTGGGACCGAGATGAAATGTTTGAGATATCTTTGCAAAACGGAAGACTTGGTACATGCTGCAGGTAATGGGTAAGCATTCAGAACCGAAGGCCCGCGAAAAGGGCGTTCTAACGGATGGAAATAGAGGCCATCCCTCTCCTATATCTAGCAGGTCAAATTCTGCAATTTCTGCAACTTCAATGGGATCTATGACGACGAGATCCGCCACAAACCAGCTGGGACCTGCCATTGGATCGGCTGCAGACATTCGGTTCTTTGATTTCACCAGCAATGGCCAATTTCTTGTCATGGTGACCCAGGAAGGAACGATCAACTTTTGTGTCAAAGTATGGGAAACTCGGGGCGACACCCTGTTCCAAGAGATGTTGATACCACATAGGGTGAGTATGGTGTATGTGCTCTGATAGTGACATTTGCTTACAGTGTATTAGGGCTCTGCTGCCACAACTGCTGCGCACTTTACAGCATGCACAGTTTTTATGCTCAACGGAATTCTCCATTTGTTTATACTGTCACAAGAGCAGTATATCATCCACGCTGATTTGTCCGAAAGGACATGGAGGAGTCGAGAGCTGGAAGATCGAATGGTCCAACTGTATTTCCGCAGTGATAACCAAACGCTGCTCTTTCTCAAGCGCGATCGCCGACAGATATTTGCATTGACTGTCTCGGACGCACTTGTGGAAGACGCAACTATGGCCCGTCCGAGACAGGTAGCACAGATAGGCTCTTCAATAGGTAAATGCCAGCCTAGCATTGCCATGCGAGCCAAACAGAGGGGGAAAGTGGAGATATTACTGGCCACGGCGGAAGGAAAATGGAATGCTGTTGATGTGACAAACCTCTGAGGGTAACGGTAGTCGTTTTGGAAAATTTGCAACAATGGCCAGTCCCATATACAAAAGTAAAACTACAGACGTCATGTCTAATCATTGACCGAGCCACTTTCCATGGCATCCTCCTTGCTCTTTGACTTTGTGCGCTGCTTAGCGTTCTTGACAAACCACCAGTAAAATAAAGTAGCAGCTGTCAATGGTATAGAGAACACAACGTACACCCAAAATTTTGGGGACACAATCAAGCTGTGATCACTGGGGTCCATCTCGAAAAACGAACTCATTCCCAAGAGTGTCTATTTTGCGATTCTTAACTGTATATCTCTTATCTTAAAAACACTGGGCCACTTACTGCCATGAATGTGAAAGGAAGATAGATCAAGGTGACGGTGGTGATGACGCGTACAGTTGTGGAGTCGTCGACAGTTGAAAGCGTCAAGTCGAGCATATATTTGTTCTGTCTTCTCGCTGTGTTGGAGTCCTTGAAAGAGAGGGTGTCCGTGATGGAGACTGCTAAGCATGCGGTTCGACTCTTCAAAAACCGCGCTTGTTGGGTGTATGCATCCACCATATTTACGTAGTTCTCGAGTAGCTGTTTCATTGCATGGGAATCTGACTGCTGCGTAATATTGCGCTCCGCTAGGGCGTCATTAGCATCTTGCAAGGTCTGGAAGTTTTTCTGGAGTGACCTAAATATGGGGCTTAGGGATGAACAGCGAGCCTCTGCATGACGGACGGTGCTCAGTGTTTCATGGTTTACTCGCAGCTCCTCTTCTATGCGCTGGGCCATGTTTGTGTTGGCCTGCTAAGGTTAGTCAACGATTCAGGATTCAATCCTGTGGTATGCAACATACAATAGTGAGAACCTTACGCTCATAGTAGGCGAGGTAGTCTCGCCACAAAGGGAAGAATGTCCCAAAAAGAACATTGTGAACAAGAAGCGGCTGACGATGGAAAGCCAGAACGTGAGTGGGGTTCTGTAGGAGTGTCGCCAGGCGTTTCTGAAAAGCACAGTCTGTGGTCGGGTTGAGGAAGATCCAGGTGGACTGGTTGGTTTCTATGTTGTACTTTTGATACACTGCTGTCTGGCGAATGACCCAGTCCTCGACGGATTTGCAAGCGGCGTATTTCATCACGTAAGTGATTTCTACAATTTTTGTCAGTGAATGATGATTGGATTTTAAATGCGACCAGCTTACCGATGGATTGGCCATTGGATTTGAACATAGGCGCACTGCTATAGGCCTCTTCGATTCCAACTCTCTTCCGGCAGAAGGCGAGAGAACATTCGAGGACTTCTGACGATGCTCCGGCAATATTGATAATTTCCTGGAAGAGCTGGCGAGTCATCTGTAGTGGCTTCCAGGAGTTTCCCTGACTGACAGAACTGGACCGACGTTAGATGACACGGCGTCTTCATACAATCTTCTCTTTCATTTAGTCACTATACATGATCCTTAGCTCACTTCCCATCCCTTTAGAATCGGTGTTCCAGGCACGCAATCCGGCCAATGACTTCAGGCTGCGTACTGTCACTATCCGGAAATCAACATATGGCAATCGAGCGGAAGCATTGGATGATTACCCCCCGAATCAGGGTTAGTGTCTGTCCACGTTATCTGGACATCAGGCTCTTCTGTGGTAAAACACTGTCGGGTCTCTGCTCGCATCCAATAATCCTCTGGGAATGGGACGAGGGAGTACAAATCCAGCGAATCCAACCATGGCACACGGTTGGCCGAGGAACCTTCGATAGTGTCGATCGTGGGTGCGTATGCCGCTTCCGTTGTTGGCATGTTCCCGAGCTCCGTGATGGTTGTGATGGTGGTTAAAAATGACAAGCTTGATACTTAATTACAACACCCGGCACAAGACTTTCCAACAGCCACGATTTAAACGTCATATATGTTGATTTCTTTAAGATACTAGAAAGACGCTGAAATCAGCCTTGGGAGGCTTACATACATCAGACGGCAAAGGCTTCACAGACTCGACGCCTGTGCCCGACGGGATTACTTGGTGGTGAGCAAACACGGGCGATAGGAGTACTTTGATTCGTGTCAGGTAATTGGTCACGCAGGGGTCACCCCCATGCATAATGCTCGAGCCCCTTCATTCCCCGCTTTGCTCGTGTTCATCGTGATCCGAGTCCAAAATTTGCCTGATAAAAAGAAGCAAAAATTAACACCGTGTCGCTCAGCCACTATGTCAAATTGCCTGAGGCATATTTTCTGGTACGTCAATACTTACTCAAGTTCAGCCTTTCGTTCCGTGATTAGTCTCCGGTTCGTCCTTTTTGGTTCACACTTGGGAAGAGCTTACCTCGGTCACTTCCCTCGGGGCGTCGAAGGAGAACACATCTTCATGTATCTGTCGTCGCACCCCTATCTCAGCGATGAAGCAAGAATCTAGACACTATTCCGCCGCGGGCTTACTTGAATATGGAAATTTAATTTAGGATGCTTAGGAAACTTCTTCTCCAGAAACCTCTGCAGCTTCGCGCTTGTTAGATATCTTTTTGGAGCCTCCTGACGGCGCATAGGGATCCCCTCGAATGGAGGCGAGGACGATGAGACTAAAAGAGAGGTCAAGGCACGTCTGAGGCTTGACATTTGTATTTAGTCAGCCGTATTCAGTGATGAAAGTGTTGCTGTTTCATAAGAATAGAGACGATGGTTGTTCCTCAAAAGACTTGGTAGGATGCATCAAGAGTTTCAAGTCGTTACAAGAGCGTGGGATTTCGTCCACTGTGAGATATACCCGGGTGCAGCCTGTTGTCCAAGGTAACGAGTAGACGACTCTGGAGGCTCTGCATCCCGCAAGGTTGTCACCTGCATAACCAGACCCCAATGCTGCAGGAAGGTTTATTCACGCGGAACCGTTCGACCAATCGCTGGCTATCAGTTTTCCGTTAGATTGACGATTCACGAGACGGGCATGATTACCACTGCGCCTCGGGGATCTGAAATTGCGAACTGGTCCAGCTAGGCCTGGCCTACTTCAGCTAGTTGGCCGTCGATCCCATTTTGCTCAGCACAGGATAATTGTGGCGGAGGCGCTGTCCGTATTGTCCAGGATCTCTTTTTTGACGCAAGTTCCCATTATCTGCGCCCGGTTGATTTGGAAAGAAAATGTTACTGTATGTTTCGTCGATGATCTTTACGAAGCCCACGCCAGGATGGCCTTAGAAAACAGCAGCAGTGACGATGCATATGAGATCTTCCGAGAGCTTGACTGGTTCCACCGTCATGCGATCTTGAATGAGACTCGAGACGACACCGAGTTGACACCCGCAGCAACAACGGGAGGCGACACGATGGAGCTGCAGCAGCCTGTGATTCCACTCACGTCGTGGTCGTCGCCTATGCGATCAGACTCTTCCCAATCCGTGTGCCCTCGAGCACCAGTGGCAATTGATGTCTCGCCAGTGCCCCCAGATGACATGAGCGATCATGCACCTATCATGCAAGACCCGAGAGATCGCGTTGTTAAGTAAAGGACCCGTGGGTCGGCCCTATCTGAGTTACAGGTTGGCTAATTCTGTACATATTCGCACCCCGCATAGTCAGAGATTGCGGGGAATTCACGTTTTTGTGAGGGCTACCTACCCAGCCTCCTCATATCTCACTGAAATATCGCTTACTGAGCTTGCTTTTGCTGTTAGATGATCACCATCAGCGGCGTCCTCGGAGCTGGACTCTATGTGCGAAGCGGATCGATCTTACGATTTGGAGGCCCTGGCGCCGTCCTCATATCTACCACAGTCATGGGGTTACTCGCTTGGATGGTAATGCAGTGCATTGGCGAGATGCTGACTCTGTGGCCGATATCCGGTGCGCTGGTGGAATACGTCGGAGCCTTTGTCGACGAGGATCTGGGCATCGCGGTCGGAATCGCTTATTGGTACCATCAACGTGGCCGTCCATGTATTGGAAGGAATCCTAGCTGACTGTTTTCTCGCTACACTAGGTTCACTTATGCGATTACTCTTGCGGCGCTAATTGTGACAGGGGCGGGTGTGCTCGATTTTTGGGATCCAGGGAAAGCCATTCAGGGGACGGTGATGTTTTTCCTCATTCCTTCTTTTATCATCTTCTTCAACAGTTTTGGAGTCCAGGTGTGACGCAATTTCCATATATTTGAGATGCATTGCTAAGGATTGCTAGATTTATGGGTTGTCAGAGGTGATCGGAGGCTGTATGAAACTAATTGGCATATGTGTGGTGATTGTCGGCATGATTGCGATTAACGTTGGGGGTAAGTCAGTTGTGCCAAGAGACTCTACTTGTTCTGAGCTGACTTTCATAGCTGGAGCTGATGGCAACATTGGTACTCGTTGTAAATCACTGCAACTTTCCCCTACGATGATGATGATTACTCAATCTGGTGCAGATTTCAAATACGACACCATCTTCCCCCATGACCCAGCGACTGGTAATTCTTGGGCATCTGTCTTGTTGTAAGTACTGACCCGAACGTATGCAACCGTGTGGTTATTAATTCGCGCAGTATTGGGTTCTCTACCGCGGCATTCGCGTACGTCGGTGTCGATATCACAGCCGCCACTGCCCTCGAAGCTCGCCCGGAACGCAAAGGTTCACAGGGAGACAAAAGATTCTGGCCGACCATCTCTGTTCGATTCGTTGCAACCTGGACAAGCTTCATCGTCTGGATCATCTACTTCCTTGCAGGAATCATGCTTAGCTTCAACGTCCACTGGCAGAACTCTAATCTCCCTCGCGCGTCATTCCTCGGTTCCCCTGTCAACCGTACCGATGACAACCAGATTAAAAGCAACTCCGGGTTCGTCATTAGCGCATCGCTTTCTAAAATTCCCGGGCTGGCCGATATGGTCGCGGCGATTATTCTCATAACCGTGATTTTTTCGGCCAACACAACTCTTTACGTCGCCTCGCGAGCACTTTTTGTTCTCGCCCGCAAAGTCCACGGTAACGAGTGGTACTTGCAGTGCCTGGCGTTCTTTGGAAAAACGAATCATTACCAGGTGCCTGTCAGGGCAATGCTTCTTTCGTGTTGTTTTCTGTGGGTGCCGTTCTTATACCTTTCACCACAGAGCTCGCCGCATACGACTATTGCAAGCGTGAGTTTCCTCCTTTTTTAGAAATTTATTTCTGACACCTAAACAGTTATTCGAGGTTCTTTCCCAAATGGGCTCGGTGAGTTGCATTATTGTCTGGACTTGTGAATGCTGGGCGTTCGTCCGGTTCTATAACTGGTAATCTCCACGACTCTGTAGAAATTTGTGCTATGTTGACATTAAATTAGTCTTTACCAACACCGTGATAAGATCAACAGCTCCCCCTCCTTGGCACGACTCCGCCGCTTTCCCCAGGGTGTAGAAGATCTATACCCCTGGCGCTCCCACGGCCAGCCCTTCACCATGTACCTCGCACTTTGTGGCTGCTTGTTCGTCCTCCTCGTCGCTGATGGTGCTGCACTGTGGCACGGCTTCTTGATCCCTGGATTGCTCTCTGCTTATCTTGCCGTATGTTCCTCACCCCATCTTAAAATCTTCATGAAAATATTGATTATACTCAAAAGCCACTCTGCTTCGTCGTTCTCTGGTTCGGTATCAAGTTCCTGCGCTGGAGAAGCCTGAAGCTACATCTTGAGAATCTGTCGGACTTCGAGGAGGCTAAGCTGAGGTTCCGATATCTGGATGAGATTGCCCAGAGAGCTGCGGTAAGGATTCAACCGCAACAGCCGCGCGGATGGGGAAATCTATGGGGCTTGATGTAAAATACACATCAACTAAGTATCCACGTACGCAGGTTCAGGCTGGTCGGTTTCCCAGGGAAATCATCAAAGAATCTTAGAGTTGATATGACTGCCCAGGTCTCCATTGTCAGAGGCATTATCCTATAACAGTGCTGGACGCTAAAATGTGCTCACTTCGGATCTCCATTGATTCCCTACTAGACCTAAAATGGACAACAAACGACCTAAAACTAGAAAATGTCAGTCATGCAAACGTCAGCGGACTTCGCCGTCAAATCCAGGGCCCAAATTGATAGATTCATAAGTACATGGAACTGATTGATATTGAGTGCTCTCGCAGACGTCGGTCAGAAGTTTTGTCAATGCGCCATAACATAAACGAAATGAAAGGATGCAAGCTCTCGCATGAAGGGAGTTATATGTGTTCGCTCAATTTTCCTAGCTCGAAACTTGTCTCAGCCACTACAGCAAGTCTCATGTCCCTTCATTGCGGAACGAGAGGTGTGAGATGGTTGCCATGGCCATCAAGAACTAGGAGGCGGTATTTCCTAATTGTATGGCCAGTCGTAGCAGAAATAAAGAGATTTTAATCCAGCGAAGGCCTGTATTATGGTAGTCGGTCCATTAGGGCTAATTTCAATTCTGCAGTTAGGTGGGAGCTTCGGGTCTTAATACCAACCCTCTATATGGACCTTCCTTTGAAGATAATGCATGGCGGGATCATCTATCCAGTAGGGATTATGCGATAGAGGTAACTTACTCTTGATTGATTGCCCGATTACCTAGCAGTTTAATCAAGTTAGCAACCCACTTCTCTCCCTTAGCTCCAACTGCTGGTCCATGACATCTGCCACCTGCTCTATTTCCGACTGTTATGAGCCCGATTCGTAAGTAAGAAGACTATATTCGTCAACTGAAGCTATTCGCAAGGTTTATCCGCGGTAGCTACCCGGCTAGACGTCTGCCTCTTACCTCTGACTGTGAGGGGCTGAAGCAAGACTTGATTCAATCTAGCTAGGCCAACATGCTGTTTACAAAAAGCTTGGGGAAGAAAGGTTCGTCCCGCGTGTTCTCAGTTTTCTCATTGGCAGTGCAGGGGTGACGCGGGAAAGTCTAGAAGAGTCTATAAGGCTGACAGTACGAACCGTCTCAATAGGATGCCTAGGCCGCGAAGCACGACATAGGAGATTTGAGCTGCTGTTGACCTTTATAAAGACATGTGCACATCTCCGCCGAAAATACGGCTGATTTAATGAATAGAGAAGATATGTCATAGCCCTAGTTACTCGGCTAAATAAACACAGAATGAAATTCTTTTCAGTAAAAAATTGAAGGAATGAATAAAAGTAGAGTCAACAGCGTGAAAATGAATGAGAAAGGAGTGGTAGTGGCAGCTAGGAAAGCAAAGAGCGAAGCCGACCCAGAAAAAACATAGCAAAATGACGGCGAATTACAGGCCCTTCATTCCCCCTTTTTTTATGGCAAGTTTAACAGTTTCTTAGTTCTCTAATTACCCTGCACGCACCTCCAGACTCGCTCCACTTCGTTTAAAGACATGTGTGGGTAACACGATGTAGTTAGGGTACAAACACTCCAGCAACAGAGCCATAAGGACCACGCTAAATCATCTTTATCTGGGTTTTAGGACTCTGCCTCATTTAACCTTTGATTTAATTTATTCATACTATAAAACAGTAACGGGATTACTCTGCATAAAAACCAGCTGACCAAGTCTGAAAAGACCTAAGCCAACTAAGTCAATGTAAATAACAGAGTCCCTAAGAAAAGTAAGACTATTCTATTTTTTAAATAGAAACAGCCTGAAGTTGATGCTCTAGTTAGTTGTGAGCTACTATTAGCACAGCATAAGCAAGGGGCATCACCTGCTCACCTGACCCTAGAAAGAATGATTTTACTAGGATCATCAAGGACTCCCCTATTAACTATAAGCATGATTAAATGTCCGAGCCTTCTAGTGTGTCTGTCCTTATTTAGGTAGAGAATATCACCCTTCTTTCCTTGCTTCATTCTGTGCCAACTCTACTCTTATCTAAGTGGTTCCTACCCCTCCTTCAAAAAATCCGCTGCCTGTGTACCCGCAGAGTTGCCTAACTAGTTATCTAGAGAGAGAAAGTTCTGGTTGCTATATTTACATTTCTTACATAAACTAAAGATGATCTAAATCACATACCTGCCGTTTGTATCAAACAAGATACGGGTTCTGCATCTCTGAATATCATCCTTGCTATCAATAAAACCAAGAAAGCTGATGACATTGTCATTCTCAATGACTTGAGTGAAGCTGCATATGACTCATTCGTACAAATGTTAATATTCTCTGGAAGGCTCTAGGCCTCTCACCCAATGGAGGCATTTCAATAAGCTTCACGAGCTGCCGCCCAAAGAGATACGGTGTGTGCTTCCACATCAGACTGGATCCGATGTTCTAACAAGACTGTTGTTGTGGCAGCAAACGCCGACCGCGGACCGAGCAATGATGAAGACGAAACGAGACGAGTGACAACTGCCCTCCACCATAACGGCACCCTACACAAAGCCCACAGCGAGCTCTATTTGTCGATGCAGTTGGCTATACTGGTGTGCCTGACTGCCCACCGAAGGCCATCTTTTGTCTTACCACGCAGGTCGATTGATTTGGCAAATATTTCGGGAAGAATGGCATTGACCATTGTAATGTGTTTTGATAATCGATGGCGACACATTGACCGCCAATAAGTACTCTTTTCATTGTGTCAAGCTGCCACAAGCATTGGCCGGTCGAGGCGCACTTGCTCGTCGGAGTAATCGCTCAAAGAAGAGACGCCAGCCATGAGCGGAGCTCTTTCCCCTGTCGCGACTCTTGCGCGTCGTTGAGCAAGCGATAAACGATAGGTGCTGTGTGAGGTTCATCGTGACCAACAAAGTATGACGTGTTTGGAACAGCCATCTTTACGAGTCAAAGCAAACATCAGCTTAATTCCAAAAAAGCAATGAGCTGAATTGCAAGGTGTGTTTACCTTGAACTTCTCCACGAACTCATCAATGCAAGTTATCAGAATCTCATCTGACCCTGCCAGAATAAGCACGCTACTAGCCTTAATCCCGTTCCACCACTCCGCTGGCGCTAGATGAGGCTGGTTGTAGTTGTCCTCTCCCTGGTCTGCCAGATACGCCCTGCTGCACGACACAGCGGAAGCAGATGTGATTATATCCTTATACATATTCGTCATAACAGACGGAAAACTCTGTGAAAAGGAGACCCACGGGCTGATTAGAAACACACCAGCTAAGGGACCAGATATGTCCAGGGGTTCAATTGCTTTGTGGGTATGTGAGATATGAGATAGCACCGCCAATGTGAGATTACCGCCGGCAGAATCACCGCCTATTATGACATTTGAAGGGCTGCGACCGGTTTCCTGGATCAAATAGCGAAGTCCTTCCACAGCTTGTTTTAGCTGAGTCGGGTATACCGCCTGCGGAGTGAAGGTGTAAGTGAGAAAGAATATTGCTATGTCCTTGCCTGCATCGTTGAGATTATCCATTATGTCAGTGACGAAATAAAGATGTGCCGGGTTTGCAGGCATTGCAAAACCACCACCTATATATTGTAAGTTTTGCCTTTTGTTTCTGAAAGCTTCGCTCCAGGGAGTTTGTGACTTACCATGGAAGTACAGGAGGACGTTTTCCGCATTCTCGTTTCCAAACCAGTGCCCTGAAGCACCGTGCGCTAATTTAACTGTGAGAGGAGCAAATCCGTTTCGTTTCGCGAAAGCTTCGTAAGTGCAACTATTCGGAGGGTTCAAAGACCTATACAGATAGTGGCTCGGTAAGCCAGTGTTGCCAACTGAGCTACAAGCAAAACGTGCTTTTCCTCTGAGGGGTACAGCTTACTGGCTTTGCCTCATCGAGAAACGTGAGAACATTTGTCTGATAACCGCATATTTAATATGCTTGCTATAGGATTTGGCACCCCATTCTCCGCGAAAAGCGCCCGTGGTTGCAGCGTAAATGGCCGCGGCGATCAACGATAAGTACGCTGGGATGAGGTCGAGCTTTTCAAGTAAATTAAGCTTCGGAGGATAATTGTCCAACGCCATCTCCCAGGATAGCATATTCTTCGCAAAGAGGTTTTTGTACAGTAAGGTAGACTAGGAGACGGCCCAGAAATTTGCTCTTCCATTCATTTCAATCCGAACACAGCCCTTTATGCCGCACGCAGGATTGCGAGAGTGTAATTTGGAGAGTTTGTGTCTTCCAATGACGACCGAAATACCGAGGAGTTACTTGCATTAGCCGACGTAGACATTGAAACATCATTCGCATTGCCGAGGCACTTTCTGGCCCTCAAAACTCTTAACAACAATACCTCTAAGCGGATTAGCCACATACGCCCGGCCTTTAGGTCCCCGGTAGCTAAAAATTGGATCACTGGCTTCTACGCCTTTCGACCCCGCACTTTTATAAAGGTCCAGCCTACCACATTGCTCGGTGAGTAAGTAGGATGCAAACTCCACGAACAGCAGAAGAACGGTCCTGTCCTGATCCGATGTGGAAGTCTCGCTTCATCTACCCAATAGCAGACACCGAAGACGAGACAAAGTTGGATAGATATGTTTAATGGCCAAAGCTAAATTGTCATTCTCCGCACCTCATTTGTAAATAGTCAAGCCAACGATGTCTGTGGACAAATACCTGATGCAGTCACCTAGGTGATATTCAACCCATCCTCCAGACTCGAGTTGTTCATGAAAGTCGGAAGAGCATCCTTCTTATAAAGTACCCTCTCTGTCGTCCGCATCTTCCGTCATGCTCTCTGTCAAGCACCGTTGTTTCATGTTTTGATCATTATCAGTGTCTCCAATCTCTACAGCCCACCTTCTTTTCCTCCTAACGCAATTAGAGCGAGGCTCTTTGATCAAGTGCACATCAAAGAAATGACGCCTCAGTGCTATAACACCAGTGTACTGTTTCCTAGAATAACAAGGGTGGGGACACAAAGCCATGGTTAAGGGCTGCAATGCTGACAAGTGCCCATTAATGTGGTTTAGAAGTGTAGTCTTATCCAGCCATTGCTAAAATTACTTATTAGCTCTCTTATTTTTATTGCCTAGACAAAACAGACAGAATCTAGGCACTACTAAAGTATAATAAAACATTAATTGCCTGCATTGTAGCTCAAGATTAGCTAGGTGAGAACCTTAATGCTAAATCTAGTCTTCTTTAGAATATAAAAGCTGAGCATATAGATAGCAAAACTACATAAAGGTCTAATAAATATAATAGTAGGCTTTTTTACTGTTCTTATAGCATTGCTAGTAGGGAGCTATATTTAATGATTTTCTCTAATATTATAATATATATTTAGCATGAGTTTAGAAGGCAAGACTGTACTTATTATTAGCATTAATAAGTTATATAAAAGGGCAAAATAACAGACCTAGATATTAGTATTAAATAGACAGGGCAGAGGCCATCCACTAGCCCCAGGCCTAGATAGTATATAACTCTATCAGTTACTTTACATAGTGAAATTATATCTTATAAGTATTATCTTCTAACCTTACTATCAACTATCACTTCCTTAGAAAGGTTCTCGCGCAAATAAGCTCTGACTGGTATGTATTTAGAGTAAATATCAAAGACTTTTATAGTATTATGCTTAGAGAAGTAATTCCTAGCAAGATATTTATTATAGTAGCTATTCTACTACTATTTAATAAATGCGTCTTGCTTTACCCGTAACTTTTTTGCTTTTTTTATATATAGTCTAGATTATTCTGCTACAAGAGACTTATGAAGGTTGGGCTCCTATCTAATTTAGTTAGTTAGTTTAGAAAAACATCTATTAAGAGTAACAACTTCCTCATTATATTTAATTTTAAAAATTACTGCAGCATTAAGGTAAAGAGGAATATTTAGATTATAATAATATATTATACACTGTTCTATATCTTAACACTCATAATCCAGTTCAATGTTATATGTAATAGCTTGCATATTAAGTACCTTAAGCAGTGCTTAGTACTTAAGAAATATATTATGATTTTAGTAATTAAGTGCTTAGCTATATATTGCTTCTGTGGCCTTAGCTGTATTAATTAAGTTAGCAAGATTGATAAGTAAATAGAAGAAAAGAAGAATAAAAAGAGTAATAAGATAGTACTATCTCCTTACAGCTTTAATATATAGTTAACTCTATTCACCACCTGCCCTCTAATACCATGAATATATAGCTAGTTTTAAAATCTATCCCTTTCTCTAAGACTAGTGAAATAATGTCTTAATAAGGAGAAGGTTAGTCCCTTATCTAACCTTAGACCACTAGGAGTGACCATTAAAAAAAAAAGGGAGATCTTTAGTAATATCTATCTATTATAAAGTCCATGATTCTCTTCCCTCTAGTGGTCTTTGGGCTAGTAGTTTATTAACAGAGGATATGCCCTTGAAGGCATCATTAGTAATGCTATGGACCATCACCTAATAGATGAAATTTATAGTAAGAATGGGATGCTCCCTAAACTAATTCTTAGGCCTAGACTCTCACAGTAAGCCATGGTTAATATAAAGCTCAGAGAGGGAATAATGTATAGGGTTATATTATCTTAGTAGTGTCATCCTTTCAGGAATTTAGGGTTAATAGTTACCTAGTATTTTACTTTCCCAGCTAACTTGCTCCACTTTATATGGAAAGATAAATACTATGCATAATATAAGTAACCTTAATGCATTAGAAAGCATGTTTAGAATAATAGACCCTATAGTAAAGGCACTTATTTATATTTCTATAGAAGCTTAACTCTATAATAGTACTAGCTCTAGCCCCTAAGCCTATAAAAAGTGCAAGACTACTTCTAGTTTATACCTATGCCTACTTATGTATATAGTCATGAGGATCATCTCTAAATAAATAGTAAAGTAAGTATATAATATTCTTAGCTATTACTAAGTATACTTTGCATAGTTTTATTAAAAGTCCCTATTTTTTGGTCAAATCATCTTTGATGAACTAAGAGTTTATTAGCATCTAGATTATTATAATAAATAGCCTTCTAGAAGGGGATATATATTAAAGATATTATCTTTTACTTATCTTAGGAGAGTCTAAGAGGTCTTATACTCTTATTTTAAGGTAAAGCTAGTAAAGTTATGATAGACTATCTTCTGAGATGGCAACCCCTTTTTTTATATAATAATAAATTCTTTGGCAAAGAGCTTAAGGATTTATAGAGAGGGGTTAGGTTCATCCTTAGAAAAATTTATTATTATACTTTCATTATAGGAAAGTCTCTATCTGCAACTAGCATTAGCACAATAGTTTTTGATATTAATCCTAAAATGGTAGTAATAGTAATAACTTACTCTGCCTAATTAAATACTGCTTTGTTATACTTTGCATTAGTAGCTGATGCTAGTCTTAGATGGTAAATAATGTTCTCCTTCTGTTCCTGCTGAAGTTGATAATCAAGAGTAAACCTATATAACTTAGTATGCCTCTACTACTCTCTAACTACTTTCTCTAGACCCTCTTTGTCTACTTCTGAAAACATGGTCATGTGATGTTATGTGCAGGTGTGAGCTCTGGGGCAGGTAGATAATTTAGTAGAGATTAAATAAGACAAGAACTAAAAAACTTTATCTTGAAGGACAGGGCTCTCAGTCTATTTAATAGTAGCTAGATTAGTTACCTAGCATGTGTTTTACTTGGTTAAGGTGCCCTTAACCACTTATAAACCCTCATCACCACCTCTTATCACCACTCTGGAAAATAACTCGCAAGTGATGATGAGGAGTAATAAAGTCCTTACCTATATCACTAGTACCTACACTAAAATTGCAAGGTTGCTTTTTCAATAGAGCAAGGCTTTTTAAGAATTAACTGTGTTTAATATGTGGCTTAAGTATGGCTGAGCGGATGGGAAGCCCTGTTTTCCACACCCTATAGTTATATGTACTTTATATTTCAGGTATCGCAAATCATATCCTGAGAGAAGTTTGTTATAGAGATGATGTGTGAGCACCTTAGGTAGTGACTGACAAATCTTGGGCTAATAGACGCTAATCTATAAAAGTGCCAAGGTATCGACAACATATCTGACCCAGATAAGCAGAAATCTTCAGCAAAACCATACCTACGGGGGTTGATAATCTAATGATTAGATCAACACTGGTCATATTCTGAATCACATTTTAATAAAGCTAGTGCCAGTTCCAAGCAGCTCAGCTATTTGGGTCAAGATCCAGCAGAATAATGCTCAACAGATAAAGCTCATCCAGATACAGTAAGAGTAATTACTTGCCAAGCAGGGGGTCATACGCAAACCATAAGAAGGAATCAGGAATGCAAGATTTAACTAGAGAGGCCTGGAGACGTTACTGCTCTGGAAAGTGTGGGATGGCAAGACTTCTGGTTTGATGTACCTGGATGTAGCATGATCTACTGCCCTTGTTCATTCTTTTCACCCTATGGAAACCTCCCTCAGGAACGGGAGTAGAACGGGAGTACGATCAGGCGTGCACCGGGTACAACCCGAAGGAGTTTTATATGGTTCCAGACCTAATCAAGGGTTATCAACAAAAAAAATAGTATGACCACACCCGCACTATCCAGTGGAAGGGATCCCAATATGCTCTTGAATGGGATAAGATAAGAAGAATTTTTCTTCGCTGCGGATAGGAAAAATTGCGCAGGGAAGAGACAAAGTGAGCGCCTGGCAAAATAAATTAGAATTTACTAATCTTCTTTAATATTACGCATACGATGAGCATAATTTATAGATATTAGGGGGTGGTCATGGCAGGTATATAATTTGAATTAATGCTATTTAAAATCAAACCTTTACCTGGGTGTTCGCGGTCGGAGAGGGTTGAAGATTAGTATGGTAGTAGTAGTGGTGGTGATGATGGTGGTATCTTATATGGTAAACGTGTTTCATTCACCTTGAAATTGATTCATGGTCAACACACGCTGACCTTCTTTCCGCTGGACCACGCCGACCGTTTCCGACACACGCTGGGCTGCTAGCCCTCCCAAGTACCATCCAATAGACGAGCATCCGTCGCTTCACACAACAATGGCTGCTGTCAAATCAGGATATCTGTCGCCTAAGGTAGGATTGTGTACGTTATTACCTCACGATTCCCTGCATATATGCACGCCTGTCACACCCGCAGGTTCCGGTCACATCGGCCATCTTTAATGTGACATAAGGTGCAGAAAACAATATGCACACAGTCAGATGGCACTGTGAACGTAGCTCGTACGCACCAATGGGAGGCTTTTGCTCTACAAGGCTATTCCGGAAATATGTGTCTGACGTGTTGGACATATGTCGTTAGCCAGATTTATCTCCGCTCTTGCGCCCAGTGCGGCTGCATTGTGAGATTACTTATTCGGCTCATCTGACACTGAAGGCTAACTGAGCTCGGAATATATTCTTTACCTATACAAGACATCCTACTGTGAGCCATGGCTACCGCTGCGAGTCTTGATTCAGTCGAGTTTTTCCTCGGTGGGAATAGGAATCTCCGCGTATACTACCAATTCGGCGACGATAATACCCTTCGTGAGTCTTGCTTTGCGCAGGATTATGGCTGGTTCATCCGAGGGAACGGGATTATTGCAAAGGATGCCAAACGCAACTCCCCGGTTACTGCCACACGTTGGACTGACAATCCGGGAACCACTCAGGTGAGTCCGGTTACGCAAATAATCGTTGTATTTCACCTGACTAGTTCAGATACGTGTCTACTATGTGGATGACGCACACGATATCCGCGAGGTAAGATCCAGGCAGCATCTGCGTAGTTCAAACGGATATTTTTAACAAATGGGAAGTGCCAAGGTGATAGCCAGCTAACAAGTTTATGGACGTCACGGACTATTGGTTATGCCTCAGATACTGAGATTGGGCTTGGCTCCCAGCTTGCAATTGCTCGTCCTGACAAGGATGACCAATTGCTAAGGCTGTTTTACTAAGGGAATGATGCCTCGTTACGCGAGGTTAGATTTGACTCCAGCGAGCAAAACTGGTCCGTACAAGACAACCCCATTACGTTAGACGCAATTACGGGCACAAGGCTGTCCGCAGTGTCCGACAAAGCAAAACAGGCTGTGCGTCTCTATTATCAAGGAAACGACTACAGGCTTCGCGAAATGTACTGCGACGAAAACTATACGTGGGGACATAACTGTAAGATTGTCGATATGCTACATATAGAGATAGCTCTTTAGGAACTGATATCGCATACACCAATAGCGACCATAATCAGACGAAAGCCCCCTCTCGTCCGAAATGCTCCTATTTCTGCCGTTAGCTGGAGAAACGACAACGGCGAACTGCAAATCCGTGTCTTCTCTGTTCATTCTGCCGAGAGAAATGCGGTTTCGCAATTTTCGTACAGATTTCCTAACTGGCAAGGTCCCTTTGACCTGAAGGTGCCATACAAACTGGATTCGGGAATCGCAACATGCCGGAATACTGGAACGAACACGACCGCCCAGAGCCCAATTTCTGTTTTCTATCAGAATGGGCCGAGGATCATTGATTTAGCGCCTATTCCTGCGGACGAAACTCCCCTCGGCAAGCAGATGGCTTCTGGTATTCAAGGACCCGCGGGAATACCGATATCAAGGGGCGGAGAAACAGAAAAAGAACAAGGTGAGAGTTGTATGCTACGTCTTTGATGAAAATAAGCTGACTAGCTAATGCGACCAGAAGCGCAAATTCCGTTAGAAGCTCAATCAGATGCTCAACTAGACGTGCAGCCAGACGTGCAGCCAGATGCACATCAACCTGGTCATGATTCTCGTAACGAGGCCCAGGAAGCGAATGCCGCCTGGTCCGAATTTAACATCATTGACTATGGTACTTATAGTCTCTATGTGGGCCCGCCCGATCTTGCAAGGGTATCTCCCGGTACCATCTCATTCTCACCAAGCGGCAAATTACTGGCCATTGGCGATAGTGACTCGCCATGCACTCGGATCTGGGATGTACAGCGGGCCACCGAACTTAAGTGCAGTACGTATACTGGGAACACTGCTTTCGTTAGAAGTGTAACTTTTGCGCCAGACAGCGAAGACAAAGTTTGGGTGGGGAGATGGCAGGGCGCCTTTTTCTGGGAATGGCCGAGCAAAGATAATATCGAAGACGCCCAACTCCGTGATAATTCATCATGGGCTGACATATTGACACCTTCGCCGGATGGCAGATATTTGTTAGCCAACGATGTGTTGTGGTACATGTCTCCACCTACGCCAGCCAAGCTCGGAACATTCCCTAGTGGTACAGCTCTCGCATTTTCACAAGACAGCAGCCTCGTGGCTACAATTTACAAAAACTCGGTCAATATCTTCGATGCTGCGAGCTTAAAACTTCTGAAAACCCTCAAAGGTCATTCGGGCGAGGTTACAACTGTTGAATTCCTGGACAGACGGGATATGATTGTTACTGGGTCTAGGGATTATACAATAAGGCTTTGGGACTGGACAAATGAAAAGTTGAAGGGAGTACAGTTCCACCAAGCTGAGGTTACTTGGGTCGCAGTTTCACGAAACGGCAAATGGGTGGCCTCGGGATCTCGTGATGGAATACTCAAGCTTTGGGACGGGGCGCTAGCAAGAGAGTGCGGTGAGTTCCGAGGGCACGTAGGCGGGAATACTCGTACTATTGCATTCTCTCCAGATAGCACTCTGCTGGCAGCTGTGTGCTCTCGACAAGTCAAGATATGGAAGATAGGCTCCTAGAGAATTGGTCACACTTGGTGCGGACAAGTTCGGCTTGATCTTGAAGTGGTTCACAAATCTGTGCCACCTAGTGACATAGCTCCTGGGAGTCATATTATGGTCAAGCTCCCCCAACGGGTTGAAACAGCCGTACTCTATTGTCAGTGTAACATGGATTCTTTTGTGCTAGGAGTGGCCCTGGATGACGACAGCCGCGGTGGGTCGAGTGATATTCGCAGGCATAGTACTATAACTAATGCAGTAACAGTGGATACTGAAGTAACCTGCTAGTAGTTTAGTCTTCTACTCTTTCATTACCTAAGTAATTAGCTTATAAGGGAGTATATAAGTGTGCGGGCTACTCCCTATTTAAATATATTTATAAAGAGCTCCATTATGACAGTCAGGGTAGTTGCAGCCATTATACTGATATATACTGTAATGACTAATCTAGAAGGTTTTAAGAGTCTAGAAAGCATAGCTTTACTTGCCTTTAGCAGTAGTAAAGCCACACCTATTGTATTAGACTCTGATATTACCACTAAGTTAAATGAAAATAGCGATGTAGGCATGGAGTAACTTAAATATATTAATATACCTTCCTTACTGCTATAATATCCCCAGAGTCCTACTATATAATAATCAGATATAGTTAACTAAACCTTACTCCACAGGTCTGATAGACTGCTGCTAGCATAGGTTAATGCATCATGGGCTGAGTCTGCAAGATTAGATACCTAGTTAGATAGACTAAAGAACTAAATAATTCTCTGTTGTATCAAGCTTATCTAATCTATCTAAAGTTAACGTAATCAACCACCGAGCGACGAATACCCCTGAGCGACGAATTTCTCCCTGGGTCAACCACTTCCTTTCTTTAATGCGTTCTTTTATCATCACCACTATTAAAAATGCCTTTATCTCAAGAAAATCGGATACAAATGGCAATTGCAGCCATTAAGAATAAAAAAATTAAGTCAGTACTAAGCACTGCAGAGACCTTTAGCGTGCCTGAGCCTACCCTTCGCGCTCGCCTCAATGGAAGAAAACCACGCTCAGAAACACGTGCTAATGGCCATAAATTAACAGCTCTGGAAGAAGAAGTTCTTACCAAGTGTCTACTAGATGCAGATAAACGGGGCTTTTCAATTCGACCAGAGTTCCTACGTGGAATGGCGCAGATATTACTCCATGAGCGTACACAGGATCCTACCACAACCATTGGTGTCAACTGGGCATATAAGTTTATTAAACGCCATCCAGCCCTTCGCACACGATATAACCGGAGGATTACATACCAGCGTGCAAAGCAGGAGGATCCAAGGGTTATAAAACAGTGGTTTACAACTGTGCATGAGGCTATTCAAGAATATAGCATCCATGAGGATGACATCTGGAACTTTGATGAGACTGGCTTTGCAATGGGACTCTGTACAACTTCTAAGGTTATCACTGCAGTGGATCGCAGTGAGAGACCCCATACTATCATTCAGGGTAACCGCGAATGGGTTACAATAATTGAATGTGTGAGCTCAAAGGGGGTTTCTATACCACCAGTGGTTATCTTAAAGGGGAAAGAGCAACAGGCTACCTGGTATTAAGAATCAGCAGTTCCTCAAAGCTGGTTAATTGCAATGAGTGATAATGGCTGGACAACTGATATAATAGGCCTTTGCTGGCTTAAAGAGGTGTTTGAGCCATACTTAAGGCAGCATTCAACTGGTGCAAAGAGATTACTTATTCTTGATGGCCATTCTAGTCATCAAACTGCAGAATTTGATGCATTCTGCAAGGAGAATGCAATCATCTGCCTTTGCATGCCACCACATACTTCTCACCTTCTGCAACCATTGGATGTTGGTGTTTTTGGTCCACTAAAGCACACATATGGGAAGTTAGTTGAAGGAATAATGGTTGCTGGCAATAACCATATTGATAAGGAAGACTTCCTACACCTATACCCATCTGCGCGTGAGAGGGTCTTTATCCAGAAGAATATACACAGTGGCTTTACAGGTGCTGGTCTTAAACCACTTAATGAAGACCGGGTGCTTGAAAAGATTACTTTTCAACTTCGTACACCAACACCACCAATTCTTGAAGGCTCTATATCATCTGCTTTTCAGACTCCTCAGAATCCTCAGCAACTAGATAAAAAGGTCCGCAGCCTACAGAGAAGTCTTCAGAAAAGAAAGCTTTCTAGCAGTCCAGTATCCCATATCCAACATCTTGAAAAGGCTGCATAAATGGCAATGAATATGAACCTTCTTCTTCAACAAGAAATCAAGGTTCTACAGGCTGAGAATGAGTGAAAGATGAGAAAGAAGGCAAAGAGGCGTGCTAACCTAGGTAATGATATCCTTCTATCTATACAGGAAGGTCAAAGTCGCATTCAGCAGCTTGATATACCTCTTGTTGAGCAGGCCAGTGAGCCTACACCTATACCTAGTCAGCGGGCTCCACCACGCTGCAGTGCGTGTTGGACTATTGGACATACTAGAAGGAATTGTCCTAATATATAGCTATATATTCAGCTACTAGATAGTCAAGTCTAATGATGTTGGTGGTTGAAAAGCTTCAAATTAGTATTAGAAGCGGCAAAAATTCGTCGCTCGGGGGTATTCGTCGCTCGGTGGTTGATTACGTTAGTTATAATCTATTAGTATTAGGTCTATGGCTTATTGCACGTCCTTACCTTTTAGGAAAAATAGATCTTGGGGTAATAAAGTAGGTCTACATCCCTTAAAGATAATAGCTAAGCATATTAAGGCTGCCGCGCATAATGCTAAGGGGACTAGTCTTAAAGTATTTCATAGCATTGCAAAATGGGCAACCAACCAATGCAACCCAAGATAGATCAGGACAACGCTTTGGTCTCTAGCACTCATGAAAAGTTGTCCTTATGATAGGGTTGGTGCTGGATATAGGGTCTATGATGACCGGTCTTCCTGGGCCAATAGCTACCAATAGCTACCAACCATCATGTGGCCGCGTCAAAAGCAGCGTGCACAAAGGTCCATTGATAGGGAAAATATTCCTTCTTCTCTAGCATCATATATAAGGGACTGCATTGTGCACTGCTATAAGAAGATGTTTACTGACTACCTGTCAGTTTAGTTCTGCAAACCAAAAATAAGGCTGCTGTTATTCATCACAACTGTTGTAGCTTGTGTTTTGGCGATGGCCTATCAAGATTAATAAAGAGACTCTTATCCGGTAGGTCATGTGGTTATTCAACTCAGTAATTCACACTCACCTACTTTTAGGATCATTATGGCCGACTAGAACTTTGAGCTTACACCAAAAGCAACTACTAAGAAGAAATAGCTTTCACCACCTTTAACAACATCAGTTTTACACAAAATATCTCTAATACATATATATCCTGCAGTTTTAAGCTCTCCTGATCACTCCAAGGTCAGGAGCAGCTAGATATTTCTATAACATATGAAATCAAAGCCTGGTCTTTAAATAAAAATCAGCTATCCTTCAATAGTTCATCATGTAATCATTTCTAACAAAGTTATTTTGCTCTTAATGGGAGCACAGATTGTCATAGTACACCTAACTTTACTTACCCTCACTTATGGATCAATCCAGGCCTCTAAACGAAGTCAATTCTGTCGCATGGCGAAGCATACAGTTGTTTAAAGTACTGTTATCTTCTAGTCAGTTAATATATAACATGCAAGACCACTTGTCGCTCATATCTTTGGTATGAATACTCAAACTCCAGGCAGGAACTACCAAACGTCTTTGACCTGTCTGCTGTGCTTCTTTTCTGAGTCAATGTAACGGGTGGCTGTTGCACATCTTTCTGGAATCTCGGTTTGGGAATTTTATTTTCGCGAAACATGCCGGGCTGTCCTAGATACAGTGACACAGACATAAGATCAGAAGTTACTCCCCATCTCTACTTGGTCGGCTGAGCCTCGAATAACAGACACCTCCGACAGCTTGGAGAGCTTTGGTGCCCCTGAATGGCTTGTTTGCGATACCTGCAGCCATAACATAGAATATGGAATTTCTCGAGGTATATCTTGATCTGGTATCCAGTTTCCTGGATTTTATCGCCGAAAAGCTTTGCATATTAGGTACTGGCCTACTTGCTGCTGGCTGATAGATATATAGGCGCGCTCTAGGGTGTCTTATCATCACCCTGGGCAGTCCTCAGAACCTGGGATAAGCAGCGACTATATAGCTGAGTGAAGACAGTCTGACATGAATCTTGAGAAAGCAGGCTGGGTATGAACTCCCGAAACTGGGCTAGAGTTACAGCAGGGCATTTAAACCGGCAACCGATAGGCATAAGAAAAGGAAAGCGAGAACCAACGCAGTCGTAAAATGATCTTGCTACGATATCTTATCCAGTGCATAAGCAGCTTTTCAGACGATGGCAAATGGCCAGGATTTTAGCACTCGCTTCAACCTTCCAAATTTTTCCTTGGCCTTTCTCTAGTCAGTTCCGGTCTTCTAAAGTCATCTTACAACTCACTCGGAGACTGTTCAGAATCCTTATATGAACTGATTGGACAACGATTTAAGGTTACATTGCCTCAAGTAAGTCTGTTACTGTGAATATAGATAGATTCCACCTAGCATATTATTGCCGGTTTCCAAAATGATGGGTGATCTGATGGATTTGCATGCGCCGAGTACAGTCACAGGAAGTAGTGCTTAAATCAGTCAAACTCACACTACTACTACCTGTCTGAAAAGATATTTGAGTCACACAGTACCAAGTCTTGCGCCTAACCAGGGAATTTCTCCCGAAGTCTCTCGAGGGCAGCCTGCGACAGTCTTGCCACTGTCTCGGCTCCGGTGATTTCGAAGACATTGACATCCAACTGAAGATGTGTCTTCCACCAATTCCTTATCTCGATCCTCGTCAACGAATCGACTCCCAGCGATGACAGTGATCTGTCTACGTCCAGCTCGTCTTGTGGGAGCAGCAAAAGGGAGCCGATTTTGGACGAGACTTGTCGTGTAAGGAACGCAAGTGTTTCTGGCTCATCAAGGATGGTCGGTTTGACAGCTACTGAAGAGAGAAAATCTCCCATGCTGTCGGTTACCATGATGTCTCCCTTATCAGTTGAGGGAGCTTCCAGGACCCCCAACCGAAGCAAGCGGGTATCTTTCAAAAATGGATCTGTGTCTCCAACCCGTGCAGATCGTCGTCCGGAGACAAGTCCGAGGGCAAAATGGCCCGGGTTGGTGATCCCAACCTCGGAAATGTGGGTCGTGGGAGAAATAATAACTGCCCCTTGGATCGCGTCAATTATATCTTGCTCACTCAGCCAACGTACACCAGACTCCCAGTAATGTTTACCAGGCCCAGGATTTTTGCTGAGGTACCCGATGTCCTCTACCGCACCAATATCTATCACTGACGCTGGAAGTCCCCGAGAACGTCGATATAGTGAGAATGAATCCAGGAAGGTATTAGCTGCTGCGTAGTTTGCTTGGCCCTTGTTACCAATCGTTCCAGCGAGAGAACCGGTAACGACGAAAAAGTCGAGCGGGACTGATTCGAGCGCGTGATGTAGAATCCAGGTCCCGATCACCTTGGGCCCTAACACCTCCATCCAGTCGCGATACGACATGAGGGAAATGGGATGATCCTATTCAAGTCATTAGCGTGTTTTCTAATCGAAGTGATGCGTATGGATGCATACTCTCAAGACCATTGATAGCTGAATCACGCCTGCGAGTGGCGCTGTACAAGCAGCAACCGCTTTCTGAACGTCCTCCATCTTGGCGACATCTCCAGAAACTGCAGTCGCACGGCAGCCCTGGGACTCTAGCTCTTGCAGAAAGACTTGATCATCTTCCGTTTTTCCAGCAAAAGGGGATAGGAAGGTTAGTTCGCGAGCGCCGTTCTCAACCATCCAGCTTGAGATACTCTTGCCCAGCCCGCCTAGACCCCCCACCAGCAGATACGACGACTGTGGAGAGAAGGAAGCTCCTTGAACGCATCTCCTTACCGGCAGCTCATCTTGCCTATCAGGCATCTGTATAAGTATTTTGCCAATGTGTTTGCCTGACCGCATGTAGCGGAATGCATCTTCTGCGTTTTCAGCCTGAAAGATCCTCCTTGGCCAGATCGGCCTGATCTGGCCTTGCTGGAAAAGGTCAACACATTTCTGCAGCAGACTATTTATGTCAGCGACGAACTCAGGGATTTAGATATTATGATTACCTTCTGATCTCGCTCGGTTTCTGTATTACGACGTCTTCCATATCGACAGCGATAAATGCACGATTACGTCTGAACATGTTCAGATTCAACATGCCATTGCTCTCAATATCAACCTTCCCGAGCTCAATGAACTTCCCGTGCTCGGCAACGCACTGCCATGAAGCATGGAGAAGCTCACCAGACAATGAGTTCAAGACAATGTCAGCCCCCTTACCGTCTGTTTCCTTCATGAGCTCGCGCTGGAATGACGTGTTTCTGGAGTTGAAAATGTGTCTTCTAGGAATCTGGAAAGTTGTAGCCAAGAATTCGGCCTTCTCGTCACTTCCGACGGTGGCATAGATCACGGACCCCATCATCTGGCAGACCTGGACAGCTGCTAGGCCGACGCCTCCGCAGGCCGAATGGATCAATACTGACTGGCCAGTTTTTAGGTGTCCAATCTCCAGGAGTGATTGGATCACGGTGGTATACACAGATGGCATCGTGGCGGCCTCCTCGAAGGGCAATTTCTCCGGTATGCGTACGCATAGCTGCTCAGACACAACAGCGCTTGTGGCGAAGCATCCGTGTTCGAGAACCATCACTCGATCGCCAACGCAGAGACTCTCCACGTTAGGGCCAACCTGAGTCACAATTCCTGCCCCTTCCCATCCCAACCTCCGTGTTCTCTGATCAATCATTCCTAGAGATTCTGCGATGTCCTTGAAATTTAAACCGGCAAAATGGAGCTCCACCTCCACTTGACCTGCTGTCGGTTGTCGTCTCTTGTGCTCACTCCAGGATAACGTCTCCAATACGCCATATTGCTCAATATCAAGCGATTTGTAGACCGGCTCTGTCGAGTGTGAGCGTAATTTTTCAATTGCTGGGAACCACTCGTATCGGCTGATATGGATACTGTTATTGATGTACGAATACTCATATTCAATCATGTCGTTGGACTGCTTCTGCTTTTGAAACTTCTCATATACCTGGCGCAATGCATGGCAAGCATTCTCATCCAGTGTATCGACCTCGAAAGTTACAAAGTCATGTGCCAGTTCCTGCCGGACTGTCCGAGCAAGACCCAGAACCAACGAGAATCGTGGATCATCACATTTCATCTGCGACGGCCGCGTTACCCAGATTGTTGCACTGGATGTCGCTTGGGAGAGGTATTCTCGGAAAGCTATCCACTTCTGGGGTGTGATGCTGTGAAAGAAAGGGCCCTCCAGATCCAGGAGGAATATTACAACTCCTTCAACATTCTGAATGTTGTCCAATGTTGATCTGTTGACCCGATAACCCGATTCAAGCAAATGTGCTTCGAGGTTGTGCGCATCGCTGCTGTGCTCGACTGAGACGACCAGAGTAACGTCTTTGGGATGAGAGTCATTACAAAGGTTGCGCGAGGTCATGTAAGCGCTAACTTGAAATGGCGGAGCATTATCGTAAACCACGGAATCAGTGCCCGTGAATCCTGCTGCTCTGAGCTCGCTGTCCCAGCGTTCAGGCAAGACAAACGGCTGCTCTTGGCGTCCATCCGCTTCTCCGACCCACCAGCCAGGGAGGACACCCATGATGAAATTACTCATGCGCATCTGTGAGCAGATCTCCATTAAGAGGAGGCGGCCTCCAGGGGTCAGGAGCTTTTTCACATTTCGAAGAGTATCCTGGAGACTTGGAGTTGCGTGCAACACGTTTGCTGCAATAATAAGGTCATAAGGCTCAGATTCAAACCCTTGCTGGTGAGGATCTTTGCTGATATCGAGGGTTGCAAATTCAATCGACTCGTATTGCTGAAATCGATCCCGCGCAGCCTCGAAAAATCCCGCGGAGACGTCAGTATATGTGTACACCGAGTACTGGCGACGTCCAGTGGGAGAGATCAAGCCTTTGAGTACAGCTTGCGTGGTTCCTCCTGTGCCCGCCCCGATTTCTAAAACTCGCAACGTGGGTTTGGAGTAGCTTAGCGAAGCCAAATAATCGTTCAGCTCCCACGGCGCTTGCATGGTGGTATAGAGGTCCGTCAGGCAGCCACCCTCTATGAGAACCTGGAGCGGATCGACCGAGCCGTGCAGTATGCCTTGACAGTTTTCGAATACCCGGATGATTGGTTCACATAGTGTCCTGACCTCTGACTTTGGATCGGCCGCAAGAACTTGACAGGTGGTATGTCTGATGAGTCGCAGCCGTGCGGGCGACTCAAGGCGGGCCAATTCACAAGCATCCGGTATCACACTCTGTCCATTTCGGATCCTCGACGACTCATAGTCAAGCCAATCTCGGAACTTATCCAGATGAGGCGAGAATTTGTCATTGGTATTCACCCTCTTCGCTTTCTCGGCGCTTTCCAAGATGCAAAGGAGGCTCAGCGTTTCTGCAGTCTTACATGCGAGTAGCGTCCTCTCTTGCATACAAGAGACGCAATGAATGAAATCTTGCGCTGGAAGGAAGTCAATATCCGGCTTCCATTCCAGTTGCGAGATTCTGAGAGCATCGGTAGCAAGATGATCGACTACGTCCAGAGGAACAAGTCTCACCTGCTGCACAGAGACGACCGATCTGCTGCCTGACACCGCCCACACCTGTGCAAACAATTTGCCTGCGGCATTCTCTCGGCTAGAAGCTTCCACTGAGAAAGACAGCTCCTCATTTTCAGGGGGGTGTATCTCAATTTGCTCAACGATTTCCGGTATTGGTATCTTTCCCATTTTACGGATCGCACCACCTTTTTGGGCAACTATTACCACCTGGAAGATCTGATCAATCAGCGCTGGATGAACAGTGTAGTGCTCCGCGGGAAACTGCTGTCCAGGCTTTAAGCATGCAGTTGCTTTTCCGCCACTCGGAACAGTTGAGATCTTCTCCAGTCCGCGAAAATACGGTCCATATTCGAGACCAAGCTTTGCCAATCCAGAATACCACGCATCCGCCTGAATCCGCCGGCCGAGTGGCCCAGTCTCAAGAGCCCCCGCCGGAGTGGTAGACGCCGCAGCCCGGGCTTGGCCGATACAGTGCTTAGTCCAAGCACTGCCATTGTAGGAAGAGATGGTAAAGTCATACCACTCGGAGCTCCGTCGATCGGTCAGGCGTCCCGCTCGGAGCGTGGTGATGATCTCTGTTGGGTTGGAATCTTGCACAATCAATCCAGCATGCATCACAAGGCGCCGGATGATATAGCTCCGGCATCCGGTAATCTGACGGATTGCCTCTCCGATGCTAGCGACGTAGCCGGCAGCTGGGAAGCTTGGCTTTCCCCCAACTGAGTGGTCCCTGATCCAAGGAACGTTCTCGAGTCGAAGGACGTTCCTCCACAGGGGCTCCGACTCCGTAGACTCGGGCACGCGTGCACCAAGAAGTTCATGGTGACCAAACCGACGCAGTCTCCAATCTCGCGTGAGTCGGCTCTCGTTCCAGAAACTTGAGTCATGGTCCCAGGGATATGAGGGAATATCGGCGAGGACTTTCCCCTGCCCGTTGATAGCGATCAGGTTGATCGGCACATTCTCTAAGAATAGGTGTCCGGCGGTAGTCAGCAGACATGGTCTTGCCTCTTCCTGTCTTATCACGGTGGGAACATAGACTGCTTCGGAGCCAGCACCACCTTGTTGAAATATTTGCCGCAGAGGGCCCGCCAGTGCCGAGTGGGGGCCGATTTCCACGAAGACTTTCCGGTTCGAACCGCTGCCGAGAATCGCCTCAACGGCTGAATTAAACAGGACCGGAGACTCATAGTTCTGCCTCCAATACCGCGCGTCCAACGCGGTGGAGCTGGAAAGGAGGGTTCCCGTCACCGAGGAGTAAAATGGAATGCTGGGTGTTATGCTCACCACGGAAGAAGACAGTAGCGACTCGTATAGACCTCCCACGGATTTCAGATGATGGGAATGGTAGGCTCGGTCCACACGAAGCTTTCTGCAAAGCTTTTCCGGATGCGCCATTTGAATCTTCGCCATCGCCTCATCTACCGCGCTTGCATCCCCTGAAATAGTCGTACTTTGGTGGCTATTCTCACACGCAATGACTACCCCCTCGACAAGGTACGGCAAAATCTCTTCTTTTCCCAAAGCCACCGCTGCCATTGCACCATCAAGAGATATCTGCTCACTAACCTGGCCGCGCTGAAAGGCAATAAGGATCGCGGCGTTCATTGTGATAGCATCAGCCGCGTAAGCTGCTGCGGTCTCTCCTCCTGAATGCCCCACTACTGCCGAGGGGCGGATATTCCACTGGGACAGAAGGTTGACTAGTCCAAGCTGCACAGCGGTACAGAGTGGATGCGCGAGTACCGTGTCATAGACCCTTGATGAACTGGCGTCCTTGGAGAGCTCTTCTTCCAATCTCCAGCTAGGAGGTCGGTCCAGAGCCTGTAATATCTTGTCGAGTCTTCGGATGTCCTCGCGGAAGCTTGGGAATTGTTCCATGAGGCTCGCACCCATGCCAGGCCACTGGGCGCCTTGGCCGGTAAAGACGAATATGAGGGAAGAGGGCGATAGACGGCTCTTGCAGGGTGGCAGTGCCTCAAGCCACTGGTGTTTCCGGGCGACGCTAAACGTGCGATACTGAAGATGTTCCCGACGGTCACCCAGAGTGTACGCCAGATCTTGTAGACAGTCCAGTCTCGTCTCCCAGTATTGCCGCACAGCCTCGACTCTCTTTACGAGAGAATCCGCCGTGTTCGCGGTGAATAAGAGCAATCTCGTCTGGTCGGCTCCGGTTAACTGACGCGGGCATCCGTCCGTTTGGACAAAGGAAGCTGCCGACTCGAGCACGAGATGGGCGTTGGAGCCTCCCACACCAAAGGAGCTCACACTGACCCTCTCAGGGCGGCCTTGAGGCCAGGGCATCGGGTCCAAAGCGACACGGAGCTTCCCGTCCTCAAAAGGAATAAGGCGGTTGGGTTTTTCAAAGTGGATGTTCGGCGGTATCACCTTATGCTGCAGAGCTAGAATGGCCGCCATGATGTTGGTGAGACCAGATGCGCCTTCAGAATGACCGAAGTTCGGCTTCACCGAACCAATGAAAATATCTTGCTTGCCGCCAAAGGCATTAGCAATCGCGGTAGTCTCAACGGGGTCGCCCACCGCGGTGCCAGTACCGTGACACTGAACGAAGCAGGTATCTGAGAGGCTCCCGATCCCAGCCGCTTGGTACGCCTGACGGATCATAGCCTCATGGCTGGTGATGCTGGGATATGTGAGGCCCGAAGTCTTGCCGTCGTAATTGGAGGCCGATCCGCGGATCACCGCCCGGATAGGATCATTGTCCCTCAAGGCAGCGTCGAGGCTCTTGATGTAGATGGCACTGATCGCTTCGCCCCGTGCATAGCCGTTCGCGCCATCATCGAATGTCTTGCATATGCCATCGGGAGCAAGGACGCCGATCGCTGACATAGTCGTTGAAAGAATCGGGGATAGAATCAGATTGGCGGCCCCCACGACCGCCGCAGAGCATTCGCCCATCTGTATTGCCTGGCACGCTTGATGCAGAGCCACCAAGGAGGAAGAGCAGGCCGTTTTAACAGTCGTACTTGGTCCCTTGAAATCGAACTCGTACGACACGCGGTTTGCTAAAGCCCAATCACCGGTCCCAGGGAGTTGGTGGACATCCTGCAATTGCGGGTCCCGATTCATCAGGTTCAGCCAGTCTTCTCCAAAGGTCCCTACAAAGCAGCCGATATCCTTCCCGCGCCATTGAGTCTGGCCAGCGCTTTCCAGGCACTCCCATACCACTTCTAGCAAAAGCCTCTGCTGGGGGTCCAGCGAGCCTGCCTCTAACTTGCTCGCCGAGAACAAGCCCGCATCCCAGCATCCCAAGTCTTCCTGCAGAAAATACCCGTGCTTGCAGTTGACAGAACCCGGCATACCTCGCTCGCTGTAGAAGGCATCTATGTTGTAGCGGTCTTTCGGCACCACCGATCTCGCATCCTTCTTATCAATAAGGAAATTCCAGAGGTCGTCCACGGACCTCACTCCTCCTGGCAATCTTATCGCCATTCCAACTATGGCAATGGGTTGAAATGTAGGGCAGGAGGATGGACATCCTGCACCATTCGTCCCATGAGTAGCGCCACCAGTTGCAACGTTCTCATTTGCAGTCGGTGACATTTTTTTCCCCTTTTTTTCTTTTTCTTTCTTTTTATTTTGTGTCTGATATCTGCTGAAGTGGAATAGGGAACAGGTACGTAAGACCTAGCGAATAGAGAAAAGCGAATCTCTCTCGGAAAAGGAAAGGATGCTGGCAACGAAATAGTAGATTGCTTCGGCCAGGAAGCAATGCAAGCTGGCAAAAGCGATACGCGAGCTTCAATTTGCCAAAGAATGCAAAATGATAGGTACGATGCAGGCTCTGCCTCTTGATAGTTCAGGACTGAGAGCTGTTCGATATGCAATGTCTTGTAGTGGAATTTCTTCTTCGCTCGCCAAGAATTCAAGTTGGATTTCCTGGTCCAGATAAAATAGCTAAAGAGAAAGTCGTGCACAGGAACGCAACCACATTTTATACTCTCTCTGTGACCTGCTGGGCCTGATAGGATTCTGCCTGCAGATTTGAATGAGACATATTACGGCTTGGAATTGTTCCAATCGTTATGATACCACGAAGCTGCTATGCTTTTGGCAGCAATCATAGATCCATGTCGGTAGGGAAGATTACTGACAGCGTACAGCCAATATTTTTTACAAGGCCATTCGCGTAATGCCGAATTTTGGAGAGTCAACGGATCAAAGCCGTGCAAAGAAGACCAGACCCTTTGCTCAAGACTCTGTCGCAAGAGATCGCATGTGTGCCGGGTATACGCTCTAGGAGAAGGATAGCGTGCATTTCGAATGTCGATCAACAAACTTAACACACACTTGCCCTCAAACATGGCTGCCTGATCCGGGACGGAAACCTTCGTCCAGTCGCCTAGCTTAAGAGAAATATAGCCCAAGAAGCTGTGCTCTCCCCTTGCAACCTAGCAATTGAAACAAGCTCCGGAGGCCTTTCCATCCAATTGATATAGCAGTGGTACAGTAGAATCCTAGCTTTGCGATGGTGACGCGAGCCTACTGAGCACGGACGAGCTCATCCAGCTGACCTCTGTACATTGTTTCTAGACTGCATCCGGTTGAGTGGTTCAAAAACCTATATGTCCGAGCGTTTGATGATACTAGATTCTTAAGCTGACAGTTCATGCTCTGTACTAAACTGACCCTTTGACTTCTGCACGATGGTGTTCAGGCCTGCCCTCGGGTTTGGCTGCACATGTGGGTTGGACAACAGATACCGAAACGCTGGTCATTGGATCAAGAGTGTTACACAATCAACAGTCGGAGACCAACTCGGACGATCCGTAACATACAGACACGTAGGAGCCAAAGAAACACTTCTAACTGGTTTTGCTCCTAATGTTGAACTAAAACCCCTAAAACGCACTGAAACTCATGCCCATCTCGAATATGAGGTGGTCATGAGGCCTTGTTACAGTTCAGTGTAACCGGCCTTTAAGCTTTCTGGAAGACAGTGCCGGCATTGGTGTCGTGCAACGTTGCCTTTACTTTTAGTTGAGCTGGTCATGTTCAGCCGTAGATGAAGCTCAATCTTGCTTTCTCGTTGAAATTAGGGGATCGGCTTATGCCCGCGGAGCGACTGAACCACTACTCGCAATCCTAAATATGGTTCCCTTGAGAGCACGATGCAGCACACTCTGAAACTTACCTTGTTACCAATACATAATGGTAATATTGCAATATGGTGCTGTGTCAAGGTCATCCAATTTGACATAATCTCCACGATTACATGTGGTAAAAGTGGTGAAGGAAGTATACGTTTAAATATAGGGATATTCACTATAGTAGCGATTTATTGCGTAAAACAATGTGTTAATGACTATACGTTGACTCCTTACCCGCTACTATCACAAGCACGTAATGAACTGCCCTACTGGCAACCCCCATGATTCCTCTTCTGCAAGCCATGACGCTATCGCCTTGAGCTTTTCAGCAATTAAGGTGACCCATGAATCCGACTTGTTAGGTACCGAACCCAGCAGATGGAAGACGATTTCGCAGCCATCAGGGCCGCCTATGCCCGCGACAACCGACATTCCAAGCTTCCTCCGGACAGATATATGCAACATCTGCATGCTGGAGAAGGGATTTAGGCCAAATGCTGAGGCACCCATCCCAGGGGGCCAATTGAAAAATGCCGTTTCAGTGAGGGCAGGCATATCTTCAACAGTGGAGCTACCAAGCAGACGGAAAACCTCGTGCCAAGGTACGCACGCATGCCTTGTCAAATCAGCCTGAGTCTGCTGGACTCTAAGAAGGTATTCCACCACGGTCTCATTTGGCCGATACTCAATTAGATTCAAGACGCAACTAAAGGTTGGTCCTGCAACATCAGCGGCCTCAAAGCTGGTGATCTTGGCATATGAATGAGGGATGAATGGAAATTGTGACCGATTCGCCTCAGGGCTTAAAAAGAGAGCATGCGTATGCTTTGTCTGATGAATAAGAAGCAGGGCAAAGGCAGCCTTCATTATCACGGGGGGCGAGAGACCAGGGAATTTGTCGCGCAGGCGAAGGAGACCTGGGGCTGCGAAATGAATGAGCTGAGTGTCAACTTGCCCAGGCTCACTGGAGGCGGTCAGCTGATACACTGGATGCCTCTGAAGAGCATCTCTATGTTTTCTAAGGCTCTGAAGGTGGGATACATGGTAGTTGACTGAGTCTCGGGCCATGGGAGACATTCGAAGGCTATAGTAAGAATCGGCCCAGACCTTGAATGGAAGATGCGGGGCCAAACGCTCTTGCGAAAGAGCACGATCAATATCTTCGTGGAACAGAGAGAGATATGAGCCGTCCAGTATCACATGGGAGACTATATAGGAGTCAATATTAACTCGCAATAGGCACAAAGATGTAAAAGGAAAAGCTGGACAAACTATTCGTAATGAGAGCGGCAGAGTTCGTTTCAAGAACGAAGACAATAAGCGCATGGAACAATGGTCCGGGGAGAATGGCACTGTCTTTGAAAGGATAGTCCGTCGTGAGGGCCTTTACATCCTGTAGCGTATCCACCGTACCATAGTCCAGTATGCACAGATCGAAGATTGATTTCTGCGGGCGGATGGTTGCATAAAGACCGAGTTCAGGTCCTATTGAATCGTCGTTGACAAAAAACGACAACAAAAGAGGATGGTTAGCCAGCACTGCCTCAAGTGCTGCCCTCATTTGCTACGAGAATATGAGTATACTGTCAGGTTGACTTTCATGATGGACGGATGACGTACCAGAGCACTGGCCGATTTGGAAACAATTGATGCGTAAACGTTCCAAGAATTCACCACACGGGACTTGCTGAGTGCGTAGATCAGGTCCGTGGCGGGGAATATATCCTCCACATCATCCCATGTCAGCTTGTATTTCGCGATAGTCCGTTGCACTGCTGCTTTCGTGGCTTCAAGTTCATCAGGGTCACCCCGCAAATGAACGATCTCTTCGGCAGATGGGGGCCCCAAACGTCGATTTTCCGTGCCTTCGGCGGACCCTACTTTTTCGTCAGAGGAACCTTGCTCAAGGAGCGTGATTTGGTCTGCAATTGTAAACGCAGAATTCCACTGCCGAAGCGGTACGGTACGCCCAGTTTCCTTCCTGATTCTGTCTCGAGCTTTCATCAAGAGAATGCTATCGGCCACGTTTAATACCGGAGAGCAGATGTCGATTTGGCTAGGCAGAAGACCGAGAACCCGTGCCCATATCTCGACCACGGCATCTGCAAGTTCGCGGGACTCGGGTGTCTTCAAGGATTTTTGAGGCTGGGATTCACAGTACTTCCGTACAAGTTCTTTAAGCTTATACTTTTGGACTTTCCCAGCTATGGTCCTAGGGTAGTCATTGAGACCTAGTTTCCGCAACGATATGATCGTGTTCGGGACATAAATAGCTCCAAGTTTGGAGCGTACTGTGCTCTGTAGCTCCTGGATCAGGGAGTAATCCAGGTCCTCCCTGACAACCGCCACCGGGAGCTCACCGGCAATAGGATCTAGGCCGGCAACAACCTGTGGCTCTAAAGTACTCAGTTTAAGGTGGTTGCTCATGACTGCCTCGATGCTGGCCGGCGAAATGTTCTCCCCACCGCGGATAATTAGGTCCTTGTATCGCCCAACTAGGAACAGGCGACGGTCAGGATCGACAAACCCCTGGTCACCGGTCTTGAACCAGAATCTTCCGTCATCGTAGTAGATATCGTTACTTTTCAACCCCATATACTGATGTATCATGGAGTCGCCGGCGAAATGTACTTCTCCCACAGTTCCATTTTGAACAGAGGACAGTTCGCCCGGAGCACATATGCGGATTCTCGACCCTCGTACGGGTCGACCGATCGCCACATAGCGATCATTCACGATCTGTTCCAGCTCCCGTACGGGGCCAGTGCAGCAGAATACTCCTTCCGTCATGCCGTAAAAATTCTCGACTTGACCAGCTCTAAGAACATCACGGCATTGCAGGAGAAGATCTCGTGGTAGTGGGGCTCCAGCAAAGAGTAGCACTTCCAGGCTGTCAATCCTCTGTTGATGCAGTGATTCATCCCTGAGGATGGCATGGGCCATCGAAGGAACTATAGGTAGGTGCGTGCACCTCTCTTGCGAAATGGCTTTGATGATGGCAGTAGAGGAAAATGTAGGCCCAGCAAGCACAATACAGGCACCTCGCAGTAGTGGTAGCATTAAACAAATATGACCAAACCCATGGTTGTTTGGAAGACTTACGGCAATCGATTTGCCGGGCCCGGTATGGCTGATAGACAAGGCGCCTTCCAAAACATCCATCATTCGTGCTGTCTTCACCAGGCATCCTTTGGGTAATGACGTAGTGCCACTGGTAAAGAATACGGACAATTCCTCGGAATCGAGGTGATCCGACGTTTTGACATGTTCTTCCTTTGTAGAGCGACCTAGCTCTAGCAGATCCTTGAATGATGCCCATCCCTCCAAATGACCTTCCACGATCACTTTCATGAGGCCAACTTGAAGATTAATATGATCAATATCACCAGCCACCTTGGGATTCTGGGCAACAATAATCGCATTCGTAGGGTGCAGCTCATCTAACACCGTTTGGAACATATGCTTAACCTCCGTCACGTTGGACAAATTGCTGGGATTTAAAGGGACATGGACGAGTCCGATTTGATATGCAGATAGGGTTGTGATGACATATTCAATCTGATTGGGGCATATGACGAACAAAGGTGAACCGACTGCTGCCCCTAGGGCCTCGAGTCCCTTCGCGAAGAATTTCACACCAGTATCGAGAGAACGATATGTCAACCGGAGATAGTTGGCGTTATTGGTACGCTCATCCTCTCCAAGTCTAGTCTCGCAGAGGTTGTAGATGTCACATAACTGGTGAGTGCAAACAACAGCAAGCTCGTCTGGGAAATCAGCCACGGATTTTTGGAACCGTTGGATAAGTGTTTGGCAGGTATCCTCGACTAGAGGGCTTCCGCGAAGTTCAATAGCGGTATCCATGACGGCGAAAAGGGCAAGCACCTGCAAATGTAGGAATGTTTATTAGAAGTAATTCCAACTACAGTTTTGAAGAGCGGACTCTGGCGGAGATTTTTATAGACCTCAGCCAATTTACCGAGAGAGTTCCAAAGTGTCCATGAGTACGTATGCGCAAGTGAATGACTTCAGAACTGCTGTTACCACCCAGTTGATGTCAGCAGGAAGGCTATTGTGGTCTACCCGCAGGGAAACTGAAAATTTCACGCTTTATTTCCACGTAACCCTTAATACGCCTTCAGCTCCTCCTATAGCAGTCGTCCTAAACGGCGGATTAAAACATTGACGTGGTACATGACCCATGAGAACTGGCAGCTATTTCTTGGTTTTAGCTTACTTATCCAAAAGCTCGTATTCAGGACGCATATCGTTGTGGAGACTCCTACAGCTTAAGACTTAATAAGAATAGTCACGCTGCTGATCATTCGTCTGCTCACCATGCTTAGGTTGCACAGCATAGCAGGCCAACGCTAGGGCCTTCATTTGCGATGGACTCGAGAAAGTGTTCGGAGTTTGACACAGTTGTGAGATTCGTGTATTACAGGTTTACTGGAGGCACAAATATGTATCAGATGCTGTCTGCATGCCGTCATTGTCACATGGCGTCCAAACTCTTCAATTAAACGTCAGTCATTCAGCTGCTAGGTGGCCCGGAAGTTTAAAATAGCTACACCGGTAACCCAACGTCATGGAGGGGCAACTGCAGCAGAATGGGCGTACGGGCCCTGAGTCTGGTACGCGTTTTTGGCCAGCAGTACTCGAGAGGCAGGCGCAACAGGTAACGACTCGACTCAGATACATCCCTCGCATTTCTTGAGTATACCCACCCTGTTTTTAGGTTGCCTATGTCGTCTGATCATAACTTTTTTTCCTAGCCTGGACGCATAATTGCTGCTTTAATGGGGGTTTCTTGCATGGCGTCCAGATATTGTCCGCCAGAGCTAGAGTCATATGGTCTTCTTCCCATGGAGAAGAGGAAGATCGGCCATGATAACAGAACTCTAAGTTTGAATAGCACACAGGAAAATATGACTAATGTACCTCTGTAGGTCTTGTGCAGTGACTTGCTCTTGTGAGCTATTGGAAGGCCATCCACAGTCTTTCTGTTTGGTGTACATTACTGCAGGACAGCCATTCCGAAACTTGTCTAGATTGAATTTATATGTCTACCAGCGTTTAAAGCCATGCTTTTTACATTATTGTTTATGATCGAGGTTTGTGCGTGTATTGAAAATTTGGCGGGCATTCCCAAGTCATGGACCAGCATGACTCGTCATTGAAGGACCGAGAGATCAACATTCGTTTATAAATCTCTGACTATTCTTCAGGTTATTGAAATATCCGCGTCCAAATGGAAGCGCTTTCTACAATCTTTGCCGACCACGAGGCTATAACGCAACGAGGCTTCCTTACACCAGAGCCTCCTCTAGAATCACTATCCCATCGTTATGTACAATGGGAAACAATCGTTGCAAATTTGCCAGTCCTTCTAATGAGCCACCGCCTCCGGGAATTCATCAATAGTATTCCTGTATTACCAACTACTTACCTAACAACAACATCCGAACGCCAAAGGGCCTATGTCGTTTTGACTTTTCTGCTTCAAGGCTATATATGGTGTGGACATACTCCCGCACATGTACGTCACTGGAATCCTATGCTTTTGAGACGTTCTGCAGTCCTTTCTAGCGTTCTGCACATTCCATTTTTCAAACCTGGGGGAGGTACATATTGAATCGGTTTGCTCCAGAAAATCCCGCCTCAGATAGCTGTGCCACTTCTCGAGGTCTCCGCTCTCCTCGGACTGCCACCCACCGGAACATATACTAGCCTATGCCTGTGGAATTATAGAAAGATCTGTCCCGCGGGTCGGCTGGATGATCCGTCAAATCTGGCTGCGCTCTTCACATTTACTGGGACTGTTGATGAGGAGTGGTTTTACATGGTTTCCGTGGCCATTGAGGCCCGCGGTGCGAAGACGATACCACATTTGCTTGAAGGTATCAAAGCTGCTCAATACCAAGACCGAGCTGGGCTAATCAGATCTCTCGAACGTTTTGTTGAGGGGATATACGACATAAGGAAGCTTCTCGAGCGCATGTACGAAAAGTGTGATCCGCACATATTCTATTACCACATCAGGCCTTTTCTGGCCGGAAGCAAAAACATGGCAGATGCTGGACTGCCTAAGGGAGTGTGGTATGACGATGGCACCGGATGTCGGCAGTACCGCCGGTACAGCGGCGGCAGCAATGCGCAGAGCCCGCTTATTCATTTTTTTGACGCCGTTCTGGGGATCAAGCACGATGAAGTTTACATACAGCAAGATTGCAACAACTATCGACGCCCCTTGGCCCATGGGTTCCTGGCTGAAATGCGCAATTACATGTTTGGTCCTCATCGCCTTTTCTTGGACGATATATCTCCTGTGGCTAAAATCCTGGAGTATGTGGTGTCCCGCCCTTATGATAGAGTCCTTCAGTCTCTGTATGATTCGTGTCTTGATATGCTTCGTACTCTCCGTGACAGGCATATTCAAATGGTCACACGATATATTGTGGTCGAGTCGTGCAAGAGACAGGCCAGCCCGTGCCCACTGGGCCAATGTCCATTAGATGGTACAGGCAATATTGCACAGCCTGGTGCGGAAGGACGGACGGATGTCGGGATAAAAATCGAGAAATTACGCGGTACAGGTGGCACTGCTCTTCTGCGTTTTCTCAAGCAGGTTCGGAATCGTACAAGGAGGTCCATGACCTGACGAAGTCTGCGCTTCGGCAACTCATGTTTTGTATAGCATGCGAGTTTTAACGAGACAGCCTTTCGGGTGAAATTTGAATTTTGGAATTTAATGCCAAATTTTTCAAACATGCTGCATAATTGTAAAACTGCTGGAGGGATGCAGTATAAGCATCGTATCTACGGGCCCTAGTTTGGTAGGAATACTACACAGCATAGTGCAGAGGTTTCTCCACAACCATGGCAGGCCCTTCCTTTCAATCAGATACAGTGATCAGTAGCACCTCAAAACACGTTCGCAACACTAGCAAACCTTGCCCAGGTGGCAAAGTTCTGCTGCGATCCAGGGTGAATGACACTACTACTTTGTACCGCAATGGAGCAATATTGAGCGTAGTGGCTGCGTAACGGAGGATATCTAGGTATTCTTGAGCAAATATCGCCAAGCGTTCAAAACCTGCAATATCAAGAAAGATGCGGGTTACTGAGGAGACCACGAATTCTGCAGGCTGCCAACAACATATTCTGTGCCACCTAAACAATGTTAACTTTCTCCCAGACTGCGTCAGGAGGCCATCCTACAAAGTTATTGCTTACTGAAAGAATTGGGATCTGCACTTCCTAACATATGACTATGTCGTAGCCATAGCAGCTTCTCCCTGCATGAGAGCATATGGTTTGGGATGCAATAGCCGGAAGTCTCCATTGGCCTGTAGTAACAGCGGGGCTGCAACTTATGATCAGCTGAGGGCAGAACACAGCCCCAGTAGATAGCAATCAAAGTAAAGCTGATGTAAATATTCACTTGATTTGAAGATCGTAAAGAGCAAAGGGATGGTGCTTAGGCACACATCGCGTAGGCGACTAAGCCTAGCTGAAGCTCTGGTTGGCTGCTCATTCCACAAGCACTATGCTAAAAAGATCGAATGAGGAACAGAGTCACCACCTGCCCATGGACATGGATGATTCTAAGTTTCTGCTTAAAGCAGTAATGATCTGAGGCAGTCATGAGGGTGGTTGCAGCAGTCCACGGTCTTCCAACTCATCCCTGGGTAGTACTACTTGTACCTGCTATAATTACAGAGTGCAACAATACAATTTAACTAATAATGATTGACCTTATGAGAAACTTATCATCATATTTGGAAACTACATGAGGTGGTGACGTTTTAGTCTTGATTGTTCTATATCAAGTCAGTGGATAGGAAGGTACACGGCAACGAATGGGAGCTTGTTCCTCAATGGTGTGGCACTCATATCAACGTAGGACTTGACAATTCTCAGAAGGGTTCTACTCTCTCATAAATAAAATGTACGTTAGCTTGGCTAAGGGTGCTGCGTCCCAACTCTGTAAACCTGATTACAACAAATGTATAAGCGAATTACCCCCCTATCGTTTCTTTATCGTCAGCCGGACGATGCGATTGCCTTTGTGATAGCCCTTCAGGTTCTGAGGGCTTGAAGTTAACCCGTCGTCGCTAATCCATGCATGACGCGTGAAGATCGATAAAAGGCTGACAGAAAATGATTCAGTATTTGTTTGTTCAATTTACTTTGAGCCTTGTCAACTCATATTCCGAATATCAGTGAGTCTGCTCAAATTAAGCCATGGCCCAGGCCTATGATGAAGTGATCACTCTCAGTAAGGGTCCTATCCAGGTTACTGGACTATTGAAGCGTCGCTGGAAAGATGTAAACGCTCGAAATCCCCTCATCGTACTCATCCACGGTGGAGGCACGAACGCTGCTTACTTTGATAATCCTATTTATTCGTACGTACTACAGATATGTTGTCATCAGAACCAGCTAACTGTCAACAACAGGTTACCCAATGATCTGAGCGATTTAGGTTGTGATGTTCTCAACATCCATCGTCCTGGTCATGGTCCCAACCCGATTCCAAATACCCAAACTCCATTTCGGGACGGATTGCCCGCGTTTGTCGATCTTATAGCTGAAGTCTATAAGGAACACTGCAATGGGCAAGGCGGCATCATTCTTATTGGGCACTCCTTGGGAGGAGCAATTTGTCTGGCTATTGCCGCAGAGGCGGGAGACCAATTGCCGCTTCTAGGGGTCAGTGTTCTGGGCATAGTTCCAGTAGAGGGCTCTACGCTTCCTTTTCCTGAGCCTGACCCGGAGCCGGAGAACCCGCGCATCGTGTTTAAAGAGTCCCGTGAGATGGTGCGCCGGCTTTTGGGACCAGAAGAGTTCATTAAACGGAATGTATTCAATCCCGACGTCTTACAACTGATCTTCGAACCAGGTGAGTCAGTTCGCACTTGCCAGAGGAGCAGTGTTACCTAAAAAAACACCCAGGCCTGAAATCGGAGTTGAAGGAGTGTGCTACGCAGGAGTGGTACGCCAGATTTGTCTGCGAAACTCTACCTGCGGTAACGGTATCACTAAGCTCATGTGGCATCTAAAAGTACCAACTATTGATACTCATAGATTCCTGTTCAATATCTCGCCGCGGAGTATGAACTGGTCTGGGCCGGAGCTGAGCAAGCGCAGCCAACCTTCAACTCCTTGGCGAAGCGATTCGTCAGATCCCCTGATGTCGAAGCCAAGTTACTACCACGGGGTGGTCATAATTACGAGTTTTCCAAGGGCGCATCAAATCTGTTTAATTTGAGAACGGAGTTCATACAAAGAATGGTATGTCTGGCTGTCAAAGACTGCTTACTGGACGAGTACTGGTTGGTATTAACCTAACTGTAGATCAAGTAACTGAAACAGCTCGCTTCCAACACAGGACGTTTGGTTGATAAGTATCTCGGAAATTCGACGTAATCGGTGAGGGTATAAGGTATAAGATGCTGTTGGCCTAAGTCAGCAGTGTAAGCTGCTTTGATTCAATCATGACGGAGGGCTTCCTTTCCTGTCCGCTCCGAGTCTCATAAGATCGCTGCCTATTCATTGAGGTTGTCACAGTTGCCTGGTGTTAGAGTACTATTTTTAATATAGAAAAAAGTAGTGGCAGAACCAAGAAATAGAATATCTGAAAGTTTCGTCTTACCGTCTAGGACGACTAAGCCTGATCAGACCCCTCGAAATGTAATTTGTAACAGGAAAAAAATTGAGATTCCAATATTCCGTAATGGGATAGCCTATTACGTTGTTACACCGGCACTCTCCCTATATCATTGTTCTATTAGCGGTGTTCTATTCTCCTCTCCTTCTTGAGTTTAGTCTTCTAGTATGAGCTTGCGAATAAGATCCTTTCCTGTTCATTGGGTTTGTTACACAGAGCAGCGCACGTCTGTGCCAAAGAGCTCTCATAACGGAAATAGGCGGATGTTAAAAGCCATGAGTGGAAACTTAGGGGTAAACGCGCCTATTTTGCGACTGCCAAGGGCAATGCGGGGTATTTAGTGCGGGGAAGCTTTGTATTCTAAGGCTACTATGCGAAGCTTATTTTCATCTCCAGGGGTGAACATGGCCAGTTACCTGTCCCCCGGCGACCAATGGGGTCCCCGGAACCTTTTACCCTGCCATCCGAGATATAAACCTCATAGGTTGGAGATAAACCAGGGTGGGGACAGTTATACGTATTGTATCTGAACTTGCTTAGCATTTAACAGTTTCTATCCAGCTACCCTATCAAAGCTCACCCTTTGTTGCACAGCTTAGAGTTGATTCAGAACAGAACATATACCGCCGCCAGACCTGGGGCGCATGGTCCTTCTACATTCTGCAGGGACATTGCTATGCAAAGTTCTCTCAGCCTTTATCCTCCCTTGACCGTCCGTGTACGCTGCAGACTACATTATTGGCTCTGGGTAAATCTATCGAGTTTGAGGAACAAGACAACAAGAACAAGGCAAGAACGTATCTATGACAGTTATGAGCTAGCTGACAAGCGGGCATATGTCATGGGATCATTCGTCTAGACCAGAGTACACGACTGTTCGTCTTCATGGAAGCCTTTATTGGCAATGAAGTTGCTTAAAGGTCCCATCTATTACTATTCCGTAAAGACATAGAGCTGGGGAAGTAGGTATGGCACTTCCATTGGAGATTTGAAATTTCGGCGTAATTTAATAAATTACACCAACTCAGAAATGCAAAGCCAGCTCGATACTTTACAATTTTGCCATGATCTACTAGTAACAAGGTGATGTTCAATGTATTACATTTCCTTCCAACAAAAGCATATCTGGCATCCCCGAGAAGATGATTGATCACGGGCATAAGCTGAATTTGTTTTTCTCAGAAGTGATGGACTGAGCTGCTTTTGCCGCTTGACATCGCGCCGATAGGCGGCGAAGGCAAACTTGCAGGACACCTATGCCACCAGCTTTCAGGGCGTTAAAAACTTATGTTCACGGGACCATGATGAGCCCTCATGACCACCCTGCTTCTGAGACGTGAATTGGAGCTAGCGCCAAAATAGTCAAAATTGCGTCAGCGCAGATGCTGGGTGCATTGCCATAGAGCGTTGGACTCGGCCTCCGACCGTCGAAGTGACTCTCCGGCAACTGGTCTCCGATAGGAAACATCACATAGACTTCCAGAGGATGAGGGGAAGGTTGAAGGTCGGGTTTACTAGAAACTAGCTCGTGTTGACATTTGTGCAGAAGTGAATGGGTGAAAGCGAAAGGCAAAAAGAAAGGAAACCGTTATAAACAGGCAGACATTGGTTAATGTGCTTGCATCATGAGCCGTCGTAACGTATCTACGCTCGACTGAATACGGTTAGGAGCGAGCTGTGTAACAATGAACAACTCTGGAAATTGTTAGCTGTTGTGATTGTCCATAGAGCTGGAAATGTAGACTTAACGATAATATTCTGGCGTATGCATAGCCTCCTCTGATGCTAGCATGAATGGCCCAGCCATACGAACTTTTATGTCCAGTCATTCTACTGCATTAGTGCACGAAGCTGTCACATCTGTATCACCACTGATCCAGTGTCTGGGCTTCTAATGCAAGCCATGAGAACTATGCTATACATTGATCCCCCCAAAGAAGCCTTAAAAAGGCCAGATCAATGCCACAATCGGTGTGCTGTGCCATTCTACGACCACGAGCTGCAGATATGATTTCCACTCTCGGGATCGCAATAGTACTATACCTCGTCCATATACTTCTATCATCAATAAGAATCATATTCTTTCACCCCTTGAGCCATATTCCCGGCCCGAAATCATGGATCGCATTCCCGCTCTTGGAACATGTTTCAGCTATCCGAGGGAGACTAGACCATGACCTGCGACATTGGCATAGAAAATACGGCGAAGTGGTGCGGTTCAGCCCCGACGCTGTCTCCTTCATAACCGCAGAAGCTTGGAGGGATATCTATGGGCATGGTCACCGTCAATTACCTAAAGTAATCATGTCCGCCAACGCTCGCAAAGACATCCTGACCGCCAACGATGCCGATCACAAGCGGTTCCGCAAAGCTCTTTCGCACGCCTTTTCCGCAAAAGGACTGCAGGCGCAGGAGCCGATCGTCACTGGGTACGTTGACAAATTGATCGGTCGGCTCCGGGAGTTTGCAGAAGCAGGTGTGCCAGCAGATATGGTTAAATGGTATAGCTTGACGACATTCGACTTAATCGGCGACCTTGCATTTGGCGAACCGTTCGGGGGACTAGATAGCTCCCAGTGTCATCACTTGGTTGCAACCGTGTTTGATTTCCTCAAGGTGGGTCCCTTTCTGAGGGGGATGGAACACTACCCATTGTTGTTCAAGGCGATCCTCGCCTTTCTACCTACGTCGTTCATGGGAGCTCGGAAGAAGCAGGTTGAGCATGTCAAGATGATCGTGCAAAAAAGGTTGGACTCTACGGCGGCGCACCGCCGTGGGGACTTCATGGACTCAATGATAAGACATCACGGTGATAAAGGCGAACTCAGCAAGGAGGAGCTTGAGGCAAATGCCAATGTCCTCTTCATTGCTGGCAGTGAGACCACGGCAACCCTGTTATCTGGTGTGACCTACTGGTTGCTGCGGACCCCGGAAGCACTAGACAAGGCGACACAAGAAGTTCGATCCGTCTTTGCATCAGAAGCAGATATGACATTTAGCGAAATCACATTGCAGCTACCGTACATGCTGGCGTGCCTCAACGAAGCCTTCCGACTTTATCCTCCCGTGCCGGGTGGACTCCAACGTCAGATGGAAACACTAAGGCAGATCTCAGGTTATAATATCCCCGGACTGGTAGGTTACTTAAACTCGTGACACGCTCAGTCAGAATTCAGTCACTGACTTGCGCAGACCAAGGTCTCTGTCCACCAATCTGCGGCATACTTGTCCCCGCTGAATTTCCACCAGCCAGGCCAATTCATCCCTGAGCGCTGGCTCCCAGAAGCCAAGGATGAGCCCGCCTCACCGTTCTTCTCGGACAAGCGTGACGTTGTTCAACCGTTCTCCGTGGGACCACGGGACTGCATTGGCAGAAACTTAGCATATGCTGAGATGCGGATGGTACTTGCTAGAGTGCTTTGGAATTTTGATCTGGAGTTGTGTGAAGAGAGTCGCGATTGGAAGAATCAGAAGATATTCTCTTTTTGGGAGAAGCATCCGTTGATGTGCAAGCTTGCCCTGCGAAGAGATATATAAACGAGAGGGGATCATTATTAGGACTCGCCTACTAGGAAACTAGATACGATACGTAAGGAGTATATCATAGCTCATGAAGTTGAACCAATCGACGTACGGTTCAAGATTGACCACGTCAAACCCTTGAGAGTCAATGAGATTCCAAGCTGTCCAGCAGCGGACCTGAGCTCTTTCAGAAAGTTGACAGACATATTTGGCAAAATCCTCCGCTCGCCCCCACGATCGTCGGCAACAGGGTCTATGAGAACTGTGGTGAGGCCAATCCGGTAACGAGAAGTAGGGGCACATACATTCCCAGCCGATATCAATCCCGTCGAATGCTTGGGTCTGGCAGAACTGGGCCATGGACTTAATGAATGTAGCCCGGCTTTCCGCGTATTGATCATTCTCGGCTACATTGTTTCTCGTGAATTTCAAGTCAATCTACAATCCTCTTCAATTCCCCTGGCGCCCGCCCTCATCGGGCGTTCAGTTTCTACTCCTGTCACAACTTCAAAATTGAAGATTTTTAACTAACAGCATAAATATATATATATATATATATAGGAGTAACTACGCAGATGGGTTTATTTTTCACTAGATCTACCGTAACATGTGGGCGGCATGAGGAACCAAGAAGCAAACTAGAAGTTAACGAACAAGAAACTTACAGGCTGCGCTATCGAAATTAGACCCCTCCTCAAGTCTTAGATTAAATTTTCTAGACATTCCTGTTGTCAACCCACTCACGAATATCAAGCTTTCCCGACCAGACCGGCGTAAGCTCTGATTTTTTGGTTCCCAGCCATTTTTCCAGTGAGCTGTATTGACTATTCACAAGAGATCGGCCAGACTGGACGGTGTGAATATACAATGTGAAACCTATTCATAGTCTATTAGTGACTAGGAGGGATGAATGTGTTGCAGACCAGATAACCTACCCTTTATCTTGAAGTCATCAGAAGCAATAGGGTGGGGCACTGGAGCTTGGAATATGGTCAAACTCTTCAGGTCTGTGATCCGAATTCTGCTCTTTCCATAGATTTCTTGCAGGTTGACCTCGATATTCTTGGATTCGCCTCTAGAGGGCGCCTTGAAGAGTGTTATTAACTTTTCGCCGGTTCCAATTTTTGCAAAAATATCATCATCGGTTCCGGAAGATAGATCATCTGAGAGTTGGACATCCAGCCTCACAGAGTCGATATGCTCATTTGGCTGAAGGATGGCGGGGCATTGCTCGTTAAACAAGTCATCGGTCTGAAGGCCGCCGTCTTCACGCATGGGTTCCACAGCGGACATGGTGTCACGTCGAAGCTCATCATGTCGATTGGAATTAGGACCCGTCCAATACACCACAGGAATTCTTGACCCACACACTGGGTCAGGGAACTGACGGAGATCAGGCGAGTGGCCGGCACCATTAGCGGATGGATCGAAACCTCCATTGACCCATATGCGAATGATTCGCCCGTCCCCATCATATTCACGAGCGGTCCGAATGAACTCGGGCCTGATACCACCGGGGAATGCTATCTCCCTCTGGTTGCTGTACTGATGATCATGACCCAAGCTAAGGTTGATGTCAATACCACCATAGGCAAAAATCTCGTACTCGAAACGATTCGCTATGTTGCGAGGGGTCCATCTTTGGTTGCGACCGTCTTGATTATAATACCGAGCAGTGCTGACAAATATGGAAGGGGTGTTTTGTCCGACATATGTCTCCAGATTGAGGTATTGATCACGAAGTGCGTCTCCTTCTGGAGGTGTATACTGGGGAACGAATCCGTGCTGGAAGACTTGGTCAGGGTGTCTGGTGTCCCAGCGGATCAGCCGTTCAGCAGCTGCAGGAACAGGGTGACCACGAAAGTCCGTCACAGTATCCGTCCTCCATTCAATCGCGCGGGCATTGTTAACAGTATCAAGGCGATTGATTACCCTCTCAAAGTCTCGGGTGAACCAAGCCAGCACGGCCGTGAGGAACAGGCCAGCATTTGTGTTTGACATGACCCTGGTTTGTCTTACAAGACGTGAATAGGATGTTTTGGAGGAGCTGATAAACAAGAGAAGATAGAGGAGGAGAGGGACATTAACTGTGCTTTTATATGTAACCCACACGATTCTATATCCCCAGAGAACCACGTGTCAACCTAATACCCAGTTAGAGGAAAACAAACGCTATATTGTACTCATTCCATCCTTACGCTCTACTCGGGGAAAGTTGTCTTGGCCTATAGTGAAGTCCCTCGTGGAATGCAAACTTATACCGCCATATTCTGATAAGCATGGGTTTCCTGATACCAAACGTCTCAGATAGTCTACCAAACCCTTCCGAAATGGGAGACGTTGACGAAGAAATCTGCTCATCATCCTAGACATCCAGTAGCTCTTCACTAAAACCTTGATTGTTCTAGACTGCCCTTTTTGATAATTTTCACAAGATAAGCCCCGCATTGGTTTTAGAAAGTAGCTAAACCCGGTCTGTAGAACAGGATTATAGCTAGCTCTTGTTTGGAAGTAGTCGTATGTACGATATAGTCTTGTATGAGACCAGGCCTCGCCATAACCTGTGGGTAGAGGGGTCAGGTCTAAACCCGTTAAGCAGACCCACCCGCCCTTCGGCGTGCAGGTCTGCACCCCAACGCAAAATCCCACCAACGCAGAGAAACGAAGCAATTCAATTAATTACACAACGTCGGCAATGGCTATCTAGCCAAAAAGGCAGTTTGGGCCTTCATCAGCTGCTTAGCCATCATTTTTACTACTCCGGAGTACGTAAATATACATATTATCTTGACGTAATGTTAGTTGATCGCGTCTTAAAGTCCGCCAATGTTACTTCGTATGGGTCTGCAGGTTCGCGCACAACCCGAGACACCATGTGTTAGCTAGGCCGGAGATCAATCGGGCCTGTCGGATCCGATGAAATGTAGACGTCTGTAAGGAGGGTCCATATATCTCCAGGCAACAACATTGACAGAGGTGGAACGAGCAAGAGTCTGTCTATACCGAGAGGACAATGAAAAACCTCGTCTTACGTCCATTGCCTGCGGCAATCCTGATGTCTTGGCTTAAATAAGACACTCCGCCACATGCCAAGATATGCTCACCTGAGCACACTTCTGACGGTACATGATAGAGTATGTTCCGCCCCCCTGGACTAGTGATTGAAGCCCTGAATGGTATGGTGCCAAGTCTGGAATTCCGGCGTACTCGTCTAATAGTCAATCTAACATGTTAACTTTGTGTCGGCCGAACGGAACTCATTGCGACGGACCTGGAACTCACGCGAACATTGCCAAAAACGACATACATTCCAGGGCCTGTGTCGAGTAATATGCCTGAACAACTACGAGTATCTCCGAGATTAACCTCACCTATGACATATCTAGTACGGCGAAGGTCTTTCCGAGACATTCAAATCTTGGCATATCACCAGTTATCGTTCCCTAATTGTGAGAACCGGAGGGGCTCGTTAGCAGCACAACAAAGATACTACGAGTCACAGGTCGATAACTGGGGGACTCCCCGCCCACGACATTGCGTAACTGTGTTTTACATAGTTCCGCCGAGAGGCTACATAACGCCGATGACTATATTGGACGAGTACCTAGTGACTCTTCAGGATCTCAATCATTGGTCAAGAGAGTGAAACATGTCATATCAAGAATAGTCGGAGATTTCAATCAGATCAGATCTACTCTACAGAGTATGCTCAAGCGGAAAATATCGGCATGTGGTGGAGTGTCCTAACTCAAACCAAGACACCAGAATTGCCGCAAGCAATTAACAGGTTTATATATATCGCCGCTTACTTTATTGAGACTCGCCTTACCTACCTATTAGATGGATATTGCTTGTAGTAACGGAATTGAGTCCCCTACACATCTTATATCTCAGCACAACGTATCTACTTGCAAAATGGGAGACCGTTGACTAACCAGAACCAGGGATCAGACCCAGTAAACCCTTCACTAAAATATAGGTCTCTCTAGCCTACTTCTTCCTCAAGATAAGGTTTAGTTATTCCTGACATAGACAATGCTATTTAGCGGTTCCATTCTAGGGCTTTCCTATTGTAGCTGCCTTGGGAGATATCCACGACTTTAATGAACTTCATCGGACCGGAAAGATCCGATTCATCTCCGGCGAAGCAGACTGCATAGCACCTTTTCCTGGAATTGTGAGCGGAGCCGCAAATCCATATGACATGATATATATGCGCCGCGTACAAGAAATGATCCTATGGGGAAAGGTTTGTCGATTGGCCTGGATCACCGGTCATGACAGCTAATAACATTACGCAGAGAGTCGATCTGGCCGAGATAATTGATTACCTGGCATATGTATCGCCATTAACTCGGTCCGTATACGGGCGAGACGGAGGGAGTCCATTTGTTTCCAACATAACAGTGGCACCAACAAAGTGTGGGGAGATAAACAACGATGGACATCTAGTTATCCGTCTTGTTCGACGCTGCCTTGTGAGTTTTGGGCCGTGCCATTCCAGCCTTTGCCAAATTGGTTGCTTAGGCATATGTCGACCCTTCTTACAGATTTCGCCGGATCCGGCAGATCCGATTTATCTCCGGCCAAGCAAATTGTCACGTCGGGATGTATGTGGTTGTCTTGGGAAGAGGAGATGGGCAGTGCCGCCCATATTTGAATTGAGCACCGTTTGGGAGATCTTCCAAATTTATCTTGTTGAAGTCGCCTTCTTATCTTAACTTTGCCCAAATTACTCATGATCATACCCAGTCCCTGATAAGGAAAGAACAGAGCTTTGAACAAGTCTGGTGCAAATGATGTGACTGGTCAAGAGACCCAAACCGCAGTTGCTTTTCATAACTTGCCTATACCCTCATTTTCCATAGGCTTCCGGACACCAAAGCCAGATGGTGTATAAACAACTACTCCAGCATTTTCTGAGCCAGCTTAGCCCGCTATGGAAGTTACAAGATGAGCATCCAACATGGACACCCGAGCCTACTAGTACCATTCTACTGCAACGAAAAGTGACAATCTTGTCCTACCGCGCAGGTCGATTGATTTGGCAAATATTTCGGGAAGAATGGCTTGACAGCAATAACTTTAAGGGGATTAGCCACAGACGCCCGCCCCTAGGTCCCTGGTAACTAAAGATTGCATCCCTGACTTCTACGCATTTCGACCCCGCACTGTTATAGAGACAGTCCAGCCTACCACATTTCTCACCCACAGAGACTTGAGTAAGTTAGGGTACAAACTCGACGAGCAAAATAAGACCGGTCCTGTCCTGATCCGATGTGGAAGTCTCGCTTCCTCTAGCCAAAATCAGACACCGAGGACAGAGACAAAGTGGGATAAATAGGTTTAATGACCAAAACTAGATTATCATTCTCCGCACCTGATTTGTAACTAGCTAAGCGAACGATGTGTCTGGACGGAAACCTGCGGTGAGCTAGATAGAATGGAGATTTATGAGCCGTCTCCCAGCCACCCTTGCATCTCCCCGTAATCAAAAGGCCCCAGAAACCCCAACTCCAACTCATCCGCAGACGCATCCCAGTGGCTCGAAAAAGGTCCATTCGGATCCACGAACGGGTTCTCCTGCAACTGCCCCTGCTCCTGGCCCTGTTCCTGCCGGGCCTGATTGCGATCGCTATCTACATGACTGCCATTCTCCGCCATGACCTGAGTCCGTGCCGTCCTGAGGAAGAGCAGGCTGTTGCGCGCAGATACGCTAAAGGAACTCATGGACATGAGGATCTGCTCGCATGTTGACCAAGCTTCGTGTACGAGACTTGCGTCGAGCTCGGCCAGGATCGTGCGGCAGGAGGAGGACATGATGAGGACCGTGCCTGCTGTGGAAGTATCTGTTCAGATTTATTAGATCTATACCTAACCAGATCATAAGGAAGGAATAGTTTACAAAAGCCATTATACCACCATGGGTCGGTGGCGGAAGTGTGATAGGTTTCGTGGACGAAGGAGACGAGGTCAATTGCTGCGCGGACGCAGGCGGCGGCACATTTGGAGAGGATGGATGTATATAGGGTGCTGCAATTGGAGCTGGAGCCGGAGTGGTTGTCTGCTTGAGTTCGCGGGTGGGTACACTCGGCGCAGAGTTGGGTCAGGATGGGTCGGTAGAGGAGGAGGCGGAGGTATAGGTATCTAGCGTGGAGGACGTTTCGCTGTCGATGGAGAGTCGTTTGTTCAGGATTGGTAGCTTGGTCTAATGGACGGTTCCAATTGAGGAAAGGGGCAAGGCTGTTTTCGTACTCGAAGAGTTTCTCTTCAAGTTCCATGATGACATCCAGCCCACCGTGTTTGGTTGTGTGTCTTCTAGACCCAGGGCTGCTGCGACCGCGCCATGCGCGGTAGATGTCGGATAGGATACTGTCGAGAATGCGGTATAGCTCAATGGTGGCGATGTAGAAGGCCATCGGCGATGGGGTTCCGGAAGAGTGTTCTTCCTCTTCGGTTCCTGGTAAGGGAACACTCGGGAGGTGCGAGGTCATACTTGGTCTACCATAAGTCATGCTCACGATCCTACAGACTGATTAGTCAAGTCTTAGGCTGCTATCGAATGGAAAGGTATACATGTCCATCATCACGCAGCCATGCCAGGTTCGCCGCTGAATCTCCTGCTCCAGTGGACTCTTCTGCTCGTACAGCTGCGCCTCATGAAGTCCTATCCCCTGGGCAATTCGACAAGCCACCCCTATCGAGTTCCAGCATCGGTGCGGATACGGCGTACTCTGCAAATATAGCGCGACGACCAGCAGCGTCTGTACGACGCCGATAGTCCGAACGTCCATCATATCCAATCCGATATGCTGTTTTGCCCGGAGGAAGAAGGTATAGGAAACTGCCTCTCGCTCGGTCACCGGGATACCGTTGGCAAAGTAGCAGCCAAGCGCAAAGATAGTGTTCAGCGCGCAGACGAAAACGAGCGAGCGCGGTCCAGAGTCGGCTTTGCTTCCGAGGCCAATATCAAGCTCACTCAGCGACTTTCCTGACTGGCTCCTCGGGAGCCACAGATTGTCATACGCATCCTGAAAACTCGCCCGGTCGAAGAACGGGTACAGACAGTACACCCGATCCCAGAAGCACTGCAGCAGGTGGTCGGCTAGATCCCGCGGAGGAAGCAAGAAGCCATCAACTTGGGCCCGGGACGAGGGCCAAACACCTTGACCTTGCGGCGATGCGTCCCGAGGCTGATTCCGTGATGGGCGGACAGGGCTCGAACCGCCAGGGATTGCACCGCGGGCGAGGAACCGCACCAACGAAGCGGTGGACGAGCTTCCAAAGTATTCATTTGATCGCCATAGGGGCTTTGACCCTTGCTCGACCGGACTAGCGACCGAATTAATGGCTCCCATAGCGGTGACATTGCTGCGGGCAGCAGGTGACTCGAGATGGACTGGGCCAGTGTCAGAGTGCGGCGAGCAATAGGCGGCAGCTTGATCCCAGATTGCTTGATGCGGCCGAGATGATCCTATGAGGGGTATCTGAGCAGCAGACTGTCCATGTGAGCCAGCAACGATGTCCTCTGTCCCCGATGGTAGCACGGAAACACCCGCGCTGCAACAGGCCTCTTCCAGGTCTCGGATGCGCTGATGGAGAGCGCGGAGGTATCTGCAGCGTCAGCTTTTGGACTAAAGGTTTTCAGAGAATTTGATCGACTTACTCATCGTTACTCGCCGATCGCGCATTGTCGGCTTTGAAGATGCAGCGATCGATGGTGTAAGACCGTCGCTCGCAGGGCCCGCAGATGGGCTTCTGGCCGTCACAGCGTGACTTGCGGTCTCGACAGGGTTCACACGCCAGAGCAATCTTGCGCCGAGTCACTGCTTTACGAGCCGATCTTCGAGATTGCATAATGTATGGTGATGATACTCTTGGATCTAAGTGATCGAATGTTTACAGGAAATCGATGATGGACGATGAAAAGGTTCGGGTCCATCCCGGAACACGTGATGCACATTCATTTCAAAAACGGAGATAATAGCAATATCATCTCCCAAGGTTTTTGAGCATATTTGGCCTAGGTTGCTATTATGCTAGCAAGTTACGGTCATTCCCTCTGGCTAATCTTGGAATCAGCTTGGTTGCATTCCCGAAATTGATCATGTCCCGGAGCTCCTGCTCCATCTCGTAACTCTCCAGATCCTCCAGGAAGCCAGGATAGGCGGGCGCAGGGGCATAGGGAAAGTCACTCTGCAGCCATTAGTGTCCACAGGTGGTAGAGTTCTATAGCCGCGAAGTGCTCACCCCGTATAACAAATGATCCCTCGGAATCGTCTTCAAAGCCATATCCAGGACCTGCGGCGACGACGACAGCGCCAGATCATAATAGAAGCTGCGAAAGTCACGCATCACTTGCTCATAAGTCGTGCCCATTCTATATGAAGCCGCCACATCCGGCACCCGACGCATCGGCGTCGCCACACGGCTAATGAGATACGGCAGCGCGCCGCCTGCATGGGACAATATAACCTTGCAATTTGGGTATTTAGACCGAGTACCTTGCAGAATCATATCCATGGCAGAACGAGTGGTTTCGTGCGGGTAGTCCACCACCGGTTGGGGCATTTTGGGGTTGACAGGGGTGGTATCGACTGGATGCGTGGGGTGGATGAAGACTACGCACTTACGGCGGTCGAGTTCCGCCCAGATCGTCTCTAGTGAGCGATGACCTAGGTAGACATTCGAGTCCCCGTACCTGGTAAATAGAGTAACACCGTCGGCGTGTAGGGTGTCGAGGGCGTAGGCAATCTCGCTAAGAGTTGCGTCGGTGTCAAGGAGGCTTGGGAGGGAGGCGAAAAAGCCAAAGCGTTGAGGGTTGCGGTCTCGAAGTTCGGCGGCGTACTCGTTGAGCTGGCGGGCTAGCGCAAAGGAGGCTGTTCCTTTGAGGATACAGGCCCCCGGCGCTGTCACGGATAGGATGGCGGTTTGAACACCCAGACGGTTCATCAGAAGCTCAGAGCGAGTGGCCGACCAGTGGGGAGTCGGCCATCCACTGGGGTCACCTCCGGCGTCTTCTACGGCTACATTTCTTGTAAGCTGGTGGGCGACATTCATGCATGTGAGGCTAGAACCTTTGCGATAAAAGGGAGGCACGAAGTGATGGTGAGTGTCGACCTTGTTGACGGGAGGACGGTGAGACCAGCCGAGGGCCTTGTCTTGCAGCCAGTCCATCAGGTGATCGGGCATTATATTGATGCCGTTTGGCTGTAGATAAAGGATGGCAAGGAGAAGGAGGACAAAGAAAGAAGAAGCAGCATTTCGTCATCGTTGGCAGGATCAAGATTTAAGCTGGACGGCTTTATAGAGTGGTATCGGGACGATTCCGGATCACTCGCCGGGTTCATCCCGGATACACAGCACGACCGTCGGACTGTACCCGGACCAATACGCCAGCTGAAAGTGTTCTTCAAATCGGCACTTCCGCTGGAGGAATCATGTCTCGAATTACACTCGGTCACTCCAAATGCCACATCAGGATGGATGCCCCAATACACACAATCCCCGTTCGAGAGGCATCCCGTTCAGGCAATATTGCTCGCCGTCTTTCTCTGCCTGACCACCACATCTCTTGTAATCCGTCAGATCTTTACTCCGAGAGACAAGCTGCGCGAGGGAAGCGGATAGCCTACCGGCGAAGTCAAGCGTGGGAATAAGCTCTATTTCATGGTATCATGAGGGCTGCATTAGAGGCGACATTGGAGCAATAGCCATGTGATATTCTTTTATCTCTCTTACATCAATACATTAGTTCATATGGGGAGTCTAGATATCAGAGTAGCCCTGTGTCTGGTCAATTCCAAGTGATGTCATGGTCGCACAAGTGCCAGGGATATCGAAATGATATAAGTAGCGATCCATGTGCACGGCGTCGTAGGTTCCATTTATGAACAAACTTGTTCCAAATATTCTTTAAAATGCTCTAATTCCGTGAACGGAAAGTTCCAGACTCACAAAATCTTTGTCAATCAATTAGAAGTGGTCAACCTAGGATGGCGCCCATCTAGCGGCGTTTTATTTGGATGGTACCCATAGAAAGCCCTGCGTTAACAGACCATAATTATAGAAGATGAAATTCTTGGGTCATATGCGTATGTACCCGAAGCTTAATTTCAAGTTGAAATTTGTGGCTTAACTAACCTGGGACAGCACGCAGCCTATGGGAGATGACCGAGTACAACCTTATTTCCCGGGGTGGAGTGGGAGGATGGTAAACCTAACTAGTATAATGTAAACTCAAGCTATCTGGGACAGATCAGCTGCTCATGGGGTCAGATTAATGACGTTGCAAGGGCGAGGTGTGGTACCGCATCTGCTGAAAATGTGATAACCAGATGTCCGTTTGCATCTACCTTTTATGATCTATTGTGACTTAAACCATCAGGGGGTCGGGCTTGCCTTCTAACTCGTCCACATGACGTCAAGCCCCAGTTGCAGACACAAAGGTGTTTGGTACTCTGGTAGGGAGAGGTCTAGACACAATTATCACTTAAATAGAGACATTCAAGTGCTGTTTGTTCTCTTATGGAACAGACTGTACTACCCTTTACTAACCGTAACCCATTAATTGTCTTTTGTGAGGAACACGACGAAAATGACATCTGAAGATGCTATAACCACATTTGTGGACCATTATTGTGAAACATGGCACTTTTGGGAACGGGCTGCAGTTACTGCAGAGCAGCAATGTAAGAACGCGCTTGCTCAAAGCGGAATCCGTCAGATCACTACCCACCGCACAAAGGATCCGGAACGACTGAGGGCAAAATTGCTGAAGCGACAGGCGCAAGATCCAGGAAAGTACACTGGCGAGAAATCAATTAAAAAGGACATAGTGGATCTTGCCGGAGTACGCGTTGCTCTTTATTTCCCAGATGACCGTTTTAAAGTGAAGGAAATACTTTGTTCTGTGTTTAACGTTGAGGAAATCAGACACTTTCCTCGAAAAGAAGACGACACTCAGGAACTGCTTGTCAACGGCGGCATGGAATATAATGCTGAGTCAACACAAGTATATCACCGGGAATTTGAAGGGTACCGGGCGGATCATTACAGGGTTCATTTGCGCGACCTAGAGCTGAATTCGGACGGTGTCTTACAAAGGAAACTCGTTGATGCCAGGATCGAGATACAGGTGGCGACGTTACTAATGCACGCATGGGCGGAGGTGTACCATGACCTTGGCTACAAGCCAACTGATGGACTAGTCTCTCTAGATGAGCATCGACTTTTGGATGGCATCAATGGACTGGTCAGCGCCGGTGAATTATTCTTGAAACAGCTGCAGAGAGCCGGCCAGAGAAGAATAACCAACACGGAGCAGAGGTTTGCCAATCACTATGAACTGGGCGCCTTTGTGCAGAAGAGCCTTTTCCCTGCCTTTGCCGTTGGTCCTATGGATGTTGTTTTTACTGTTCTAAAGGGCCTTGAAATGGACTCGCCCAAGGCTCTAGGGCCAGCTTTGACCAGTTGGGTACAACATTCAACAGATCCTTCAGACGTCTTGGGACTGTTGCATCACATCTTCTTTAAACGGGTGATAACAGATGGAACTAAAGGGGATAACGGGAAGGTTCGAGATATACAGGACCGGGTAGCAAAGGGGACATCGACAGAGGATGATGAGCTGAAACAAAAGATACTGTTTAGTGCAGTTGATCTGTATGATGCACTGTCACAAAGAATGGGGCAGCCACCGGTTCTCCAGAAGGCTGGAGCTTCTCCAGGCCTAGGCCGTTTTCAGACACTCTATAGTATTATCGGTCGCCGCCGGCCTGGCGAAGATGAAGCAGCCGAAAAGAATAAAGCAGTTGAAGAACTGTGGGCATGGTTTGAGGACAACCAGGACCTGAAATCCAAAGTGTCCTTCGGCATAGCTGCATTGCAAATGCAATCAATCATGGACGAAATAGTACAACCACGTACTACTCCACGAGAAGCGTGGAAAGCCGCTCCTTATCCGGATCTCTCTGTCCCAGTACCACAAATGAGAACCGGAGCTCCTGCAACAGCATACCCTGGAGCAAGCCGGAGATTGAGTGTGGCCCTTGAAGATGGAACCGGCTTCGCATCCCATTTGCAAGAATACCAACGGCAGTCCTCTCGATCACAAATAAATCAAGGGAAATATTAGTCACACAACAGCTTGATCATGGTCGAAGTATGACTGGTACGTTTGCCAAAGCCGATTCTGATGGAAAGTATGTGCCCTAACATGATATAGTAAACCAGCACTCATTGGAGAAACGTGCTGTACTTAACCAAAGCAACATGCTGTCCATATAAATATCGTTTTGCCTGCTGATGCCGATGTTATTGTTTATGACCTACAAATCAGTCTCCAAGACAATAACTGATTCTCTTACTCTCTCTCACACACATATATCTGATCAGATACCTAGTTAATAAGGCATAGCAATGCATAAATGCATAAATCTCATCTGCTTCGTCTCCTTCATAGCGGAATTTGTACTCTCACGGCATGCTATCCTATGGACCAGGCTAATAGTGTAGTATATGCTAACTAATTCTCCCTTTATCGTCTCAATCGCACTTACTTGGGTAATGGTGCAAGCCACTGTAACGTATTCAATCATCAAACGGTTAATTCAAGGCGATTGACATAATCACTTAGAGTTGCAGTTGTATACTGTGATTCCGCTCCTGGGCAAAATAAGCACTTTGGTCTGAACTCATGGACAAACATTATACAGTATACACGCTCTAACATTGCTGAATACAAGCATACTAGCACAATCGTAGGGCTAATGGTGGCCAAGGGCTGTGCTGTGTGATCCTATGATTACTTGTTCTGCCAATTTGCTAAACTATGCAATGATATTGTGAGACCCTGGATTGCCAATGGTTTGTTTCTCCGTCCGCTGCGCCACACATTCCACTGGCTGTCGTGACACAGGCAGCAGTCTCACACCATTATAGTAGGGGGTGGTCATTGTCGAACGGAAAATAGGTTCATATAGATGTAGATCAATCCACCCATTCAGGATTTGAGTTCAAGACTTTGTGCCCTGAAAAGCGCTAATTATAAAATGCCATTGAAAATAAGCAATACTATGCTGTGAGGTTACACTGGTATAAATCGGCGTTTCAAGCGACAGTCACGGAGACCTGAGCGTGGTTTGGATTGCGAGAATGTTTGAAATGCTTCGCCCCACTGTGGTTCGGTTCGGCCAGAGCCGCTGCCCCCGCAGCCGCGCGAGGCTGAACCTTCCAAAAAGCGGGATAAGCCACGTCCAGTAAATATCGGGAACGATGTTGGCCGTCGCAAAGACAAGTTGAAGCGGGGAATTATCTCGTTGGCGAACATGCGGAGCTCTCGGTATGTATTATTTCGCTGGAATATACCCAGGCACTGGTCATGTGAAGATACTGGGAGCTATCCCTTGCTTTAGGTCCCCTGCGAGGACCGAGGACAGTCTTAGTTTCTGAGTGTACTTAATATAGCCCCCGGAGAAGTTGATCATTCAAGGAATCAGCGACGCTAGATGACGCTGCTCAGCCGGCTTCTGTGCCTCATCCAACGGAAACACCGACGGTGTAATCGTAATGATTCGTGGGTTATGTCCTTGCGCATTCCAGTCACATACAACAGGCATGGTGGCTTGTTTCAGCCTCGTGCGCATGCGCGATCGGTGAGCTACATCAAGAAGTCCCGAGAGTCTTATTCTCTTTATAGGCTCATTGTCCACTCTCACTATGAAAGTAGGAAGTGTTCTTCTCTGGATATCATGGAGTTTGAGCAACGACCATGTCAGAAGAAACCCAGCTTAATTTAGAGCCACCAAGGACACCCATAAAGGGCCCCGCGCGCCAGGGCACGCTCAATGGAACACAGCCACCCCTGAGCAGCGCTTCGAGCCCTGGTGTCATTTCATCTCCTCCCTCGCCAGAGGAGAGTCCGTTCAGCCCCACACCCTCAACCGCCACCGATATCACGGACGACTATGGCTGGCAGACTCCAGTCAAAGGTCAAGCATTGTCGACGACACTAGACACAGACAGCCTCGAGTCCTCCCAAACCGAAGCAGATGACTCGGGGGGAGATGAGGATCGAGCCGGGCAGATTGCAGCCTTCAATGCTCCTTCCCCGACCAAGCCATTGGAACGATCAAACAGAGCAAAGGGCTTGAAACCCCGACTCAGCATCACTTCTCTACGCTCAGAAGTTGCCACCAAGGCGCTGTTAAGCAAACGAAAGGAGAGTTCAACTTCGCCTGTCGATACTCGTGCATGGGTCTCCGACCAGGGGAAGTTCCTCGAGGGAATATCATGGCCGTCCATACAGACCGGACAGAAGCCACCGAAACGATCTCGGCATATCCAGACCGAGTATTGGACATCCGAACAGGCGAGCAACATCTGTACGGATTTTTCCGCAGAAGGGACATGGCTTCTCAGACCGAGAGCAGCCAGCGACGTTGGTGGCACGAGGAAGCTCCATTTGGATCCAGTTAGACCCTGCACGCAGGATCAGAGTGCTGACCAGCCTTCGTCCTCCAATGCCATCGTTCCGACCATCACCGTTTCCCCTCCTGAGGATGATCAGATTGGCTCAGCCCAAATTAAAGACGAGGAACATGACCCACGTAGCAGGAGGTTGTCGTCGGGAGATGGCACAGTCAAAGCCGTATTGGCTCTCCTCTCAATTCAGAAGACTTCCACGTCCGCCAAGGACAAAATTATCATTCGAAAGTCGCTTCACAGTGTTATACCACTTGAGATTCGGGAGCGTTTGAGAGAGGACGACCAACACTGCCCAGCGCAGACACTGAAGGGCTTACGATGCAAGAATCGCCACCGAGCAAATGTCTCACTCATTATGCAGTACTTAGACAGCTTGACTACCATCAAATCCAGTGAAGTGCTCCAATGCATCGAAGATCTGATTACTGTTGCTTTGTGTTCTTCGGCACACCAACGTGTCGCCCGGAAAGAGCTAAAAACCTGGGAAACAGACATCGAAAAGCTATGCGATATTCAGGAAGATCAAGGGCACGTTGCCTCGCATACAAATTATCGCCTTTCAGCCCTTGCCGACTGGATCAATACTCTGAGCGGTGGGGAAAGTTTCTTGGAAAGAATAAAGACAACCTCCCTACCAACACCTCAAGAGAGCATTCCAAGCAATATTCCGCAAGTGTCTACTTTGATCCAAAAGTTCATACCCTACGTCACCAAGGCCTCCGTACGTTTGTCCGTTTCGGAAGCCCTCGAGAAGCTTCTGGTCAAGCCCCTTATGAAGAGCGAGATCGAGAGGGTAGGAAGCGTATATGTTTACTGGCAACCAGGGAACTTCGGGCACCTCAAGATCGGCTATTCAAAAAACGATATTAGCAAGCGGGTAAAGGAATGGAGCAGCAAGTGCAACAAGCCGATGGAAGTGTACTTTCCAAAACGGGGGAGTGACGAGGAGCATCTACAGGTCAGCCATGTCTGCCGCGTGGAGAAGCTAGTGCACACGGAGTTGAAGAACTGCAGGCGAATCGAAGAAAGCTGTTCAGGGTGTGGAGGTAATCACATTGAATGGTTTGAGGTCTCACGCCAGCTTGCGATAGCAGTTGTGCGCAAGTGGATGGCTTGGATGCGAACATCTCCATATGAGGAGCAATCATGTGGAGGGAAAACCGAGTGGGTATTGAAAGATGAACAAAGGAGGAAAATAAAGGAGCTTTCACAACCGCTCCAAGAGATTGCAATTTCCCGCCAGGACATGGAGAAGGGAGGGAGAGGAGCCCCGCTGCATGCTCAACATCTATCAGTCTCTCGAGCGGGTAGGGCAAGGTCTCCACGAATGAGAAGTAAATCAATGTAGCCGCGACGACGATTCGAATTTGCATGATCCTATGTCCAGTTATCTATGTATCCCTTTAAATCACTCATATAATGTCGACTTCCCTGAACTGATATGATTCGATATTCCGGTGTGCATGCCATTCGATATTCGTGGAAGTAGCGGCATCTGGTAACTAAGATCGGCGAGTAACCATACAAATATGAGATGTGGCCCCTTGTGCAGATCGTCTGCCTGTAAGTGATCAACATCCGGACCTGCTTGCGTGATCGGCCGGATATAGCTGGTGATACGATTGCATGGTTGGGTGCTGAGCGCAGGGAGTGGCTAGGTGGGAGATACGTGAGCTATCCATGGGATATGGAGGAGCTCATGAAAAAGAAAGACGAGATCATCAAGGAGGATAAGCTTAAGATGAGGATGGTGTATTGAGCCCACTGCTCACTGCTTTCTAGCCATCGCTGCAGGGATTCGCATTGAAACGCTACGAATTCCTGCACTTACTGATGATTTAGATAGGGAAGCTACAGCAATGTGTCCCGCATAATTTGATGATCATTGTTATTTCCAGTCCACTGGTATATTTGGTTCTAATCCTATCTCTTGCCTCCTACTGGTAAATCCCTTCAGCACCACATCAATCCCTAACACTCACATCGATTCTAGCCCTCACGACTGCAACAGCCCCAGCCCTCCAACCGCAACCACCGCCGCCCCTCCACACAATGCCCAAACCCCCTTATCCCATCCTCTCGGCCCCTGTGTCGTAACCCATGTATCCACCACACACACGGCGGTCCACGCCGTCAACAAAACTCCCATCTCCTTCTCCTTCCGTTCACGGTAGAACCAATACAGCGCTGTTCCAACGGCCAAGTCACGTATACCAAGGAATACCATTGCTTTTTCAGTTATGCTGCGGCCTTCTGATGTAGAAGGCGTGACCCCGAGAGTATCTGCAGCAACGGACGGTGCGACTATGGACAAGGCTCCCAGGGAGAAGACGGTGCTTGTGAGGCCCAGACCGATGAGGCGCCACGTTGAATGGGTAAGGAGGGAGTTGGGGAAAGCCATGGCAGGTCAGCTTTGCAGGAATTGATTTTTGATTTGATAGAAAGAGATATGCGGAGTTTTAATAACAAAATTGCGGATGAAAGAGCGTTTGAGCTCCGGATGTTGCGAATTGCAAACGTTATATACCCCACCAATGCAGCCTTGGAGCACCAAAACTGGTCACCGTCCTTCTACTGTGGCAGCTCTACTGCGGAATGAAAATGGGGCATTACGAGAGCTTAGAAATGCCACACTTCCTCGTGATCAATTTTGAGTGGCCCTGGTAACCTGCAAGTTTCAGATTTGCATGTTAATACTAAATTATTAACTAAGACTAAGGCAATATACTAGGATTGACCCCTGGGACATCACCTTGGCAGGTTTGTGTCTTTTATTGGGAATATTACAGTGATGCATTCGAATAACTTAAAATCAAGTCAAACCGCGTCTAAACAAACTCGGGAGGATTACTGATCATGTAAACACCCTGAACTCGAGTCAGAGAAAGTCTCCGTGGTGCCGGGACGATTAGTTCCGCGGCCACTGTGATTAGAAGTTGATGATAAACCTTAAACCTTATGCCTATTACAAAATATTAGTTAATCAACTTGCCACAACTGACTCGTGATGAGGTCCACATACTCTATGATGATAAAGCACGCGATGATAATTTATCAGCCCAATCCCAACCAAAGATTGGAGGTCGACAAGGCAACTACAAATTGGGCAGTAGACCGCACTGGCTTTTCCATATCAACCCGCTGAATCGGCTACCCTTCCGCTCAAGGACATATTTACCAGCAGGCCAATCGTTATGGCCACAAAGAAAATCATTGTTATCCTCGGGGCTACCGGGAACCAAGGTGGATCGGTCGCGGAGACTTTCCTACAAGAACCGCAATGGCACGTCCGTGCAGTGACTAGGAACCCCCTTAGCACCAAAGCACGAGCTTTAGCTGCCCGCGGCGCGGAGATTGTCCAAGCCGATATGGATGCGCCATACACCCTCTCGTCCGCCTTCGATAACGCGCAGGTTATCTTTGCTGTCAGTGACTTTTGGGGCTTATATGGTGATCCTGCCAACGCAGCCAAGGCCACGAAGGATCAGCCGCTCAACGTCTGGGCCGCGAACCATGAGACCGAGCAACTGAAGGGCGTCATCGATGCGGCCGCAAATGTCCCTACGCTGGAGCGTTTCGTGTTGTCATCTCTCTCCAATGCGACTAAGTGGTCGCAGGGGAAGTACACGCACGTCTACCATTTTGACTCGAAAGCCAAGGCAGAGGCATACGGAAAAGAAACATACCCCGAGTTGTGGAAGAAGACCAGCATCTTCCAGGCGGGGTTTTTCTTGAGCAATTTCGTGTCGAACCCGATCCTCCAACCCCAAAAGGTAAGTTCTCTCCACTGGCCCCCTTTACCTCGCCTAACGATTCTGAATATCATCAGCAAGCGCATGGTGTAGTCCACTTAGTCGGGAATCTGGATCCAGACGTCAAACTGCCGTTCATCGCCTCAGAAGAAGACAGCGGACCGATCGTGAAGGCCCTCGTGCAAGAGAGCGCTGGAAAAAATGTCATTGGCTATAGGGAGTGGATAACTTTACGCGAAGTCGCCGACGCATTTACGCAAGCCACCGGCATAAAAGCAGAATATATCAGGTTGCCAAAAGGACAATCGAACGTTCCGCTTCCCCCCGACCTGCAACTGGAATTGGACGACAATTGGGCTTACTGCAACGAGTTCGGGTACGAGGGCCGAGATGACCCCACGATCATCCACCCCAAGGACGTGAGTTCACGAGCGACATCATCTTCCCTTCAATTGCTGACCTTACTAGTTGGGCTCGCCCCCGCAGCTGGACAGTGTGGTAAACTACTTCAAGAAGCAGGACTGGTCCAATGTCTTGAGCGCCTGACGAAATCAGTGCTCCAAGAGCTACCGCATGGGAAGAAACTATTCATCTCATGTTCCAGTCCAATACGACCATTCGGGGTTTGGCTCATTTGGCTTTCACGTCCGACTCTTCGATTGTTGCTGAGTGAGCTGGAAACCGACATATATTAGTACTAGAAACAAGATTGCCTTAAGAATACACAGAATCTCGGCAGGAACTGCCATGTTTTTCTTAAAGATGAGCTACAGGGTAGGGCCGGAAAGATAGATAGGGCACTTAAAGTCGCCACTGGTACAGATAAGTCAAGCCGAAACGATGATTAGCGGTAGAAACTGTACTGTTTGCCCAAGTAGGTGGTGGGTGACGGTCATTTTAGAACCTGAACGGCGAAGGAACCTATCTTGTTGAGACTTGCTTCAAAACAAAAGATTCAGGAGATTGTATTGAGGCTTAATGAGTAGGTCGTTGCACATCAACTCGCAATGACCTATAGTAGTCACTCATATCTAACTCGTACATTTCCGGTATTTGCTGTTTGAGAAAATGGGACCGGCAACCCCATGTTTAAAACCTATCGTGCTGTTCCATCGGGCCTCGACCTGTAAGGCAGGTCCCTAGCAAATGTGCGGGGTTTTCAACCGCTGCCGTCTTGCGAGATTCTTGATTGGATAAAGGGTGCAGGTCTAGGTCTTGGCATCCCCAGTGAAGAACCTTGGCTTGATTTTCAAAGTAATGCGAGATAGGGGAGTCGCGAGTATCCTGCATGAGAATCATGTCGGGTCGAGCGATACATGTGGTGGAAGCTAATTTCATTATTCGAAGGCAAACAACCTTTCAAAGGTTCCATTGGCATGCACAGACTGAGTTAGGTTTCGCCCAGAGGCCAAGCGCCCTGCAGGGTTTCAACTCCCTGCCAGCGCATGATACTGTGAAAACAAGTCAAAGGACTATGCATGTGGCGCCGTTCAGATAGCCTGTCTATATGTGTCCTTCGAGTGCTTAGTAGACCCGCCGGGCTATTTCCAATCTAATCGTCGAGAACACTATACATAAATTTGCACAACTTTGCACAACATTATCCTGATATTCAGCCTATTAGCTATAGCTGTCTCTTACTTACACTTTGTAACACCCTCCTAGTGTAAGCTAACATGCATTTAAGATCTGACTTGTAACTATACTATTTTGTCAGGCCCTAAACAGCGGTTTAGAGAGGTACTGAGGAATAATGCTGACAGAGGGTTATGTAGAATCTGTTCTGAAGTCGCTCTCCTATTTAAAGGATGTTTACCATGAAAGTAAATACATAATGTAGGAAACATATAATCCAAGAAATGATCATAACTAAATGTGATGAGGTAAAGTTATATGCCCAGATGCTACTATTTCTTGTCCTCAGGTCGGTGATACTACATTAGGATATGCGATAGCCCCCTTGATATACCATTTGGTATACCAGGCCTTCCGACCATGGAGTGTTATAACGTGTTGATCATCCGTAAATGTTGTCAACCACAAAAGCGAACTAGCTAAGGTCGTCTCAACCCGATGATCAGGTATAAGACATCAATGAAATATACTATTCCTGATCATTGCGGTACTCCTGAAAAGCCCCAGTGCTGTGTCATGTGCTTGTTGACTGGTTCAGACCAAGAGGAGAATCGGTTGGGAGTTGAGCCAAACAAAAACCAGTCAGGTTAACTTGATATAGAGATCGAACTCAAGGACACTACTGATATTGAGGCATTGAATTTGATAAGAGTTGGAACAGCATATGCTAGTAAGTGAATGCTGAGGTGAGAACTTAGGTATTCTTGATATAATACTTTTGTATAAGCAAAAAGGAAAAGAGAGAAAAAGAGGCGTCAATTCACGGTGACCACCATTTTCCCATGTGCCTCATTGGCCTCCATCAGACGATGAGCTTCTCTGATTTCTTCAAAATCGAATACTCTCCAAGGATCAGCATTAAATTGCTTCCGAGCCACCATTGTAACAATCTCTTGGAGAGGAACATCTGACAAGGGAAATTCGGGACTTCCAAAGACAAAGCTGCCGAAAAAGCTAAGATGTACTCCGCTCGCCATCTGCAGAAGAGGGTTAAATTCCGGAATAGGTGCAAGTCCGCCCAACCAGCCCGCTAGACACACACGGCCACCCCGATGCACGATCTTTAGCGAATCAAGAACAGTGCTATTCCCTATCAGCTCGAGTATAGCGTCAAACTTCTTCGGAGCGCGCATAGAGAGATTAGGGCCTTCAATGAGAACATCTTCAGCCCCTAGTTTTTTGAGCTGTGCGATACGATCTTCGCTGCGCGTCGTGGAGGTGACATGCACTCCCGCATTGACCGCTAGATTGATTGCAGATCTCCCAAAGGCGGACGTCCCACCTCGGATCAAAAGCTGCTGGCCTGCCCGTATCTCGAGATTCCGGAATAGACAGGTCCATGCTGTCGCATATGACTCCGGGATAGCCGCGAGCTGGTCCCAGCGCAGTTGAGCTGCAGCTGGACCGAGTGGAACAACATTTGAAACCTTGGCTCGAGTAAACTCAGCATAACTTCCGCTGATTGTACGACCGAGTCCCCCCATGAGGCTGGCAACAGGCGTGCCTTCTTCAAATTCACCTCCCGGACAGCTGGCCACCTCACCGACACACTCGATCCCACTGATTGGCACCCATTCTGCCCATTCGCCCTTTCGCATGTGCATCTCGGCATGATTGACGCCAAATGCCTTGATCCGAATGACGACCTCTCCCTGTCTTGGCTCTGGGGTTGGCACCTCGTGAATCACCAGGGACTCGGGCCCCCCAAACTTTTCTATAATAATTGCCTTCATATTGAAGCGTTGTGGAAGGCAGTAGAGATCTTGGTAGATTAACAATACAGAATGAAGTTACATGCATCAATAGTGCCAGGCCTACTAGGGCAATTCAGACAATGTGGCCGTCACAAACGCTTTATATAAACAATAGCCTATAACGTAATCAACCACCGAGCGACGAATACCCCCGAGCGACGAATTTTTGCCGCTTCTAATACTAATTTGAAGCTTTTCAACCACCAACATCATTAGACTTGACTATCTAGTAGCTGAATATATAGCTATATATTAGGACAATTCCTTCTAGTATGTCCAATAGTCCAACACGCACTGCAGCGTGGTGGAGCCCGCTGACTAGGTATAGGTGTAGGCTCACTGGCCTGCTCAACAAGAGGTATATCAAGCTGCTGAATGCGACTTTGACCTTCCTGTACAGATAGAAGGATATCATTACCTAGGTTAGCACGCCTCTTTGCCTTCTTTCTCATCTTTCGCTCATTCTCAGCCCGTAGAACCTTGATTTCTTGTTGAAGAAGAAGGTTCATATTCATTGCCATTTGTGCAGCCTTTTCAAGATGTTGGATATGGGATACTGGACTGCTAGAAAGCTTTCTTTTCTGAAGACTTCTCTGTAGGCTGCGGACCTTTTTATCTAGTTGCCGAGGATTCTGAGGAGTCTGAAAAGCAGATGATATAGAGCCTTCAAGAATTGGTGGTGTTGGTGTACGAAGTTGAAAAGTAATCTTTTCAAGCACCCGGTCTTCATTAAGTGGTTTAAGACCAGCACCTGTAAAGCCACTGTGTATATTCTTCTGGATGAAGACCCTCTCACGCGCAGATGGGTATAGGTGTAGGAAGTCTTCCTTATCAATATGGTTATTGCCAGCAACCATTATTCCTTCAACTAACTTCCCATATGCGCGCTTTAGTGGACCAAAAACACCAACATCCAATGGTTGCAGAAGGTGAGAAGTATGTGGTGGCATGCAAAGGCAGATGATTGCATTCTCCTTGCAGAATGCATCAAATTCTGCAGTTTGATGACTAGAATGGCCATCAAGAATAAGTAATCTCTTTGCACCAGTTGAATGCTGCCTTGAGTATGGCTCAAACACCTCTTTAAGCCAGCGAAGGCCTATTATATYAGTTATCCAGCCATTATCACTCATTGCAATTAACCAGCTTTGAGGAACTGCTGATTCTTGATACCAGGTAGCCTGTTGCTCTTTCCCCTTTAAGATAACCACTGGTGGTATAGAAACCCCCTTTGAGCTCACACATTCAATTATTGTAACCCATTCGCGGTTACCCTGAATGATAGTACGGGGTCTCTCACTGCGATCCACTGCAGTGATAACCTTAGAAGTTGTACAGAGTCCCATTGCAAAGCCAGTCTCATCAAAGTTCCAGATGTCATCCTCATGGATGCCGTATTCTTGAATAGCCTCATGCACAGTTGTAAACCACTGTTTTATAACCCTTGGATCCTCCTGCTTTGCACGCTGGTATGTAATCCTCCGGTTATATCGTGTGCGAAGGGCTGGATGGCGTTTAATAAACTTATATGCCCAGTTGACACCAATGGTTGCGGTAGGATCCTGTGTACGCTCATGGAGTAATATCTGCGCCATTCCACGTAGGAACTCTGGTCGAATTGAAAAGCCCCGTTTATCTGCATCTAGTAGACGCTTGGTAAGAACTTCTTCTTCCAGAGCTGTTAATTTATGGCCATTGGCACGTGTTTCTGAGCGTGGTTTTCTTCCATTGAGGCGAGCGCGAAGGGTAGGCTCAGGCACGCTAAAGGTCTCTGCAGCGCTTAGTACTGACTTAATTTTTTTATTCTTAATGGCTGCAATTGCCATTTGTATCCGATTTTCTTGAGATAAAGGCATTTTTAATAGTGGTGATGATAAAAGAACGCATTAAAGAAAGGAAGTGGTTGACCCAGGGAGAAATTCGTCGCTCGGGGGTATTCGTCGCTCGGTGGTTGATTACGTTAGTCTGAGGTTGCTTACAGAATGTGACGTCTTCCATTTAGGGAGTTGACAAAACATTTGTCCTGTTTGATTGGTTTGATCGTTTGGAATAATGTCACATTCACTGACTCCTTGGATCTTTCCATCCAATGAACAGACGACAGAAGCGGAGAGTGTGCTGCATAATCCGGGGGAGCCTAGACCTCGCTCCGAGGACATTTTTGTCTTAAGATGTGTTCCGTGGCTGCCCAAAGTTCACCATGACACGCCAGAGGACTGAGAGGAAGCTCAGACGCTCTGACTTGGAGCAAGAATTAAAGTAAATTAGGCGAGCATGGAGACCTTGCATCTTGTCTAGATTTACATTCGGTCCGAGTTTGGGTGAGTTCAAACTGAGTTAGCACCGAACCGCTACCGTCAGGGTTGATTCTGATTTATAAAATTTGGACTCAAAATTGCAGCGGTTCAGTTCCAAACTTCCAACTGGCTTAAACGCATGAACTTATGACTGAAATACTGAATGCAACTCTAACCCTTCCTATATATAAGTTCATAATTAAAAATGATGCTATGGTTCTTAATTATATAAGTATTTCTTTATATTTTTATAAAAACTTTTCAAGTTTTAATCTCTTTATAGCTCTATATAGGTGAACTAGGATAGATTTAATCGTTTAAGTAATATTAATTATATTATATAGTTTTTAGATAGACATATACAAATTATAGAGGAAGAGTATTAAAAGTTCTAGTTATATATGGTATACCTAGCTACTAGGACAATATATATATAGGATATAAATAAGAAGGAGAAAATACCTATTTATGCAAAACTTATAGATTATTACTAGGAGGAAATATAAATACTGACTCTTCAGAAATCCAAAATACATTATTTCAGCTTTGTTCCAATGGCTTGCCGTGTCCCGGTGGCCTGTAGGTGCCCCGTGCCCGTACTTGGTCCAGACTTATGACTCCAGTGAGTTTAATCTCGGAAGCAAACGAGAGATCTGACTTTTAATACTGACGCGAAAATAGCCACAGTATCCTGCACAAAAGAGGAATATGCACGTAGTAACGATTGCTCCAATATTCTGTCTCTTGCAGTCATGCTGCTAGAGATCAGTATCCGATAGCCAAATCCAAGTCTCTATCTCGACGAGGGCCCCAACAACCAAGTAACGGAGCCGTAGGGATCTCTAGGCCACAAAGCGCTAGCTGCTCGAGGAAGGAACGCGGGGAGTCGTATCTACCGGATTTCGAGAAGCGATAACATATTGTTTGCAGGCTTATATCAGCCCACAGCATCGTTACTGGATGAATCATTTTGTCGGGGGCGCTGCAGGGGCAGGTGCTCAGTCCCCTGGAGAGTGAGATAAGCTCAGTGATAGAATATGATGCTGTTTGGATGGATGATATGTTAGAGGATTCATACTGCTTCCAACCCAGTACTAGGGTAGTATCCATGACGGTGGATGCACGTACTTTTCCGCCCATTGGGGAAGCAACCTTCACGAGCCTTTTCCCATGTCAAAATACCACCTAGTACCTTGGCAGTGGTAGATGCGTTAGCGAACTGAAAGTAGGGGCTCGGAATCTCACTGTAGGATTCTTATTCCTTCGAGATGGTCTAAGAAGTGCTTAGAAGTAAGACATACCACACCATTTGGTAAGATGGTAAGCCGCCTCCATGCGGCCCTGCGGACTAGCGCAATTCATGCCCGAGGAGTTCCAAATGCTCACCCAATTGGAGACCTCAATGGTGTAAGGGATAGTTACATTCCGGGATCCTCATTGATGTTTACAGAGCGGGTACTCTTCCTTTGCATCTAAATCCGGTTCTGCCTGCGTCATCCACTCTCTACAACGAGGGGTTCTGCAATATCTCATGGCCCACACCGGGACAATGTCACTATTGTTGACAGACTCGTGTCCAGTAAACTCCGGCTTATCTGGTTCAACTGGTCAATTGTCCAATAGACAATCTCACTGTATGCATGCAATGCGTTGAGATCATGCATGTATTCCACAATTACAGCCACCAGTGAAGACTCGTCAGACAGAACTGTGGCCTGATCTACGGAGATTCGAGTGACAGACAATCGGAGCTGAGTGGACGCTGACTTCTAAAAACTATACAGGCCCCCGCTATCGAGACTTACTAGAGTACCCCACCCGGTACTTATTATAAAGGCGGAGTTCCCCTTCTTCTGCGTTGATTCTTCATTTCTACCATATCATTCTTTCATGTCCATACTAACAAAATTCGATACCCTCACAATGGCGCCAAAAGTAAGAGCCATATACCTTTCAACCCGCTTGATCTACCTTGGATGATTCCATAAGATAGCTAGACTAACACTCGTGATAGACCCTTCTCGTTACTCTAGCCCTCGCTTCCGGTGCCCTGTCCGCCGTCTCCGGTACCTTCACCACCTATTTAGGCGGCGGCTGCCGCGCCCTTGGTAGCACCGGGGGCATCTTCGAAGGATACTGCACCAACATCGAGTATTTCCCCTGGTCTGGCTTTGAAGGAGCTGTGACATCCGGTGCATGTGAGGATGCTTCCAAAACTCCGACTATCCGCCTATACCTGGACCCAGGATGCGAAACCAACCTCTTCACTTCGTTTACCATCGGGGCCCAGCCGCAGTGTGTTGCCAAAACGGGGTCTGTCCAAAGCGCTATTCTCGTCTGCGCTTAAGGAAGATTAGGTGGTGGTGGTGGTGGTGGTGGTGGCTACCTATACTAGGTGGTCTACTGTTCTAATCCCACGGGGTGATTCCATTCGAACAAGTTACATCTTAAAGACAGCATTGGGGATCGTGTAATTCATTAGTACCCATTACTGTATTTTATCCCATGTAAACACCTGTTCAGATGCCTGTGCTCCAAGATTGGGGAGTAGAGATGCAAGTTTCATTAAACACAGTCCATATAGTCAAGCATAAGCCCGAACTCGCCCTACCCTAAGAACAACCTTGAGAAGTCAGTCAGTCCTACTTCGGGGAGTGTCAGTGTAGAAATGCATTTCAGTCATGTGTACATTATATAGCTCTCATAGATTGTCAGGATAGATGCTTCCAATGCACAGGGCGAAAGTTAACCACTAATCAAGTCGACTATCGATCCACTCCAGGAGATTAGTCCCATCGTCCAGCAATATTAGCTCCCCATTCAACCAGTTTGCCCCTACTGCATCAGCAGGTAAACTAGAGGGCAACGGCGGTGGATTGTCTGATAAGGCCTGGTTGAGGATACCACAAAGGATACGGCGCGCACGCTGGCAGATGTCATAATTTCCCTCATGCGGACGAACGACGTATTGGAGGTAGGACGCAAAGAAGCTCAGGCTCTGGATGGTTTCGGGCCGTCGGAAAGTCGATGGAGGAGGCCGTGATGACCCGGCAGTTTGGCACAGCAGCTCGATTGCTAGAACGCCGGCGACTGGGATGCCGAATGAAGAGGCCTGCTGTTGGTGAGACGGTGCGGTTAAGGTTTGAGAAGTGGACTTACGTTCCATCCAGTGTTGTATGTACCAGTTCCAGATGCAATCTCTCTCCCGATGAGCTGGAGAACTGTGCCGAGTATATTCTGTGAGACATTGATTAGGGCATCCGACTCGTTCTGGGAATGACTGACAAGCAGCCGGTAGAGAAGAAAGTCATTGTAAAGGAAGTCAAGAGAGAGGGGAATAAGTAAACTGCCACTGTCGTCGACATTGGCACTGCCAGGACGCCAGCGAAGGAAGCCGGGGAGTTCCTCCCACGTTCTGCGGGAGTTGTCAGACACTTGCCTAGACAATGTCAATAATGGCCAGATGATTTCAAATGTGAGTCTTGGACTCACTTGGCTTTCCGGGGAAGGTCATCGACACAGCGGCTCGGCGACAATTCGAGGATTTGCTCTCTAATTGAGCTGACCAGAAGAGCAACTCGCATCCACTGGGCATGTTGGACGACTCCTTGGCTGTTACAACCATTTGCGCCCAGTTTTTGATGGCGGCATCTCGAGTAGGTGCGTCCGCAAGGATCTCGTCGTAACGCAGATCCAGGGGAAGTTGCACATCGCAGTATCTCCAGCTGATCTGGGGCCGTCCCAAGGAAGTGGCAGGCTGCTTATCCATGATATAGGCGCCCGCCATCAGGCGTTTACGGAGCTCGGCGAGAAAGAAGGGCATGCGTGTGTTGCGTCTAGACTGGTTGAGCCCGAGAGTATATACCACTATGGATAATTGGGCCAATATTCGCCACGCTCAATAATCTTTACCTGTCAGCATAGCGAAGTAGTTCCATAGAATGGGCGACAAGCCATACCATTGTCACCATCACCAAAGTCAGCAGACGGATATATTGATACAGCAGCCAACCCAGAGGGTCATGGACTACACCTGAGTCGTCGCAAAATTGAAGACAAGCATCTCTGGCAGTGGCCGCAAGCACCCCCAGTGATCTTTGATCGGCTGATGCAGCATCTGCTAACTGAGATACAGATTTCCAGTCTCTCTCCAGTATTGCGCCTTGGCCTACAATGGAGAAGACCAATCCGATGCCTTCCCATCGATTAGAGACACGACGTAGATATTCTTCGGGTGTCGTCGAGGGACCGACCTCAATCAGCTGCGAGCGCTCGTCAAATAGTTTCTGAGACCACCCTAGCAGGTTCTCGTAGTACCTTTCCTTTGCATCCTGGGCATTTCCAGGATTCTGTGGGCATCTTTCAAGGCTGTAAAGATCATGCGGACGAGCTGTTGGCCGACAACTCAACCTTCTGGCGAATTGTCTAAACGATTCTCCGTGATAGTCTCGTAAAGCGACAGATTCTCGAACAAGGTCAGCAGAACCGCGCGCCCAGCTGAACCTGTTTTTGACTCAAGCTGGCTTGACTGTGCTCCAAGATCCTCAGCGGCGCGAGGATCCCGTTTACATCCTCTTCGTTCTCGCTAGACACGCCAGAGTAGCTCGTCAGTCCCAGGGTCCCAAGAGGTGTGACCGATTGGGCTTTCTTGTCCAAATTGATGTCAGAGTTTGCAGGCTTAGTTGGCGAGGAGACAGGGTCAGGATACCAGCTCCGGGTCACGGGTGAGGGATGATAAACACAGACGTCGGCCACAACAATGTGCCGATGGCCGCGCTTGAATCCAAGCCATTGGACAAAGACGTGGACTTTGCCGGCCATTTCATGGCCACATTGTGGGTGAGCTCCACATCCTTTGATGCCGATATTTACGTCTCGCTTCGGGTTATGGCCGGTGAACGAGAGGTGCCGTACAGGACTATAGAACCAGCGATATTCCAGGGTGAATCTCGAGACAAGAGGGCACTACCTCCGTTAACATCAGGGGTTTTAAAGGCTTCACGGAGGGCTACGGATCCTGTTCGCAGCACACCTTATAGGCCTTGGCACACACACACCTAGAAAAGGATGCCCAGCCTGTGGTTCCAAATGAGCCTGTCAAAATTGAAGTTGAATTACTCGCAGTGGCTGGACGGATTTAGCCGGGAGGCGACTACGTCTTGAGATCACACCCATTGAGGGTTCAGGGCCATGCCCGTATTTGAGCGCGCATATGATGAAACTTACCATCGTGGAGCCGTCAACCGTGTTTTCACTAGCTCCATTTCTATTCCCATTGTTCCTCCCAAGCCTAGCCTTTCTTTGTGAATAATCGTAACTGATTCTTTCCATGCGCAAAGATTAAGTTTAAGGGGGGATCTGGTGGGGCGTGTTTACTGTCTGTCATTGAAGAAAGAAGGTGGCAAGTCAATTATGGCAAAATTGTTGCTGAAGAACCCTCAAGAATGTCTTTGCTCTTTCCAGCTTCATATGCCGTGGTCATTTCCCAAAATAAAGGGGGGAAAAAAACATTTCTGCACCACCGCTAGCCTACAAAGAATCTTATAACATCGAACCATTCGCTCATTCCTCTGAGTCTGCTGATCTCAATTCAGACACAAGGCAAAGGATATTCAGAGACACATGATACGAAACGACTTACTCCGGTACGCGGGTGGTCGGAAAGATCTTATTTTTATGGTTGCGAACAGCATTCAAGTTAAATAGTTTCAAGCTTACTTCACTTGCTTTTGCCGGCTCCGGCCTGGTCCAGGAACTCCTCAACAGTAGTGGCGCGCAACCCTTGGAGGACACCAGTGCCCCATTCCAAAGCCTTCCCCTTGGGATTGTGGTTTGCATTCGTAAACCCAAGTATCCTCATTTGGTGGACGGCCACCCAAGGGTCATTCGCCTTGAGGCCTTCGATAATGTTCCCAAGAACCTCCGAAAAGGTCACCGGGTTGGACTTCCACGAAGAGTCGCGTGATCTGAACAATTGGAAAAGCTCCCTGTAGGTCAATGTCTGCCCAGCCAGGAGAGTGATTGGTGATAAATCAGCGCCGTAATTGATGCTGTTCCGTAATATGGCCAGCACCGCCCGTGCTGTGTCTGCGGTGGATGTCAAAGTGACCTTCTGCGAGCCATCAGCGTACATGTCGAACACCTTCGCACTATGGTTCATCGCCCATGCAAGTCCGATTTCGCGAAGCGGGTTCTTGTCCCCGGGCAAGATATATTCCATAAACCAGCCGTGACAAATCATCGTCCATTTGACGTCGTTTTGTGATCGTAGTTTGTTGCGAACAACCTCGTGTGTGGCGGCACTAAACATTGGCTGATCCGGGAAATCGTCAAGGTTGATGTTCCATTCGGATGGGATGAAGTGTTTGCACCTGCGCGATTGACTGCATGCCTCAAGGATATTGGAGTGCGCGGAAACATAAAAATCGTTAGGGCCGCTGAGAGTTGAGACAACCGCGTCGCAGTCATCAAGCTTCCTCCTCAGATCTTCGACGGAGTAATCGGTGAGACGGATCTCGGCTTTCAGGTCGTCGAGGCTTGGTTTAAATGAACTGGTCAGAACAACGACTTCGTCCTCGGACTTGCAAAATTCGGTGGCGAGGCAAAGGCCAACTTGACCAGCACCAGCGAGAGCAATCTTCATGATTTCTGAGTCGATGTAAGCCAGGACTTGGAGACCAGTGTAAGTTGTGATGTTTATTCAGGTCAGCTAGAGTCGGGAGGACTCTGCTGTTCAAATATAGAGGAGTCGTGATCATTATTACTCTAGTTCTTGTTGCTCTATCTTGATGTCGTCATGCTACTTCAGGTTCTAGGTGTAGCTGTGGGTTTCAGGCCTCGCAAAGCAGCTGAAAGAGGAAGGCGGGAGGGGCAAGGAATGGGTCAGCTTTGGGTTAGCGGCTGATTGAGTTTGAGTCAGTCAGGGTATGGTTGGTCCACATACAGCGCCAATTTTCGGCCAGCCTACGCTACAAAAAAAAAGCATTCAATGATTTAATATGGACTACATCGGCGTACGTATACGGTGTATGATTTTATTTAAGATTTAATTAATAGCACGTACGGACACTACCTGCACCAACGCCTAACAACGAGATTCAAATTCTAATTATTAGGTTATCTGGAAACTCTGCAGGCACCACGTCTCGCGCCTCCCGTACTGCTGGACGTAGTTGATCGTTGGTAGGTCTCTATCCTCACCATATCATTCCTGAATCCAATTCTCATCCGATTCCATCCGATCCCGATAGAGTTCAGATCAGGGGAGGAAGGAGCCGAATGCTGTTATGGGATAATCCCAGAATACGGACCACGTTGTGTACGTGGCTTGCAATTTGTGGTTCCTGTTAGGCTGCCCCTTCTTTTCAGCTGCCAATCATACCATTAGTTCTCTCTTTACTTTCTCCCTGTTATAACTTCCACCGTGTACCTATTTTTAGTGGACATTTTGGCCTTACTAAGAGGTGGTAATGAGGGTGAGTATTGCGGATCCGCTGTCCTAGAACACTCCATTTCGAGAGCGCTCGGGAGTAGTGCACGCTGAATTGGAGATCCTTGCATGATAGACAACAAAAAGGACTAATAACAATTATGGAGGATCAGCCTTCTAGTGTAGGTAACCAGAGGAGAGCCCACTGGTGATCACTATGCTAAAAACATCTCTCACAACACATATATACAACAAAGGTCAACTCTCAGTGGGTCCTATGGAATGATTCTCAATTAATAATCTAGGGGAGGCACTTGGAGTTATCATAAAATTATTAGATGTTTAGGTAAAGTTTAGAGAGGAGTAAGCATAATATGCTTAGAAATTTAATAATAAAAGTTTAGTGCCCCTATTTAACAAGCACCTAAGCAAGCACTCTGTAGGTGCCTATATAATGCAACCTAGATGTTAACATGAATTGAAGCTGCTGAGCGGAAGGCAGCATTGCCTGATGCTGGAGACAAGGATACTCCAAGCAAAACCCCACTTTGACGAATTATCAGGATTGTAGAGCGCGTCTTGTCGTACTGCTTCGAGGCCATTGAGATGTGTACAACAGCAGCATGATAAAAATAGATATCCAAGGGATAGCAGTTCAGTTCTCAATTGCTCAAGTGGGTCGGCACAGGTTGTCATAGCTTATAGGTACCTTAATATTTGACTGAAACTGAGGATCAAATTTGTGCCTGAATTCTGGCTACCATTATGCTACCATCATAAAGGTACTAGAATTTATGCAATACGATAGCTTTCCTATTTGAAGCAAAAAGATCTAAAGTCTTTCAACAAGTGGGTTGTGTAGTGTAATGGTTATCACTCCAGATTCTGATTCTGGCAATCTTGGTTCGATTCCGAGCACGACCTCACCTATTTCTTTTGTTTTTTCCATCCAGTCTCACCAATCACTCAATCATAGTAATGTCTTTTCTTGTCCACAATTACTGTTTACGTTATCCCTCTTTTTATTCTTCAATAACTTCCCTGGTCGACTATCCTTGTGTGAGTAAATATCTAGTAGAGAAAGTAAAGTGAATACATCCACAATACTGGAGTGGATGAAATCATCAACCTTTAAATACGCCCTCCAATCCTCACCTTAGATACGAAGCAGCGGATCGAGACAGTTGCAGGAATACATGCTGCAAGCGACAGTCACCATATCTGACATTCTATGACAAAATCAGAATCAGCACATTTGGTACTACTTGCATGTCTATGACCGATGGCCATAGTGGTGAGGTCATCGCACCCGGCACCAATCTACATCATAAAAAGGTAGCAAACCTCACGAGTACTAGACTGTAGAACATAGCCCAGTTAATAATCTGCAATCTCAACGCAATCGAACAAAATGGTACACATCAGTCGAGTTCAGAAACGCCCCAAAAGCCACCGTCCCAGAAAAGCCGAAGTGACCGACTATGTCTATGGCACCCACTTCGCAGCGCAAGATCTGCCGCACCATGAAATGACAGAGAGCGAAATGCCAGCGAGCGTTGCGTATCGGTTAATCAAGGATGAATTGAGCCTTGACGGGAATCCATTACTGAAGTAGGTCGTCGGGTCCTCCGTGCGAAGGTTATGTCATGCTGATGGAGTCTAGTCTGGCGAGCTTCGTCACCACCTACATGGTAATCACCTTACGCCCAAAAATAAAGTGCTTTCCTGTTGCTGACAGCATACAGGAAGATGAAGCCCAGAATCTCATGACCGACGCGATGAGCAAAAACTTCATCGACTACGAACAATACCCGCAAACAGCCAACATCCAGAACCGCTGCATCAACATGATCGCGGACCTGCTACACGCCCCCACCGCCGACAGTCCAGACACCCAAGACGCTATCGGCACATCGACCGTCGGATCCTCGGAGGGTATCATGCTAGCCACGCTGGCGATGAAGAAGCGCTGGCAGAACCGCCGCAAGGACGAGGGCAAGGACTGCACGCGCCCGAATATCGTGATGAATAGCGCGGTGCAGGTCTGCTGGGAGAAAGCGGCGCGGTATTTCGACGTTGAGGAGAAATATGTCTACTGCTCCGAGAAGCGGTACGTGATTGACCCCCAAGAAGCAGTCAATCTGGTGGATGAGAATACCATTGGTATTTGTGCGATCTTGGGGACGACGTACACGGGCCAGTATGAGGACGTCAAAGCCATCAACGACCTGTTGATCCGGAAGAAGATCGATTGTCCGATCCACGTAGACGCTGCCAGCGGCGGGTTCGTCGCGCCATTCGTGAATCCCTCCCTAGAATGGGACTTTCGACTGCCAAAGGTCGTGTCTGTCAATGTCTCCGGCCACAAGTATGGTCTGGTAAGTGCCAAGCCCATGTCCTTTAAGCGTCCCTAACATTCCTTAGGTCTACCCAGGCGTTGGCTGGGTCTTCTGGCGCTCATCTGAGTACCTCCCCAAAGAGCTCATCTTCAACGTCAACTACCTCGGCACCGAACAGGCGACCTTCACCCTCAACTTCTCCAAGGGTGCCTCCAACATCATCGGACAGTACTACCAGCTCATCCGGCTCGGCCGGCACGGCTACCGCTCCGTCATGCAGAACCTAACCCGTACCGCAGACCATCTCTCCACAGAGCTCCAGAAACTCGGCTTCATCATCATGAGCGACGGCGCGGGCGACGGCCTCCCGCTCGTCGCGTACCGGCTTCCACCCGATGAAAACCGCCTATGGGATGAATATGCGCTTGCTCATGTCCTCCGCCAGCGCGGGTGGGTGATACCCGCGTACACGATGGCGCCGCATAGCAACCACCTCAAGATGATGCGGATCGTGCTCCGGGAGGACTTTAGTATGGATCGGTGTGATGTGCTGGTTGAGGATATGAAGATGGCGATGAAGAGTCTGGAGGAGATGGATCGGTCGATGATCGAGCAGTATATCCAGTATGTGCTGCTACTGACCTACCGAGTTTTACAAGCTGACGGATACTATAGACACGCTGCTCGCCATCGGGTTCATTCACTAGCTGAAAAACCCGATCATCCGGTTTACCCGGGCGAGAAGCACTCGCTTCAAGGGAGAACGGGAAAGACTCATGCGGTGTGTTGATTACAGCAGTGCGGCGTTTATCGGCGATAATGACTATTGAATTCAATGGCAAAAGTGCATTCGATAGGTGTTGCGCTGCAGATATGTGTCCCCGGTTTGTAATGGCGCATGTACACCGAGCTTGGCGCATAGTCGAGACCCCTTGCGTGATACTCGTCAATCCGAACTACGTCTCTGTCTCCTAGACAAGTTTCATAAGCTCATTCGCTTGCTGCTCCTCGTTTGTCAATGACCCAGGTCTGCCGTACTAGCAGGTCTTGGACACCATGACGAACTGGCGGTAAACAAATCCGCAAGGGTAGTCCAGAACAGTCGGTCGATATGAATGTAAGCGAAGACCCACCTTCATCAGAGAATGTAGTCTAGACGTCTGAATTGCCGTAGACGAGCCAATCACGTTTAAACCGAACCGGCGATTTTGTCTCCACCCGTTGTAGGGCAATTGACATGTTCTCCGAACCACGGCTCGGCATCAGAGACTGGGAAAACACGGCTAGAATGGGGAACTATTTCATGATGACGTTCAGTGCATAGTTGTTCACTTATCATAAATTCTTTCGAGTGAGGTCTCCAAGTCATTATTCAGATGAAGATTCGGCTTGTTCGCAAGATTTCTGCCTCTTTCCACTATTCTTGTCATTGTTGCATGGATCCAAAATGGTAGAAGCAAGGGCGGGTGAAGTATTGCATATGATAGATGGGATACCATTTCGACAGCATCAATGGCCAACTTTATGCAAGTATCTGCCGGATCTGCGACTAGCAAACTCTGATTATTTTGATGGCGATTCTCTTTTGACGAATGGAGCAGAACATGTCAAAGTTATATACCGCCAGCCTGACCGTCTGTTGCTGCTGCTAAAGATCATCTGCAGTAGTTTATGGGGCATCTCGATGGCCATTCGAAGGACCTTAAGTTTCTCAGACTTGAGCTGCGTGGAATGTTTGACCGCCATGTGATATAAGTACAATATCGAACTTGAAATGCCATGTTGGTGTCCAATTGGTGCTGGGCGATCGATTGATCGAGGATCTGTGTAGATCACATCTGAGATTTCTACCGTATCGTGACCAGGACGATCAGCATGTCCGTTTTCTTTTCTTCTTAAACTTCTGATAGTCCTGATCGTAGTACAGTAGGCAGGAGGGCGAAGCATATGTCAACACTATGGAGTTGTGGACGCTATTTGGGCTGTTAGCTGCCACCAGCCATGTACAGGCGAAAGCCGTATTCGCTCATTTCATGGTAACAACAACAACATTCCTCCTATCTTGAATGATCCTAACATTGACCAGGTAGCCAACGCCATCAACTTCACGCAAGAAACATGGACCAACGACATCTCCGCCGCGCAGGCCGCGCACATTGACGCCTTCGCCCTGAACCTCGGCTACGGCTTGCAAAACTACGAGCTCATCCTCGACGACGCCTTCACCGTCGCCCACCAGCACAACTTCAAGATGTTCCTCTCCTTCGACATGGGCCAGGCACCCCAGTGGCCCGCCGACGAGATCGTCCACGTAATCGACAACTACGTCACTGGCAGCGCATACTACAAGCACCACGACGACAAGCCGCTCGTCTCGACCTTCGAGGGCGGCCAGAGCGCCGACGTCTGGAAGGATGTCAGGCACAACGCTCAGTCGGAGTTCTTCTTCGTCCCCGAGTGGTCCTCACTGGGGATTGAGGCGGCATCCAGCAGCCCCGTCATCGACGGCCTGATGAGCTGGGATGCGTGGCCGGCCGGCGCGCACGATATGAACACCACGCTGGACGAGGAGTACATCGCGGCGCTGGACGGCCGGCCCTACATCATGCCCGTCTCGCCGTGGTTCTACACCAACCTGCCCATATTCAACAAGAACTGGGCCTGGCGCGGGGACGATCTCTGGTTCGACCGGTGGCAGCAGGTGCTCCAGCTGGCGCCCGAGTACGTGGAGATCATCACCTGGAACGACTACGGCGAGTCGCACTACGTCGGGCCCATGCACGAGGACGACCTAGGGATTTTCGCTGTGGGCGATGCCCCCTTCAACTATGCCGATGGGATGCCGCACGATGGCTGGCGGGAGTTTCTGCCGTACGTCATTGATTTGTATAAGAGCGGGAAAAATGCAAGTTTTGACAAGGAGGGGGTGGTCTCGTGGTACCGGCTCAATCCGGGCTCTGCGTGTTTGAGTGGGAAGACCACGCCGGGCCAGCTGGCTGCTGAGGGGACGAACACGACCAGCCCGAGAACCATCATGCAGGACAGGATCTTCTACTCGGCGTTGCTGGAGTCGGCGGCCGACGTGACCGTGAGTGTTGGCGGGGCCAACAAGACGGGGAGCTGGGCGGATACCCCCAGTGGGGAGAAAGGGCTGTATCATGGGAGTGTGCCCATCGATGGGAACACAGGGGGAGTTGTGGTGACCGTGTCACGGTCTGGCGAGCTGATTGCCCAGATGAAGGGCCAGGCCATCACTACCGACTGTGGGAAGAATCACGGATACAACAACTGGAATGCGTGGGTGGGGAGTGCAATGGGCGAGAAGAATGTGACATCGAAAACGACTTCAGCTGATGACAAGAAAAATGGCTCGCAAAGATCGAGACCGGCGATGACATTGCTGATGAGCTTGGTCTTGTTGGCGCTAGTGTGAGCATGGCTGGGATACCAGGGATATCGGATGCATGACACTGACCAGTACATAATCTACTGTTATGATAATTCTATAATGTTAGTAATAACCTGGACAATGATAGATGGCCTCAATTGTACCGCAAGCTCTTTCATTTTGGGCAGGTGGTTACCTCAACTTCCATGTGACAAGGAGATTTAAAGCATCCGCCGAACAGACCCATGAAATACACAATCGGACTGTGCGAAGCGACATCTTCCGATGACAGATCTCGAACAACAGATTAAACCTGGTAGTGTATCGGCGATCCGCAACGAACTCCCCAATGCCCACAGCTACGTCGGCGATTGCAGAATTCCGGACAGAAACAGCGAATGATAAGCTGCAGGGATCGCCTAGTCACTGCTGAAGACCTTCCTGGAGTCCACATGCCTGGGTAAGTCCAACCTATGACACCATCTACACGCCACCCGGACAGCACCGATGCTGCATACTATAGATAGAGTTTGCTAACCGACTATGAGCCTTGGGTCCTCTCGGGCCAAGATCGGTTCCACACCTTAATATCCTTGGCCGCTTCGGCCGAAGATCGCGGCCGAGGCGATCAATATCTTCATCGGATAGACTCTACGAGCTGTATAGCTTCAAACTCTGCCGCAGCCCCTGAGACTGAGGTATAAGTAACCCCTGGTCCCTGAGGATCAAGGGCGAATGAGATCTCTCGTCCACGCTTAACAAGGCCTTACACTGTTGCCAACCGGTCGAAATGTCCAGGCCCCTCGAGAGCTTACCAACTGCCACCATCCTACTCCGCCATTCCTCTCGTGCCTTGAACCCTCGCATTCCTCCTATTGCCAGGCAGAGCATCTCCATACTCCCATGTCGCATCGCCATCATCTCGCGCAACAAACTCAGAAAAGAGACATTAACCAAGAACCCCGATCTACGCCGATGCGTCGCACACAACAGTCTCCTCCGGCGCTCCATGGAAGAAGCACACAGCAATATCCGCAAGAGCATGACTTCACTCCGCTTCGAGGATGATGAGGATGACAGTGCGGGCATGATCACTCAAAGCCCCAGCGAGAGCCCATCCTCCATCATCCGGAGCACGATCAACGCCGCTGTGAAAGCTATGGCGCATCGTCATCGGTCAGAAAATCTTGTCCGGATGGCTTCCTCTTCCGGGGAACCTGATGGAACAAAACCTATGAACAATTATCGTCGCTACTACCCTACCAGACTCGTCTCGGGTCGGAGAAAACTGCACCCTCCTGCGGGACATACAATACATGCACGCGTGGCGGCTTGATGACATCACCGCTTGCTGCTATCATTTGATTCTTTGTCACCTCAGTATATCAGCATTTTACGGAACTGTGTTTATACCCGTATAGAGTCATAGCCTACCTGCAGATAATATGCTCCTTAATACAATTTCCTCCATACTCGTCAAATGGCGCTTAGACGAATTGCAAAGACATGCTGTACGACCCTGCATGCATTGGTGATATATCTCTGCTGTACAGAAGCACATGCATAGTTGAATAGATATTATAGACATAGTTGTTCTTCTCCTGCAATTGTAGCCAGCATTTTGAATATGTTAAAAATCCCTGATGGTTTCCGGAGACAGGTCAAAAAAGAAAAGGGCAAAAAATGGTCACTACGAGGGTCGAACTCGCGACCTTGGCGTTATTAGCACCACGCTCTAACCAACTGAGCTAAGCGACCAGTTCTTGAATACCTGCATGCTTTAATTATTTGTCAGTGAATTTGTAGACTAAGGCCTGGCTTATTCTTTGAGGAAGACGACCAAAGCACCATTAGGTGAATTACGTCCATCGTCTACATAAACAATGGATTAAATCATGGAAAGCATTCAATGTAACCATTCGATTGGCGGAGACCACTTTTCCCAAACATACTGACCAGTTAATTAATTACCGATGCCGCCATGGGTATCTCCGCCTAGATATATATTTACGTTGAATTCCATTCCCACCTACATTGAACCAGCTAGACTAGCGCATACATGAAGGATACTATGGTAAATAGTGATAACAAATTAGGCCAGCCAAAGAATGACATTCACCCAGACTATGGTGTAAACCCAAACCCTCAAAGACAATCATGTTATAGCAAACTGGCCTTTACGTAGATCCATCGTACCTAACAATGAATACCAACTGATCATGGCAAGCTTGGACCTTGGTAAAGAACGCAAAGCCTCCACGTGTGACCAACATTGCTGTTCATTCGCATAATAAGCTTATTGGTGGACTTAAGTCTTGCTACGAACCGTGTTGACAAGGATCACAGAAACTAAAGCACAGACTAGTCAGGGACTACATGGGACAAGTGGGATCTATCACAGGTTCAAGGAAGAAGACGAGGAGGAGAGTATCAAGCGTTTATACCCTAACTAGACGGACTGCGCGGGCTTGCATTGCTATTCTATGTACAGTTTCAATCAGACTGGCCATTTCCCCCTGCCTTATCTTTTCTTTCCAACCTGCTATGCACAGAGAACATCCAACCAAGTCTTGCCAAACTAACAAAACAAATAAATCATCCGAACCTCGTACGTCGAACCAAAAACCCAACCCAACACGTAGTCTAAGGGTAGTCACTGACTAACTCCCTACAACCATCAACGCCCCGCCGATCTCAAGATAGCCCCTGCAAATAATCCGCCGCAGCCCCAAGCGCCCTCTGCAACTCGCCTCTACTATCAACCGCAGCAAAGACAAACCGGTCCGGCCGCACAACCACATACCGCTTCCCGCCCAGCACCTTGCCCATGTAGTACGGGTCGTAGAAGCGCGGTGCGGGGCGGTTCGCGCACAGCGGCGAGGCGGCGAATTCGGGGCCAGTTGCGATTTGCCAGTACGTCGCCGATAAAGCACTCTGCATGTCACTCTCAGGAACAGCAGCCGAGTGTGCATTGCCCGCGCTCGCGCCCGCGCGTTCAACGAGGAAGACGACGTCCGCCGCGTGGATCTCCCCGCGTGACAGTTGGTCGATGTCTCCGATGTCCCGGTGCGCGGCGGGGAGGTCGTCCAGGCTCCGCAGGTACACGAGCAGCCGGAAGAGCCGCGGTTGGCTAGCAGCGGTTGTGGTGGTGGTGGAGGAGGAGGAGCCGAAAATGACATCATCCGTAAAGCGGATTCCCCCCCTCTCCTCGCAGTCCTCGATTTCTTCGGAGCGCTGCAGCTTGCCAGTACTGCCGTTACCACTACTAGTACTAGTACTACTAGTAGTTATAGCGGCACCGCCACGAATCCCAGGGATAGCCCTACAATACCCCTGCGGAAGACACACACCACCCCCAAACTCCGGAAGGAAGGGCATCCCCTCCTCATGCGCGTACCGGACCATCCCGCCCTGTCGCCGGCCAAGACGCAGCCCCCTGCGCCATGCGGGGACCAGGCGCTGGATGAAGAGGAGGACGGAGCGGAGGAGGATGGCGAGCGGGTTGCTCTCCGTGACGAAGCGGCCGTTTTGGATTGTGGACGCGAGGGAGCGCTCGAGTTGTTGCTTGCGCTCGAGGTACCAGCCTCGGAGGACCGCGGCGTGTCGGGGAGCATCAGCGCCTGCTGCGGAGTGCGGGCTGTCCTTGTGGTTGTGGTTGTGGTTATGGTTCCGGCATAGGAGTGCGAGTCGCCAGGCGAGGGAGGCGGCGTCGCGGAAGCCGGATGCGATGCCCTGGCCGCCGACTGGAAGAGAGTCAGTTGTCAATTGCCTTGAGTGGGAACAGTGTATGGGATATCGCCGATCCTGATGCAGTGGAACAGGCGAGGGAGAGTTTGGTGACTTACATGGAGGGAAGACGTGTGCAGCATCGCCGCACAGGACAACGCGGCCTTGTGCCCAGCGATTGCAGCTGCGGGCGGAGAAACGGAACGGACGCGATCTGAGGACGCGAATGCAGTCTTCTGGGAATTGAACGTCTTGCGTGAGTCTAGAAAAAGTGTCGATGTCAACGGGCTTAATAAAGAAGGCTGAGGAACAGGAAGGAAAAAAAAAAAAAAGAAGCACTCACCCGTACAGACTCCCTGGATGGGTGATATACGGGAACACGACCTTCATGATCATATCCTTCTCAGCCATGCGCTCCCCATCCTCATCTGCATGCACCACAAACTCAAAGCGCCACAGGCGATCTCGGGGCAGGCCAAACCGCCCACAGACCGCCGGACGATCCGGATTGCACAGGAATCGGAAGTCGGCAGGGAAGAAGGTATCATAGACTTGCTCGGGTGTGTATCCCTTGGACCAGAGCGGGAAGTCCGGGTGGCTCTGCGGCGTTGGGAGAGTGATCTCCCAGTTGAGCGCTACCCAGGTCTCGTCATAGAAGGCGCTGTTTATTTTCGTCACTGGTTAGGATGTGCTGGACTGGGCTTTCTTTGGCTTGTCTCCCACTCACTGGTTTGCAGCCTCCATCTGAACCCCCTGCGGCTCCAGGTACATCTTGCGCGTGTACCCAGTTTTCCCATCTGCGCCGACGAAGAACCGCGACCGGATCGCGTGCGTGTTCCCCTGGCTGTCAAGATAGTGGCAGTACGTCCAGTCCCTGTCCTCTGAAAGATGCGATACCAAGCAGCCAGATCGCAACGCAGAGACCCCGGGGGCATGCATTGCCTCGCGCAGGTGTTTCTCCAGGACGGGCTGCTTGTGGCATATAAACCCAACGTGCCCGGTGCCGCCCTCGGTCTGGTTATCACGCAGGAGAGTGAGTTTGGAGTCCTCAAATGCATAGTACTAGTTCAGGAAGACCAACCGTAGAGTAATCCATCTGCAAAAAGGGCTTCTGCCGCAGCGACCTTTGCGTCCCGCCTATAAACTGGAACTGCCCCATGCCTATCGTCAAGTCAGAAAAGTTGACTGGCTGCGAAAGACCGCAATCGGATACGTACAGGTGCCGATTTCGGTGTAGATCTTGTCATAAAGTCCAACCCCCTGGAGAAGGCGAATCCCATCCTCATCCAGTGCGATCCCGCGCGGGTCGGTCGTGATGGCAGTCTCTTTCTCCAGAACAATATGGGCCACCGACATGCGGCTCAGATATGCGGAGAGCAGCGCGCCTGTCGGGCCACAGCCACAGATGACTACGTCTGTCGTTTCGTAGTCGATCGACTCCGCCATGGCTGGTTAGTCCATAGAGCAATAAAAGGAGCAAAGTGGCAGACGGCCGATCTAAGATGCTGGGGGAAGGAGGGAGGGAGACGGAGAAAGAAAACGAGAATTATAGCCTCGCTCCTTAGTTGGCTTCCCCTGCGTCTGCCACAGACCCGGAGCAACGACAGTGATGCCAGCCCCGAGATTCCGGATCTTCGCAACGTTCTGTGGGGAAGAGTCCTTTCTACATCCGCTTCCCCGCCCCGGCTGCTTCACATGGCGGGACGTGTGGGACAGACCACCAGCGAGCCCGTGGAAGGGGATGGATTAAATGGATTTAATGGATTAAATCAAGTACAGGGATCTCATTCTCACTTCGTTACACAATCGCAATCTCAACACCTTCAGCAGAAAGAGTCGTCACTATCATGGTACAAGCGAAACCCAAGAAATGAAAGGGAAAACTGCAGGTGCTCACACAGTCCAGGCACACGAGCCCCCTACCATCAAAGCAAATCACGGAGCGTCCGTACCAGACGTCGTCGCCCTGGGCCCCGAGCAGGAGAGTCTCGAGGCGTGGAGACAGCGATGCGGGATCAAGACTGACCAGCAAATCCGCCTGGTGAAGCTCGCGCACATGCGATATCAACATCCAGATCTCGATGAGATAGCTGTGTTCCTGCAAGGTATCAAACATCGCCCACTTCTCACACCATAATGCAGGCGTGCAGCTAATTTTCGCACTAGACTTTGGCATGGCGGTCGCCCACCGAACCGACACCAAAACCTGGTTTCGCGGTTACGGACCAGACGCCTATGTCTACTACGCACAGCAGGGGCCCAAGGCCTTTCTCGGAGGGACATACGAAGTCGAATCCTACCAGGAACTCGAGAAGTGAGTATTCTCTTGGGATAAATTGATGGTCGGTGGTGTTTCCTAACTTAGAGGTGATTAGGGCGGCGAAATTGCCAACGGCAGGCCAGATCCAGCAGCTCACAGACGCGCCGGGCGGGGGATATCTTCTCACGTTGACGGATCCGTCCGGTTTCCCAGTCAATCTGATGTACGGAGCATCTCCAGCAGACCCAGGGTCATACCCGGAGAAGATCATCTACAACTACGAGGTCGAGAAGCCACGGGTGCGGAAGTTCCAGCGGTTCAACGTCGGCCCTGCGGCGGTGCACAAGGTTCATTCTTTCCCTTCATCCTGACACTCTCAACTGCAATCCCTCGCGACGCTGACTGAACGCAGCTGGGTCACTACGGCGTCTGCACCGCCGAGTTTCCCGCCATGGTAGACTTTTACACCAAGACCTTCAACCTCGCCCCGAGCGACTTCCTCCACGTCGACCAAGACAATGGAGAGAAGAAGCAAGTGGCGCTCTTTGCGCACATTGACCGGGGCCCGGAGCTCGTCGACCACCACACGTTCTTCATCAGTTCCAACGCGACAACGCACGTCCACCACTGTTCCTTCGAGGTGCACGACTTTGACACACAGAAGCTCGGCCACGAGTGGCTCGCGAAGAAAGGGTATACCTCTGTTTGGGGCGTGGGGCGGCATATTCTCGGCTCGCAGATCTTCGATTACTGGTGGGACACGACGGGGAATATGATTGAGCACTATGCAGATGGTGATCTGGTGAATGACCAGACTCCCATTGGGTATGGGCCTGCGGGCCATGAGTCGTTGGCTGTTTGGGGGCCGGAGGTCCCGGCTTGGTTTTTGCAGTGATGATTTGATGCTTTATCTTTGGTAATGCAATGTTTATCTAGAAGATCGCCTCTTTGTACCTTGTGATCAACTCCCGTACTGTAGACTCTGGAGACTGCCTGTGGTCAAAGTTGAGTAGTATCGTATCTTTCACATACATGCCCGAATGAGTAAGTAAACTGGGGGTTCAATATTAAGATGCACGGATAAACAATAGAGGCCAGCAGCAGAGTAGCCCACATTCGCTGTGGCGAAAGCACGGCGGGACGCAAGACTAGTTAGTAGTAACCCTGAGAAGGGCGTGGGCAGCGGGACGAAACCACCACAGTTCCCCACACCCCGCCCGCCGCAAGAAAGCCCTAGCTACTCCGAGGTACAGAGGCGCCCCGCCTGTTTTAATCCCTGAAGTAGCAGCATCGCCGCTTCAAGTCCAAGCCACTTCTATACCTCTTCTTCTTTCTTCTTCCACTAGACGTCGCTTGCGCCGCCCTCACCATGCCTTCCTGGACGCACTTGATCCGCTTCGTCGCCGAGGAAGACGGCAAAGTCCATCTCGGACAGCTGGTCGATACCACTGCAGACGTCGGTGAAGCCAGTCTCCGTGGCGAGAAGGTCGCGGCGTACCTCATTGACGGCACGATCTTTGACGGGCGCGTGACGGAGCATGTCATGCATGCTAGACAGGTTCGTCTCGTCCATCCTTGCCGCGCAGCCCCAGCCTGAGCGGCTCTGCACATTCTCCCTTTCCCTTCCCTCCCCATCGGGCCAAAGCAGAGGAAGCCACAAAACCACGACTGACCACCCAATCCCAGCTCCTCTCCCCCGTAACCCCATACCAATGCACCTACATCCGATGCCTAGGCCTAAACTACACGGACCACGCACAAGAAGCGAACCTACCCCTCCCGGCGGCGCCCATCCTCTTCACCAAGCCGCGCACAGCCCTGAGCGACCCATACCCGGCCGCCATCAACATCCCTAAATGCGCGCAGGACGGAACGAGCGACTACGAGGCCGAGCTGTGCTTTGTTATCGGGAAGAGCGGGCGCGATATTTCGGAGGAGGATGCGCTGGATTATGTCCTGGGGTATACGGCGTCGAATGATGTCTCTGCGCGCACGTTGCAGCTGCTCACGGCGCAGTGGTCGTTTTCGAAGGGGTTGGATGGGAGTTGTCCCATTGGTGAGACTTCTTTTCCCCTGTTTGGTGTGCTAGCTAGCTATGCTTGCTCCGTTACGCACCCTCCACCCCCAAACCAAAGAAGAAGAAAAGAAGAAAAAGAGGAAGAAAAAGCAATATCACCTGACCTAATTAATTGATCTAGGCCCCGTCCTCGTCTCCAGCACGGTAATCACTGACCCGCAAACCCTCCGCATCCAAGCAATCCACAACGACGCAACCGTGCAAGACGGCCACACAAAGGATATGATCTTCAGCATCCGGAAACAGATCGCGTACCTGTCGCAGGGAACCACGCTCGAGGCAGGGACCATCTTCCTCACGGGAACCCCGGCAGGGATTGGGTACTTTAAGGAACCGCGGGTTGTTCTGCGGGATGGGGATGAGATTAAGGTGAGGGTTGAGCGGGTGGGGACATTAGTGAATCGGGTGAGGTATGAGAGTTTGTAGATGGGGGTGGGGGGGTTTGACCAGGATTTGTTTTGGAGTGAAGTCATAGAAAAGGATGGCGGGTCGATAGATCGTTATTCGTGTGGCTATATTCCATAGATGATAAAACAACCGCTCAACGCCCCTGTGGTAAATGAACCGTAATAGCGTACATTTTCACCAGAGTTTTCTAGAAGAAGAACGGATTATGGGAGTACTGATACAACAATTTACCCCATGCCCCTACCACCCCCACCTCCTCCACCCCCTTCCGGAAACAGCAAGCTCAAGAGGTATGCATAGTTCCGCGAAATCCCCCAGTGCCCGACGCGCTGCAGGACATCGACGAAGCGCCGGAACGTGCCCGTCTCCGGCGTGTTCGGCCGGAAGCTGCGGAGGCCTGTGACCTCGTACAGCACCTGCGGGGGCGCAACGGGCAGGATGCGGAATTCGGGGAATTGCCCGAATTGCTGGTGGAGGGCGGGTATTGTGGACGGTGACGACGATCCTGTCCCCTGCACATTGGCATCTGAATTGGCGTTGGCATGGGCAGCGCCGCTACCCGGCGCTCCGTACTTCGTGTAGCAGAACCAAGCAATCGCCGCGCGGAAGAGGATGCGCGGGGCGTGAATGGGCAATTCGGCGGCGAGGCTTGCGGCCTCGAGCTCGTGCAGGATCATCGAGGCGTGCAGCGCAGATCGGAGGCCGTCCGGGGAACGGGCCCAGGCGCGCGCGTAGTCTGTGTGGCGCTGTGCTTCGTGGTGGCCTTCGCGGCCGATCACGAGCTCGAGGCGGTTGAGGTCGGTGGACAGTGAGATGAAGAGGGAGTGCCAGAGGGCTGGGAGGAGGTAGGGGTCGGCTGGTGGGGGTTTTCGGCGGTGCGGGGTGAGGATGTATGTGTTGTAGAAGGTAATGAGGGAGGTTGTGTGTTGTTGTTGTTGTTGTTGGTGTTGCTGCTGACGATGATGCTGCCTTTGGGAGAAATCCCCTGAGCTCCGACCTTGGATAATGCTGACTGCAATCCGCTGGAGTTCCAAATACGCGTAGAGCCTGTTGTTCGGGTTTCCCGGGGCACTGGGTATATGAGCCGGGGCCTCTAGCGGCGAATACGTGCTGCCGTTGGTGAGGTTGGATAGAGGCCCCGTTAGAGCCGTGGCCCAGGCTTCGGCAGTGGGGGCGGCCCAGAGGGTTTCGTCTGAGATTGGCGGCAGCTTGGAGAGGCCGCGTCCCAGGAAAGGATCTGAGAGTGAGAGCTCTGCGAGCTCGATGTCATGGATGTAGAGGCCAGCGGCGATACTTTACTCGTAAAACATGTGTCAGTGAGGGAGAGAAATGACAGTGAACGTAAAAAGTGAAAATAGGGGAGGAAACTGCCATGGACTAGATCTTACCGATTGCGTTCTTCAGCGTGGATCCATGTTTTCCAGGCCTTCTCGGGCTCACACGCAAGGAGATCCTGGTTGAGGTGCTTGGAAGCAGAGCCAGCCTGGAACATGTTGAACCGTCTCGCCCACTAGCCATGGTGAGTACGACATATGTACAAATCTTGGCTAACTGAACTTACCGCAATTACCGTGCCGTGGAAGGTCTGTGCCGTCAACAAGTCCTTCCTTCTCTAGTGGAATCTGTTAGTCTCACACTCTCTTCCTGCGGAACGGGAACCTGTGTGCTACCCTTGACAACATGCCAAATGTTTGGCCGAGGAGAGCTGCTTGGATCATGGTGAGTGCCTCGTATCCTCCAGCTGAGATACATCGCTCCCACTGTTCGACCATCAGTAAGGGTACTCCCGAGTCGGACGGCGCCATACACTTGAAAGAATGGACTTGTTCAAAGTCTCGAATATTTTTATTCCATGAGAAGCGGCGGTGGGGGAGCTCAAGAATAGACTGCCGATGGAGCATATCGACAGCAGCAGGAGGGAGCGGTTGGAGGACGGACGAAAGCTTGGAGCATGTAGAATGGGAAAGACTGGATGAAATCGAGTAAAGTACATTTGTACACAGAGGTTCTTCATGAAAGTTAATACATTGAAAGTGCAAATCGGCGGATGCTCCTACCAGAAAGTCCGTGGATGGGAGGGGCAATATGGGGAGGTGATGCTGAAGCTTCGTGGCAAGGTGTTCTCGGTACTCCTCATCGACATAACTCTGGTCTCGCGCTGTATCAGGGGTAATCGAGCCAGAGCAAGAGCCCTGAATGAGGATGAACCAATTCTGCTGGATGAGGTCCTCGACGGGGATCGGCGGCAGGTCGTCCTCAGACTGTCGCAGATCGGAGCTCACGGATTCCTCGTGATTGGGCAGGACGCTACTCTGCGGGTAGAAGTACGCTGTCGACATGATGGTCGTGTTGAAGGCGTCTAGATCAAAGTCATTGCCGGCGAACCATTCCGGCGCGTGAGAGGACAGGTCAAGGTCGATGCCCTGGCCGTGGTCAGTCGTGGCGCTGGCAGGGCCGGGACCCTGCGCTGAGCGTATTCCAGTTGGAAACCAGCCAGCCGATCCAGGTCGTGTAAAATCATCCGTCGCCAACGGCCCAACCGTCGCGCTGTTGTCATGAACAGCAAGCGGGGTTAGAAGTGACACTGCATCAGTCGGTGGCTGCTCCCCCCCCGGCAGGACCCCAGTAGATCCCTGCGCAACACAGACGGCCCGGTTAGTAGTAGACGCGTTAGTACTCGCGGCATCGAGCGAAGTCCTTTCCAGCTCGGTGCCCGGAGGGGGGCGGATAGCATCCGGCTGGTGGCGTCTTGCATGTCGTAACAGAGAATCGCTAGGCCGTTAGCTGGAGCAACAGAGGATAACGAGAATCAGTGTAACCAACTTGCGACTGAACGTTTTCTGGCACAAGGAACAGCTGAACGGCTTTTCCCGGGTATGCGTCCGAACATGCCTTGCCAGGTGCTCGTCTTTGGTGAACGATCGAGAGCACCAGGGGCAGAGACGCTGCCGCCTGCGGCTCAAAGGGGTACTAGCCATGGGTCCTGGATCGAAATATGAGGGTAATAGTTGGGAAATCCGGGGAAATGTGCCTCACCCGCGATGACGAGGGGATTTTGCGGGGGTTTTGCGGGGGCAGAGGGCAGACGGTCCAGGAAGAACGTTTCTTCGAGTCGCCCGGATTCCCGGAACCAGTCGGAAACGGTCCCACCCTGATGTCCCACCGTGCAGTTAATGAGCATTACAGTCGGCCCAAGAAGGTGTTGACAAGCAATTTGAACTGGGGCAGGGACATTAGCTCAGAGTAGACTCGCTTAGGTCAACAGCAACTGACCTCAAAGAAAGTCTGTTCAATGCACAGTCACCTGTGTCAGAATGGGAACATACATTGATTGACGTAAATCATCTATAGTAACTCTTCAACTTGTACTACCGTCCAGTACATAAGACATGCATACATTTGACCGTACGAGGACGGTTGGTTCCTCTGATCTGGCTATGGCTACAGAGTATGCTATATGATCCTAGAGCTCACCGAATACTGAGCTGATTGTAGGTTCATACCCTTAAATAGTAGTGCAGACCATCCTCACTCACCATAGAAGTGCACTTTAGCATTCCGCGTCCTCGCCCTCAACCTCTTTCCAAAAAAATACATCGGCAGCCCCAGGACCATCGGCCCAGCCGTCAACGCCAACTGCACCATCGCCGGCGTCAACCAGCCCGTCCTCGCCGCCAGCGGGAAGACCCAATAGCTCATCGCAAACCCACAGCTATTCTTGATCACAGTCGCCACGACCATGATCTCCCCGGCGATCGACCTGTAGCAGTCGACCGCGTAGGCCACCGCAATCGTGGGCACCGCCGTCACGCAGAGGCCCGTAAATCCATACCCGACGACAATCAGAACGGGCCAGTCCCACTCGCGCGTGTAGCCCACGCCGCCGACCACGATGCCGATGACTGAGGTGACGAAGTAGGGGATCAGCGCCGGGAGGCGCATCTCAGCTTCGCGGATGCCGTTGTTCGCGGTCGTCGCGCGCATCGCGATCCAGTCGGAGAAGGGGCCCGCGGTGAGGAGGCCGAGGCTGCCGCCGACGACAAAGGCAAAGTTGGAGTAGCCCACGGCCGAGGGGCTGAAGTTGTTTGGGGGCGCGCTGAGGATGGCAGACTCGGTGAGGTTCCAGTAGAGGAGGACATTTGCGGGGCCGGCAACGTTGAGCCCCGCCCAGAGGATGATGGGGAAGAAGAAGAGTGTGATACACGAGAATGTGTCGCGGACGAGGAACTGCTTCCAGTTGGGATCGGGGCTTTGCCATAGTCTGAACTTGGCCTTTGAGGGGCGGCCCCTGCCCACCATCATGGGGTCGGGGTCAATGTGTTCGAGCTGTATCGACTCCGACTTGGGATCGTTGGAAGATGAGACTTGGGGTGGGGAGGAGCGGGAGTACTTTGTCTCCGGGACGAAGACGGTGAGCATGATGAGATTGACCCCAGTCATGGCGAGGGAGAGCCAGAAGAAGCTACGCCAGCCGAATCTGGAGAGGCAGCCTGGTCAACTCGGGAAGATGCTTTTCAACAGTGGGTCAGCGACGGCAGGGTACCTTTGCGCAATATTGCCGGCGATAATCGGCCCGATGAATAACCCCAGGAAATAGCCCATGAAGTAAACTCCAGTCCAGAGACCGCGATCATGGAGGAAGAACACATCAGACACGACTTGGACCAGGATTGTCTCGCTCGTTGCAGTAGCTATGCCGTTGATTGCACGCGCAGCCAGCATGCTCGAATAAGAGGTGGCGAGCGCCTGCCATATACAGGTTGCTGCACCGAGCAGACAGAGCGAAATGCTCGTCACACGGCGGCCGAAGATATTCGAGCAAGGAACAATGATGAAGTTGGCGAATCCGAGCGCCAAAACGCAAGTGCCGGTCAAGAGGCTGAGTTGGGTGTCATCGAGGCCGAATTCCTCTGCGAAAAAAGGGAACATTGGCCCCATTGATAAGGCAGACTCGACAGACACGAAGAGGTAGAGGAATTGGGACCCGACGATCAAGTCTACGTCGAGTTTTGTTAGCGAGTGCGCGGAAAGGACACCTTTGGAAAGAGGATGGGTTTACATTTCCATGTTCTCGACCATGTCAAAGGATCATTCGGATCGTTGGAAGGGCGTGGAACAAGCCTGTATAATCAGCCTGCCGCATCGACAACACAACCTAGGGTCTTACACCGGTCCCTTTTCGGGGGCGTCGCCCGAAGTGTCTCGCAGTACATCAGTGCCTGGCAAAAGATCGCAGTGGGCAGCTTCGCCGTGTTGGCCCGCAGAGGCGGAGTGGAGGGAGGGCATGGCAGGGATAGCTTTCGGTTGATGGCAGGCGGTACAATAGGATGATTGACAGCACGAACATGAACCTCTGGGCGGGATTCCCCTGTTTTGTAGTATCAGGCCCTGTACGGGGCAGAACTTCCCCGCAATCATCCCCACAACAAGCGGGCCTTGGGACAGAGGGGTCCGGGGGTGGGTCAATCATGGAAACAAGGGCTTATAACAGCCTCCAACATTGTCAAAGGGCCCTGCCAGAGATTATGGGAACTACAATGGGGCTCTAGATAGCACAGCATACCCAACTTAGGAGAACCACGAGTTTTATGCTAGAACTCAAAATCAAAGCAGGAAAAGAAGCTGATAGTGCCACCAGATATATTCCATAAAAAGCTCTTGCACAGTCCAAGAAGCCATAAACCACGTGGGTAGAAGGAATTAACAATCAATACTAAACAATTTAGTGATTTAGCATAGCTCAGATCTTAGAGAGATAACGAGAGCTCTTTTTGTTCTAGTTAGGATGAGTTATGAAGGCCATGATCTCCTCAAAAACCTTCTAGACCTGTTAGTCCACTTTGTAACATGCACGTGAAACGGGCGAAAGTGTGAAGCGATGGATGCTTGTCCATTGGATTGTACCAAAAGAGATTGGACTTTATGTTTCACTATACAACCCAGGCTTATACATTCACCATTCTATTCCACATTTGTACCTCGCGACCTATGTCAACAACTTCAAAATTATTACGGAGAGCCGTGAGATTGCTCAATCCATACTTAATAAGCTCAAAACCAAGTTTGATAGAAAAGACTTAGGCTCCATCAAGCATTATCTCGGCACTAATGTGAGTGTGAAGAACAATGGTATATTTCTTTCTCAACATCGAAACGTTAACAATCTTCTCTCTTCTTTTAGGATGACCAATGCCCATCCAACCAAAACTCCGTTGGATGTCAGCACCGTCATTAATGACAAACTGGATCCCAATATTAATATCAAAGAGTACCAGTGCGGTACTGGGAGTCTTTCATATCTTACAACAAAGACCCAACCAGATATCTGCCGCGCGCGGCATCCCTATTAGCTGAGCACAATGCATCACCCACAAAGAAATGCTAGACAGCTCTCATGCACGTGCTCAAGTACCTCAAAGGCACCAGCAACTTATCCATGCCACTTGCGTATACCAACTCCGACTAGGGTGGACCTCACACTAATCATCGACAATCTTTTAGCAGATATATATTCCTGTTAGCTGGCGCCCCTATCTCCTGGCAATCTAAGAAACAAACATGCATTGCTCTAAGCTCCAACGAAGCGAATATATCACAGCTTCCGCAATCTCACACGAAGCTTGGTGGATTCACCAAGTACTAACAGGTATAGACCTTGTAGACACGTCTGACTCCAGTATCCCATTTCATATAGACAACAAGGGCGCGATTAACCTAATTACTGCAATTATTAGCACTAAACACTCCAAGCATATTAACATTTGCTTTCATTATACACGCGACATGGTGGAACAAGGCGTTATCCTAATCCATCAAATTCCGACTAAGGACATGGTTGCAGATGGTCTCACCAAACCACTTAGACCCAACGCACATACTCGTTTCTTGCAACAACTAAGCATGTCCCAGTAAACCATGTTCGCTTCTATCTTACCTTCGTTTTTATACATGTAACTAGCTATTTGATGACAAGCTCAGTCAAGGGGGGTGTTGGAACGTGACCCCGTCCCCTGTGGCTTAGCTCCCTCGCTTGGTCATCATTAGGATACATTTCTGGTCCCGTCCGGGGTACCATCCAGAGACAAGCATCCATCGCTTCACAGGACCACGCTTAGGCAAAAAGCCAACGCCATCATCTGCTCTGGTTCCAAGCACCCAGAGTGGGTGGCGGGCGTGGGCAGCGGGACCTGTCCTGCCATCAGCGGGACCGGTTCTGTAAGTTTGTGGGTCGTGTCCATGTCCCGCAGAACCCACTCTGATCATCGTCAATCAACAGTAGACCGTTGGTGAGTGGTCACGCTGCCAGAGAATTGGAACTGTTCTAGACTTGCAGACTCCAGAGGCTCGGCATTCTGTTTCCAGTATCGGCACATTCCACATGAGCCCCAACCAAACAAGAATTTCCCCAAATAAGCACTCTTTACGCCTCACGGATGTACCTTGGATTGTTCACTGGGAACTCTACGAGGAATCCAATTTCGACCAGAAGGGATCCTGATATTCGATAATGTCCCACATTGACAGCCAACATTTATACAGCCCTCCTCATGGGCACTCTGTCTCTACCACCGTGAGGCAGCCATGGTCCGAGTATAAAACCCTTCCCATTAGCGTCTTGTCTTCTTCCCAGGCCGTCAAGTCAACACTACCTACATCCTGCGCATCCATAATCCCCACCACCATCCCTCCCCATGCCACACGCCGAACCCAACAGTCCTCCCAACCTAGCTCAACGAATCAAGCAGCAGCACAAAAACGAAGCCATCAAACTCTACATCCTCACCCGCCTCTCCATCCCTCGCACGAGAACCAAGAGAACCAAGAAACCCTCCAGGCATGCATTCTCGCCACCCTCCCCTACATCGCCCGCATCCCAAGCACGCAGCCGCTAAACGACGGGTCGTGGGAGCTGCTCGTCCGCAAAACCGACCTGCCTCTCCTGCGCCATGTGGTGCAGCGGCACCTCCCATTCGCTACGCTCAGTGACGAAGCCTACCATCCCCGCGAGCCGACCGACGCAGATGTCTCGTGCTGGGGTCCCCTTGCGGCGAGGAACCGGGCAGGGTTTTGGTTCTGGATGCGCGCGTCCCGTGTCATTGGTGAGCGGGTCGGAGTTGTTGCGGATTTTTATCAGGATGTGTTGGATAGTAGTGGATGGACTGGATATGATTTTGCATAGGGTGGTGGGTTTTTGTTGGAATGGGAATTGGGTATCTATCATGGTGTCGATATCTTTTGTTTTTTTCTTGCAGCCGGGTGTCTGGGTAGGAGGGCGGGTTAGGGATCTTATGCGGTTTGAGGATGGACTCTTTCAACTAATCTCGCCTGAGCGATACATGGCACACGACTACAAAGCTTCTACTGGACAACTCGTATATGGTACTACAGCTGAGTATCATCGAGCCAATGTAGTGAACAAAAGATTTGCATTCCTACATACTTCCCATCTAGCTACTTCACTAAACATATTCTCCGTGATGAACATGTACGCTCCCAGACGCAGTGCTCATTCACCGTCGAAGCCTCAACAAACTCACAGTATTATGCGGAACCGGGCCCCCCTCAGACCCGATCCAGGATGCGCTGTGCATTCCCAGAGAAGATACTCTGTACATCACGCGGGTCCGGAAAAGCCTCATCAATATGCTCGTGGATCGTCTCCGCAATCGACAGGACACCGGGAGCCGGGGTGTATGGATAGTCGCTACCGTAGACAAAGCTGCGCGCGCTGACATAGCGCAGCAGGCCATAGATCTGATCCGGGAACACAAACCCGGCGAGATCGAAGTAGAAGCTCCGAGCGAACGCCTCCTTGACGCTGTCGGAGCTGATCTGCAGCGGGAGCCCGAGGATCGACGAGGCGAACTGCGAGAAGCGCTCGATGGTCGGCGGCAGCGCGCCGCCGGCGTGCGAGATGATATACGTGACGTTGGGGAACGTGTCGACGGTCCCCGAGAGGAAGAGGTTTGCGACCGCGCGGGCTTCCTCGAAGAGGAACTCGAACATCGGGTTTGGGTACTGAGTTAGGGGCGCGGCGGGCTGAGGATGGTTGTGGCCACCGTGTGCGCCGCGGATACAGGGGCTGGTCGGGTGGACGAAGACGGTAGCTTTGCGGCGATCCAGCTCGCGAAAGAGGGGCTTCAGGGTGTCATCGCCTAGGTAGACGCCCTGGGCGTTTGTGAAGACGGCGACCCCGTCAGCGTCGAGGTGATCGAGGGCATATGCGAGCTCGGCAAGGCTCCCCTCAACGTCCGGGAGCGGCAGGGCCGCCCAGAAGCCGAATTTGTCGGGGTGTCGTCGCTTGAGGTCGGCCGCGAACTCGTTGCACTGCCGGGCCAGGCGACAGGCGTGCTTGTCGTTTCCGGGCGTGAGGTACGTTCCGGGCGAGGTAATGCTGAGGATGGACTTTGTGATGTTTGCTTGCGCCATGAGCTGGAGGTGGACTTCCTCGGACCAGTCCTGGAAGACGACGTCCGTGAGTCAAGTGGAACAAACGGCCAATATCCATTGACTTGTAGAGGTAAAGTGAGGCTGAAACTTACCGGAATTGCAGGCATTCCATCTGGCTTGCTATAACCTGCCATTGCCGACTCGTTTCTCCAAAGTGGAGGCACATAGTGAGAATGGAGGTCAATCTTGCCCATGGTTGTTGGTGTCAAGCTTTCAGAGCAGGCATGCTGAAAGGCCGTCATTGTGGCTAGCACAGAAACAATTCTTGTCCAGGCACCCATTTTTGCGCGCAAGTCCTGAGTGAGCGCGGTTATTGGGGGTTTAAGCCCCCTATATGAGCCTTTTCCACCGGCAGAGGTCGGCCCACAAATCTGTTCCTGACGATGAGATAGATAGTATGTTTCTCAGGATGTGGATTACTAGGGTTGGTTATGAACGGCGGGACTACCTGAGAACCACGACGCCAAACAGGCATTAGTGACCATGCAATCTCCCACCACCATTGATCCTGTGAGCTGTGGAGTCTCCTTTCTCATGCCTTCCTCCGCAGCCCACGGTGTCAAGTTTGCGTAATGTCCTATTATGTCAGCGCCACGATGATTCAGCTTTCTTCCCCGGACACCAAACCTTACTCCACCCCCGGGTGTATCCTGGCAAAACGTGGCCGAATTTTGCGGGGAATTTGCGGGGAATATGCGGGACACCATGCAATATTGGCGCAGGGAACGAGTGTGGAATTGCCTTCCATTTGGTTCTTAGCGTTCCAATATTGGTAGTTATGAGAAGATCAGACAGATCAGACAGATTCAATATAAACTCAGGGTGAAGCCTGCCAGATGGACGCTATTCCAGCAAATAGCGCAGTTTATTCTCTCGCTGACCTTAATCCATTCCTGTATCATGACTCGCTTCATCGTTTTCTCTGCAGTCTTTGCTCTTGCCACAGCCTGCAATGTCCCAGAACACCTGAGACGAGAGCCTCCCGCCAAGACAGTGATCAACAATGTCCATGTCTTTGACGGCAACAAATTCTCCTCCCCGACCTCGCTCGTGATCGTTGGCGGATTAATCAGCAATGCCCCCGCGGCCGGCGCCTATAACGTCGTGGACGGCGCAGGGGGGTATCTCATCCCCGGCCTCATCGACAGCCACTGCCACATCACCGACTGCTCATACCTGACTACCATGCGGCAATACGGCATCACGACAGCCCTCGACATGGGGACGTACCCGTACTCCGCGCTCTCGGCCTGCAAGGCGCAGGGCGTCACCGACATCCGTGGCTCCGGCGCAGCCGCAACCGTCAACGGGACTGCGATCAGCCACGCCCCAGGGTTCCCGACAGACTCTTCGTGAGCGGCCTCGAGGCTGCGCAGAGATTCGTCGCGGATCGGACCGCCGAGGGAGCGGACTATATCAAGGTCTTCCTTGATACTCTCGGCCCCGACGAGAGCACCGTCGCAGCCATCGTCACGGCCGCTCACGAGCACAACAAGCTAGTTATCAGCCACGCAACAGACCACGCCGCGTATGCGGTCGCCGAGGCAGCCGGTGTCGACATCCCCTGCCACGCGCCGCTGGACAAACCACTCGACGCATCCGACACAGCGGCCCTGCACTTCAGCAAGAGCGTCGTCGTCCCAACCCTCATCATGATGCAGTCAGTCACCAACAACACTGGCGCGCCGCTCAGCGTGTACAACAACGCAGCCAAGGCCAGTGTTACCGCAATGCACGAGGCCGGCGTCCCCATACTGGCCGGCAGCGACGCAAACGCCAGCCCGTTTGTCCCCGCGAACCCGCCCTTCGGGGACTCTCTCCACGACGAGCTCGAGCTGCTTGTTGCGGCTGGCTTGTCGCCTGTCGAGGCGCTCCGGGGGGCTACCTCGACTGCGGCTTCCACTTTCCGGCTGCATGACCGTGGGGCGATCAGGACGGGTTTGCGGGCGGACTTGGTTCTTTTGCGGGCGGATCCGACGGTGGATATTAGAAATACTCGCGCGATTGACAAGGTGTGGGTTGAGGGCGTGCAGGCTGAGCTCTGAGTACTATATTACGGGTTTGCGTGTGAAATACCAGCACACTGCATCACACTATTGATAGGCAAAAGTGAGGTCTCACAACCGCTATATACATGATCATGTACCAGGTTCAGCCCTAGTTCAAGTCTCTTGGCAAATCTGGATTCTGTCGGGACCTCTATCCTTTGTTCTATGGCTAGCACCCACGTAATCCTTGCTTTATATAGCTTCATCACTCATAGCTAGATTCTTCATTCTTCATAGCTTCATGCATCTAGCATCCATGCATTGGCCACCCATCCATCCAGCCATCCACACACCTTCTGTCAGACATCAATATTCCCCTTCGATATTCCATCTAGCTAGCGCTACCCTCGGTCACACTGGCCTGTACTGTCCAAGCTTGTATGTTAGACGAACGATCCCCTGTAGATACAACCGGTATAATCGCGAAGCCTCGCTTCAGACTTGGGAGCATGCAACGACCGCTCACCAAGGTCCAGTTGGAGGCTCGAGGCGACGTATGGTGGATATGCCAATCCTTCAATCTCGGCGGTCTCTGATAGTCTGTCTGCCTGTAGTCAAGTGACGTGGCAAAGTCCGGGCGTTGGGGTTTATCTGAAAGGTATGTATGTATGTATGTTATTTTCAGTTGCCACATTAGGCCTTCTAAATATCTCCTTATTTATTGTTTTGCAAGATAAGTTTCGTCCTGGTTTCGTAGTATAGAACTTCAGTAACTTGCTCCTGTGGCCCAGTAACTTTTCCCCGGTCCCCACAATGCAGCTTTGCCCATGGCTATTTGATGCAGTTCCTCACTTATTAATTGACGGACTCTTATCCTCATGCCGATAGTCTGAAATTTCTGGCCGGCACCTGGAGGGTTTCCCTAGGTAATTCTAGATTGGTATATATGCAAATAAGCATTAAAGTCGAGAAGGCAGCAAACAGTCTGGCCTAGACGATACAATGATCCGAACAGGATCAAGGGCAATCCGAAGATACACAAGAATAATAACAGCAAAGATAGAAGAAAGGCCTATCAAGTACGTATACTTGACAGTAAGAGAGTAGTTGACGAATCGGACTAGTGAATTTGTACTCAAGTGAAGTATTGATATTGAACGCGAGGAACTAAACTAAGAGTGCTAGATACAGTGGTTACGAGTGTAACTATATAGTTCCTCTCATCATAGCACCGCTATGATGCAATGCACTTCCACAGGTCCTCTGTTTACAAGAACTAAGCTACGTAGGGACAGGAACCGACGTTTAGCAGGCTTGATCGATTGGTGGCTGATTTAGCTAGCAAATGTGGGATAGAGTTTCCGTGCTACTTTTGACTCTTCGATGATAGTGGGCGATGGACTAGACTTTACGTGCAATGCATGAGTTATCCATACATAATAATCGAGCACACCAGTGTTGGATAACGGAAAGCGTCTCAGTAGAAGTAAAGATTATTCAAAAACCAGAGCTAATCATCATCTACTACTACTACTCTGCGCGCACCTTAACCATTGGGCCCTGCCAGCGTTTCCGTCCTCGCACAAGCCAGTCACCAATCGCAAAGACCAGCACGGCCAAAAACACCGGCGCCGCGTAATTCATATTCTGTGCCGTGACAGGGTAATTCGGCGGAAACGGCAGGAAGATGATAATATACACCCCATACACAATGGCAAACACATTGACGGGGACTCCCCAATGACCCAGCCGGAACGAGCCCCACCGGATATCCTGCGGGGCGCGCAGACGCTTGATCAGCAGGAAGATCACCGGAATCAGGTACGAGATGTACTGTCCCAAAGTGGTGAGGGACAAGAGCGCGTTAAAGGCGGTGGTGGAGCCGATGTTGATCAGCGCCAGGAGCACGGTGATCATGGCGACGAGGAAAAGCGCGCGCAGCGGGATCTTGTAGCGCGGGGAGATGTGCGCAAAGAAGCTGGAAAAAGGGAGGCCCTCATCGCGGGCAAAGGCCCAAGTGAGCCGCGTCACAGAGGCGAGGCCGTTGAAGAGCGCGATGAAACCGGGAAGGACGAGCGTCATCATCAGGACCGAGGCGGCGGCGTTTGATTTGGTCGCTGCATAGAAGATCTCGAGGATCGGGTAGCCGGTGGGAGTCTCGAGGGCGTCGCTCAGGGTGCCCATGGTGTACATGAGTCCGATGGTGAATCCGAGGGCGACGCAGCCGTTGATCAGCACGCTGTAGACCATTGATCGGGGCACTGCTCGATGCGCGTCCCGGACTTCCTCGGCCATGTGCACGACTCCGTCGAATCCTGTTCAAATGTTAGTGCACAATGCAGATATTGGTGGTGTTGGGACACGGTTATTTACCTCCCAGAGTGTAGACCGCCGTCAACAGTCCCACAGACCAGATGACCCCGTCGTTCTTCCAGCCGCTCATGGAGTTCTCGAAATGTGTCCAGACGAATTCCGACGAGTTGCGGGATCCCAAGACGATCAGAGTAATCAAGACGGCTGGGAAGAATAGAATATGGATGATACCGCCCACTACCTCGACGGGCGACAGAAGGCGACGGGCATAAATATTCACAGCCAGAGGAATGAGAAGGACCGCCCAGATAATGAGAGTCGCGTGCCAGGATTTAGGAACATATTCCGGGTGATTTTGAATCACGAGCGCCTGGATCTGGGTGCCGATCAGGTAGGGAGAGGTTGCCACGTTTGCCCACCAGGAGAACATCTACCTCGTCAGTATCATTTTAGCCTCTGTGGATATTTTCATACCGTAATCCATCCTATACCTGGTCAGCCAAGGCTCATGTACTCTGGTATGAGACGCACCTTGAATAAAGCTGAGGAATCGGGGCGCAAACGGCGCGAGATCATATGTCCAGTGATACTGGGCTCCGGCCACAGGAGTACTACTATGTCAGCAGACATTCATCTACTACCTGACAGATTACTCACATTGATGCGAGTTCGGCGAGAGAAAGGGCAATGCCCAGAGAACCCACAATCGCCAGCATGAGCCCATAGATGAGGACAACGGGCCCTCCGTTCTCTAAACCAGCAAACATACTCGCGCCGATAGCCTCCCAGGACGCTTGGAGTGTTGCTGCGAACGCCAGCATAGGCAGGAAACCGAGGTATCTCTGCTTGTGGTTAGGTCGCTGGCCATTTTTCTTCCTTGTGTGCATACCTCCAGGCGTGGCTTTGACTGGTATCCATTTTCCTGGGATTGTTTTGATTCAACGATATTGTCGTGGGGCGACTTGAAGCCATTCCCGGTTCCATGGCCATAGGCCAGTTCAATCCCGTTGTTATCCATCGTTGATGGAGAGTGTCAGCAGACAGTCGTTCCACAATCAACGAGGGAGAGTTTGATGAGAGAAGGAAAAGCCTCTCAAATGGTGGCAAGGGGCGGTAAAAGGAGAAAATGCCAGCCAGGAGGCAAAGGAGGGGGGAACGTAGCTATCAGTTAGTGCGACAAACCCTGGCCGCTTATCCTGGCTTAGCATGACGCCGTTGCGCGCATCCTGGTCACTATACACGGACTAATATCAACCCCGGGCACTTTGAAATTGCGAATCGGCCAGTTTTTTTCCGATTGCAGATCTCTTCCGTTTGGCGGGAAAGGACCTTTTGATGCTGGAATTTGAAATAGGATGCCTGGTGCAGCAAGCACGCAGGGGTGCAAGTGTGGTCCGACTGCTCAAGGTCCTCCCTCTTTCGCTCAAAACATGGCCAAAATGCTTTTATATTGATGGCAACGCTTTGTTTCTTTTACCTCATCGGAGTGTATAATTCTTTGACTGTTCTATCACTGCTATTTCCCATCTTGCGGCTGTCATGGCGGAGCCCTCTCTCTTGCCGCCACTGGGACAGATTACGCCAAATAACCATGGCGCAATCGTATCACTTTTCACCTTTATATTCCTTTCCTCTACGGGAATTGTGGTACTCGCTAAGATTGCGTCGATGGTTTATTTGAAGCGCTCAGTGCCTTCAGTGGATATTCCAATTTGGATCTGCATGGTACGAAGGAAATGCCTTTAGAGCGAGCTTACGATCACTCTGACAAGCGCAGGTTGTTGCACTCGTTCAAAGTATTTTGATTCAGGTCGCCGTTAATCATGGCATGGGCAGACACCGCAGTGAGGTTTCTAGTGACTCATTTGATGCATATAACAAGGTACACCAAGTGCATCCCCGTGGTGTCAGAGGGCTCGCATGCTAACTTTCACAACATGTTGTCAGATCAATTACGCGGCCGAGTTCCTCCTGCTATTCGTGCTCGCACTGTCGAAAGTGTCAACCGGCAATCTCATCCGCTCGATCAGCCCAAGCAATTCGATTCGTCGGTGGTGTCTTATGGCCCATATCGGAGTAGGTGTCTGGATGCTGCTCGCTCTCTTTGGCACCGCTTTTCAATGCCCTGACCCCTACTGGGAATATTCGCCTAGCCGCTGCATAGGAAAGGTAGGCCCCGACCAAAAGCATCATTGCGCGTTGCTCAGACTTTTAGGGTGCGATCGTATACCCGATCATGGTTCTTAATATGGTACTCGACGCAGCTCTTGTCATCCTGCCCATTGTAATGCTCTGGAATGTGCAAATGCCTCGAATCCAACGCCTCAAGGTTTCATCGGCATTTGCATCTCGTTCATTGTGGGTTCATGCTCGGTCAAGTCGGAATAACTACCACTGACGAGCCCAGGGTAATTGTCGCGAATATTGTCCAAGTGACATACTTGACGCAATACCTCAATTCAACTGATTCAACTTGTATGGCGGTCCTCACCAGTGCTTGAATCTACGCGTACTAATGCCCATACAGGGACAATCGTAAGTGTGACCGCTTGCAACGAGTGAGTTCCCTTTCTCTGTACGGTAAAGATCGTATGGATCTAATGACTGGCATCTAGGGCAATGATGAACCTTAGTATTATCGCCGCCTGCATCCCCAGTTTATACCGTGTGATCACCAGTCTGGCCCTAGGGATGAACACAGTCCACATGTTTGAGGGGACGGAACTGAGCTCCGCAGCAAGCTCGAGGAAACCCAACTCGCATTCAACGCCCAAAACCTTCAGATCATCCCGGTCGAGTCGCCGCCGAGAGAGTACCCTGATATCGAACATAAGCATAGTCACGCGCAACTCAGACAGAGAAGAGAGCACTGAAAGCACTAGGAGGATGGTGAGCCAGCCTTGAGGTCTAGGGAAGTGACAACAGAAGGATGTTAAATTCTCTCTGGCTACCTAATGACCGTTCCTGGTGTGTGATCGCTAGCTATAAAATTATGAGGCTGGTATAGAAGACGGCCCATTTTACGAATGAAGCTGCTTATGCTGAATCTATTCATGATCTAGTAATTCAAATTATCCTTTCACATAACTATTAGGTAGCACAAGTTCAGTCGCGTCGCTCATCTTCTAGGCGCTAGATTGTATTCACCATGATGGTTTACCACCAACTGAGTCCTAGTCCTGTAACAAGTTCGAGACCCTAGCGCCCGCCTACCCCACTGCTCTGCCCCCCGGGGAGTAAGCGTAGTGGATATTGTATCTAAAGTGTATTTGAGAACTGATAGCTGCTATTTGAATGTAGCACTGATGGGGAGGGCACATCCATGGATGCATTCGAAAGAGTTTTCTCTCGTCTCAATCTGTTTATACCAAATAGACAATTTCTGTTCATGTACACCTCTAAGAAAAGTCTCATCTACACTAGCAACTGCTTCTACATGCTCTAGTGGTACGGGAACTAGAAGAATTAATTGCCAGTGAGTGTTTGCGTATTTGGTGGAATGGTCCTAAGTTCTGGCTTGGTACGGTTGAGAACAATACTGTGCCACTGGAATAAACTGCAGGCGACAATTTGGAATAATAGCTAATGGTAGGTTCGAGCTTGTAGTAAGGGTATGTTGTATCCATGTAGCATTTACACCCAGGCTTGTGTAGGGTCAGCCGCTATAGTAGTTGCAAGGACTCGTTCAAAAGACGGATTCTGATTTGAGCAGAAAACAACAGCATCTCCGCGGATGCCATCCCGCTTCCCGCGCACCTGGTCGTTACTAGTTCGCGGCTATCTCAGCATCGGCAAGGGTCTTAACATCCAGAATGCTGCCCCTACTGAGGCTTGCCGTGACATGGGGGCTAAGGAAAAGCCGAGCTAGGTTTTACTTTGTTTTTATCAAGTGGAAACAGGGGTGGTAATCTGTCAACTGGTAGCATAATACGGAGCTGGTCGTGTCCAAGGCCCTGGTAAACCTTGCCGCACAAATATCTGGTCTCAAGAGGCGTCTCTCGCTCGTATAGTGCCTAGTTTGCCAACTACTACTCTCACCATACCTTCAAGTCGGAGTTTACAATACGCGTGGAAGCCTCGCTATAATAGAGATAAGATGGATATTGGACGCTGGGCTACATTCAAGGCAGTAACGATGACCGCTAATGTCATTGGGAGCGGTTTAGAACAGCCGGTGATACTAACCACAGAATGGTCTAGACATATTGTCATGTACTCAAGGCTTTCTTTTCCTGCTGACGTTGTCTGACTTGGTTTGTGAGCATGTAATTACTGATATTGTAACAGTCACAGCACTAGGTAGCATATAATCCAGCAATTATTGGGTGAGCAATGGATGGAGCTCAATCACCAACGCGCCATGGAAGAGGTACCCTGTCTATTGGCCACCTCGGCTAATGGACGTCTGGCGCAGCTTGTGTATGAACTCATTTCCTACTACCTCATCATGGACTTGAGACTCGGCGCTAGCTGAAATACTTTACTGTATTAGGTCATTGGTGGTTGCAATAATAATAATCTTTTATATCTTAGGCTTAATATTATTATTTAGATGGTTTACCTCAACAATATTGATAAACCCTTTAATAACGTATCTATCCTGTTAAAGGCTTTAAGAAAAGGATCTATAGTATTATGGCTGGATATTCCTGGATTTATTGTAACTTGATGAAGCATTTATAATAATCTATTGGCAAAGCAGAAAATAAAGTGAATGAGTGTCCTACTAGAATAGAGCTTTTCGTAGGGACAGCAAATTAGGAGGATAAGAGGGAACGAGGAGAGTCCTGATGTGCTTGGCGGAATGTGATATCACATAAGAGTTGTAATTGATAAAGAGATAGTGGCCAGTCCACACATTAATAATTACTGTATAGAAATAAAGCGTGTGTGGCTGCCTGCCTGTGGAAGAACACGATAGATGAAACTCTTTGCCTATAGGCTATATCAGCATACTCTCAGAGACTTAGGTAAAGCCTTTCAAGTTTATGTGGAGCTTTGATGCGGGTTACGAGGTGAACTGATGACAAATATCCATGATAATAGAAGTACACAGAACCCCTCTTCCATCCGTATTAATTTATAATCACATCTTTCATGGGCCATCTAAGAAAGTACCATATTCCTCCTTGTTTGACGCTCTGAGTATCACTACTTGAAAACCTCGCGGCAGAGCGCTAGGAAAAGCGAAGCTATGGCCTCTTTGGACGAAGTCTTCACAAATGCGACAGAGAACGGCTCCATCTTGGGTGCCGTTCTTCTAGGCAAAGATACTTCTGGTACGTCTACCCAGCGCGGATCTGATCTTCACTAACCGTTGCAGGTAAATTCAACTACTCGAAAGCGTTTGGTCGCCGCACATTTGAAGATGGAGAGGAATCTTTAATGGGAGCGGATACCGTGCTTTCTTTTGTTTCTGCCACAAAAATAATTACCTGCATCGCGGCGATGCAGTTAGTGGAGGCAGGGAAGCTCAACCTGGACGACGATATGTCGCCCATCATCCCTGAGCTTGCAAAGCAGGAGGTGCTTGTAGGGTTTGACGAGGGGACCGGCGAACCACAGCTCCGGAAACGGACGAACCCGCTCAAGCTGCGATATCTGCTCACCCATAGCGCTGGTCTAGTCTACGACTTTTTGAACCCGTCGCTTCAGAGATGGGCGGCCTGGAACAACCGCGCCCCACAAACTAGTTCGACTGTGGTGGAACGCTTCGCGTACCCATTGACGTATGAGCCAGGAACTGGCTGGGAGTACAGCCCTGGTATTGATTGGGCAGGAAAGGTTGTGGAGCGAGTCACGGGAGAGAGACTAGAGTCCTACTTTCAGAAGCACATCTTCGCCCCTCTCGATATCACCAGCCTCACCTTTTGGCCGCACAAGCATCCGTCGATTCAACGCAAATTAGCGGCCATGACTACAAGAGCTTCGTCCGGCGGCGTAGAAGCTTACAAAGGCCCGTACATTACCGACGGAGCAGAGGACTGCTTTGGTGGACAGGGCGCTTATGGCAATCTGGAGGATTATATGAAGATTTTAACATCGTTGCTCGTCAACGATGGGAAGCTGCTGCGGACGGAGACTGCCGACCAGTTTTTCAAGCCACAGCTGACGGTGGAGAGCAAGGCCGCGCAGAAGGCCCTGATCCATGAGCCAGAGAAGGTAAAGATATTTGTCGGTGATTTCCCCCCGGATGCGGAATATGACTGGGGCTTGGGCGGCATCTTGGTTCTAAGCGACGGACATACGAGAAGGTCCAAGGGCACTATGATTTGGAGCGGCATGCCGAACCTCTTTTGGGTAACTTTTCTGATAGATCGAGGCCAGAAAGTACTGACTGCTGACAATTTTCCAGTTCATTGATCGGGCCAGAGGACTGTGTGGCGTAATTGGCTTGCAGTTGCTACCCCCTGCTGATCCGACAACGCAGAAACTTGTGAAATTGTTCGAGGAGGGACTGTACGAGCTTCTTAGAAACGAGGTTGTTTAGACCAGTAACAGCTTTGAAGTGAGATGGTGTGCTACCTGTAGGGCTCTCAGCACTTATAAGAGGACAGGGTACCATGCTCAACTTCCTATAAGATTCTGTTTTCTAATGTTTGGTTCGGAAATTATCCGGCATTTATAACTCATATGCATCTTTTGAGCAGTGCGCCAGCTGAACGTTAGTGCTTTGGCCTAGACCGACTAAAATCTGACATCTGCGTATCTGAAACAACCCTCCACCGCTACGGGGATTATCGGCTGCCTCAAGCGACTAAAGGTGGGGAGTGGGCTGAGGGGCAGGGATCAGATAAAAAGAAAAGCACAAAGGTCAAAACTGTAGAGAAGAGGGCATCTTTTTCGTCCTACAACACTTTCTCTCTCACATACTCTTCAGAATCACATCCTCAAATCCCAGTCATAATGCAATCCGTTGCTACAAACCCAGAGATGATTCATGTTGTCTGCAAGGCCGACAACAGCCAACACGCTGCGGTGAGTATTCCTTCGTTGGTAGGTCAGAAGCTGCCTTCCTCATCGCTCCGTGCGCGACCTGTCCTTCTAGGATTGACGTCCAACAACCTCAGTTACGCCCGTGGAGGAGATTTACTGCACTGGTATGCCGGCCTGGCTGCATATCTTTATACTTACTGACAGCCACAGGTGGAAAACGTATCCGGTTCCACTTACCACGCCGTCTCCATACAACGATCAGTCTCTTTGGGGCATCGTCCCAGCTTGGGGATATGCCACCGTCACAGAGAGTAACATTCCTGGAATCACGCCAGATTCCCTCATCTGGGGATACTGGCCTACCTCGACGTCGCCCACACTTCTGCGCTTGGAACCTAGCGAGCCTGAAGGCCACTGGGTGGAGGTCAGCAGCCACCGACAACAACTGATGCCCATATACAATCGCTACGAACAGGTACTCCGCGATGAAGGAAGAGAGCTGGACGAGAGAGCGTGGAGTGCCCTCTTCCGAGGGGTCTGGGTCGCCGGATACCTACTGAGTGAGTATGTGTTTCCTCCTGGCCTGCGAGCACGAGAACCAGTTCATCCGCTTGGAGCGGCTTGCAAATACCCCTGGTCTGCAGATGATGCGGACCTCTCATCTGCTGTTGTGGTGGTATTGGGTGCGTCGACTAAGGTTGCGCGCTCGTTTTCATGGTATCTCTTTGATCGGCCTAGGGCAAGTGGACCTCTGGGTTTGGTACAGGTTTCTTCTTCGCCTGGTGTTTTACAAGAGGTGGCAGATAGAAAGAGCTGGGGGGATGTGGCCAAGGCATTCGCATATACGGAAATCAACCAAGCAACCGGGTGGATTGAGGGTCTGCAGCCGACAAAAGTGGTGATTATAGATTGTGGGGCGCGAGAGAATGCCCTCAGTCAGATATGCCAGAATCTTCAAGAGTCGGCGCTCCGGCCATGCAAAGCTGTCATTCTCCAGGTTGGTAGTCAACAGAAGGTTGGTTTCTCTAATTCTGCGTCTGAGGATTCCCATTGACTCTATTCAGGTGTACACGACAGAGGAAGTCCATGCAGCTCGTGCAGCTATGCAATCCCTGGGAAAGATCCAGTACAACACCTCTGGCCTACAGGACACAATCATCGAGCGGGAGGGGGCCGCAACATATTTTGGAAAGGTCACGCGCAGGTGGAAGGGATGGCTAGCAGACCGTGCGTCTGCTATCCCGGACATGAATTTGGTCTGGGGGCAGGGCATCGATGGAGAGAACGGAATCTACGGGGGCTGGGAACGGCTTTCAAAGGGGCAAGTGCGCCCTGAAGAGGGATTGGTTTATGCCTTGTAGAGATATCCCGTTGAGAGATGTCCAAGGAGTCAATAGTATTCTTCTATCAGGGCTGTATGTAGGATTGCTCATTGCATAAAGATAACCACCACAGAAGGAAATACCATCACGGCACCAGAAAAAAGCCGAAAACTAGGAAACAGCTGCTACTTCTGGGCAGTAAGTGTTTCCCTATGGTGGGTAACAGCATCTTTCATAATTCATGTTTCTCATAAAGGTGAGCAAAGAATCTAGTCTGTTCATAATGGTATCCAAGCCGATAAAGAATATTAAATTCTTTGGTTTGGCATCTGAGTACGTGATCTTCCGTCATAACAGTGGTCATGCTCAAGGCCTAATGACCAATTTTTGGGAAGAAGTCTGTATTGTTGATTCATGATTCATGAATTTGGGAGTTGCGAGTTCATATCCAAAGTTACGTGTTCCAGCACCTCTCCAACGATGGCTGACCAATCAAAGCAGGAACAAAGTGTAACTAGAATAAGCTGGCCAATTAGAGATACGACGTTTCTTCCTCTCTTTGAGATTCAGCACTTGACCACCTTCACCTCACCACAGTAGGAATTTCCCTTTCAAGTTAGGTCTATGCTGCGATGCGACACACCGACAACTAGTAGAGTAGCTATAGACCAATGCACCAGCTTCGCTCGTCTACTTCACTTCTTTCTCACATCGTTTGCCCTAGGTAGACATATCTAAATGTATGGCTGAGAGGTCAATAGATAGTAAAAGGTTCTCATTTTCAATGCACCGTAGGATTCACTACGTCAAATACATATAGTAATAGGAAGAAAAGAGAAAAGTCTAATGGCCGCTCCTCCTCCAAAAGAAATACCGCGATATACCACGAGGAATACTCTGCCGTCGTGACGGCCAAGCCCCTTCCAGTAACCTGCTCATGGCGTGTGTTCTGCCGGGGACTGTAGAGAAATCTTCCCAATTAGCCTTATTCTCAATAAGCAAATTGGCGGCTCTGATAAAGCCCTCGCTCACGGCACATCGCAGCGGCGTTGTTCGGAATCCATTGCGTCGGTTGACGTCTGCGCCGGCGTCAACTAAGGCCATGAACTTGTCTTCCCACGAATCGTTATCAACGAAGTGCTTGATTAGCATCATCAGGGGTGTCTCCTGCTCGGGCCCTTTCGTCGGAATGTCGACGCTGACGGACTGAAATCGTTGATCGATTAACAGTCGAAGAAGACTCACATCGACGTTATTCAGGGTCGCATAATGAAGACACGTGAGCCCCTCATCCGAGTAAACCGTACAATCTGCGTCCATCGCCAATAGCAATCGAGCCATCTCAATGTGACCGTTGCGTACTGCTATCATCAGGGGTGTTTTACCCTTTACATCCCTTGCATCGACACTGGCGTTGGCCTCGAGCAGACGCCGAACAAGTGTCTCGTTTCGCAGAGTGACGGCAATTCCTAGGGGTGTGTTTCCGTCTTTATCGGGCTTGTCAATATCTATGTTCGGACCCAAAACACTCTCAACGCCACCTAGGTCGTTCCTCTTTATCGCATCAACCAAATCCTCCGTCATGATGGCAAGGCCCACAACGGGACTGAATATAGGCGGGGACAGCTGATCGGACACGGACGAGCTTCGCGATTGAAAGGGATCTGGTCCTTCGGAACGATGTTCCGAAATCGACTCGAGCGAGGACGAGGGTCGGGGGTCTCTGTGAAGAGCAACTTTGAGGCTCCCTAGGGCATCTTTGACTTTATTTGCATCCGGCCGATCGGTCTTGTTAATCTTCAGAGTAGACAAAAGTAATTCAGCACAGTTGCGAAGGAACTCGTCACTGTAAGCTCGACGGTGATATGGTAGGTTCCTGATCCAGTTCTCGATATGCGGATTGAGGACATGGCCGTCCAGCGGGGATCCTCGAGCGAAGTAATCATCGCAATAAGGCCCAACCCCGTCATCGTTCATCCGGCGGAGTTCATCCAACCTCTGAAGTCCCTGGATCCCGTCCAGCTTAAATGCGAAAACCCGCACCAATATGCACCCAAATGACCAGACATCGCTTCGCCGACTTATTCGGCCGTCGCCAACCTCCGGTGCCCGATAGGCGCCTTCCATTCGCTGTAGCCGGGTCATCGTCTCCGTGTCAGGATCCCTACGAAGGCCATCAGTGCTACCTCCACAGTCTAGGCGCTCGATGATTGAGAGACCGAAGTCGGTGATCATCCATTTCCCAACGCCATGCTGTCTTTGGGGCTCAGGATACCCATAAACTAGGATGTTGGCGGGCTTCAGATCCATGTGGTATCCCCGAACGAAGACGCCTAGTCGGTTATGCAGGTGATCTAGCGCATCTGCCAGATGTGTCGCTTCGTCTATCATCTCGTTCATGTCGCACTGCTCTGGGGATATTAGTCCACCCTCAAGGAACTTCTTGAGGTCCATTCTCGCGAGGGGGAAAAGAATGTTGAACTGGTGTCCGATGGTAACCGTCGCAATAGGGAGAACGATGCGCTTATGCTGGGCTACGCTATCCCGAATTCTTTCAAGGTTTAATCTCTCTCGATCGAAATCCAGCTTGGAATCGAAGCGTTTGCGAGCAACCTCGACGTCGGTCTACAGGGGCCATGAGGTCAGCCCCACGATCACAACACACGCAGACACAAGGTTCATACCTCGAAACCACCGTTATTCCCATAGCGGTAATTCCCAGAGCGGTAATAATGTCTCGCAGCGATCACTTCCCTGGTGATCAGTCCAAACCCTCCCCGTCCGCGAGGTTGGGATTCTGCTGGAAGAAATGGTAATCTCCAGCCATCTTCGAAACTCAAATTGCTCCCTTCTTCAATATCTATCGGACAGAAAATATAGCGAGCATCGAAGAACAGGGATCCGAACACTGGGCCTAGAAAACTCTCGCTTCTCAGGCTCTGTAGATTATAGTGTCGAAGGCTGTGGTCGGTCCGATCCAGCGTTCCATCAGACCCCTGGTGTGAGAAAAAGATCTCATCAAACCGCGACCAGTCATCCCAGTTCACAGAGATCAGAATCGATATTGTCTGTAAGAAGTTTCGCCGGATATCTCGAATAAACCATTGCCGGGAGCAAAGGTCATGGTGGAAGAATTTTTGAAGCCTCTCCGCAGTCCAAATCTTAGCTAGGCTGTCGCGTGGTGCAAAACGCCCTGGTCCAAAGTTGGGGTTTTGGATGGCATTGGTCACTTGTACTAAAAGCTCTCTTTGTAGTTCAGAAGGTGGATAACGTCGAAATGGCCATTCCATTCTTTCCCACACGGTCGGGAAGTCGCTAAAGCCCCGCTGACAACAGGCTAAAGGCGCTTATTCTAGCAGTGTTATGTCAACACTACTGCCTGTTATGTGACTGGACAGAGAGAATGAACCAAGGTGGGGCATACTAGTAACTGGCTTATTAGTCCATGAGGTTCGAGGGGGATGAGTGGTGATCGCACTCTCAGATGTCTTGATGATGTGTAAAACGAGCTGAAGCAAATCCAGGGGAAACGTAGGCAGACATCCTTCCATGATCTTTCGTAACCTCAGCATGTGCTGTAGAGCCAATGTCATTGGGGGGTCATGTGGGCACCAGCCACAATGTCCTCAAGTGGCCATTGCCCTGTTGGGAACTCAGGGTGGGTGGACTGCACTAATGGCCATTAAACAACTGAACAATCCTTCCCTTTCCCCCGGGGGGGTCCCGGGGTTCGCGAATCGCGCCACTGATGATGTTATTTTCTTATTCATTAGCCCGGATTGACTAATCTTACGGCCTCCTCTCTTCAATTCCGTAGAAAATGCAGACGTGTTATCGCCATTGCGTTTACCTCCTGTCTGATATACCTATCGTACACATCGCTTGCTGGCAAGGCGGGGTCTGAGCGAGCTTGTTTCATCATGAAACACCGAAAAAAGGTAAAGAGAAAAAGAAAAAAAAAGAGACACAAAATAGAACCGGTATTAATACAAACAAAGAAGAGGATGAAGGCTCTGTATCCAATATTAGGAACCATCAAGGGCGTCACTGGCCACCAATCATCCGCAGTTCATTAACTAGTTAATAGTTAACTAAGGCATTACGATAGTTGCTGAGTCCCCTACTGCTTAGTCTATATCTACTTAACTATACGTGGATATAATAACAGGGTGGAAGGGGTTGGTGTTCGGGTCCATCATCATATGTAACCATTACAAGTACAGCAATTATAAACAACAAAACTCTTGTATAAACGCCAAATCAATTGCCTCTCTATAGTTAGATCATACCTGTTCGCAGTAGAACTGCCGCATTCCAGCCAACTCTCCAAATCGGTCACTCACCTTATATATCTTTCTGATGCTGTCGTCGCCGACTGAAACAATACCAGGACCCCACTGTTAAGATGGTCAAGGGGACAGCGAGTGCGACAAAAATCCAAAATCGATGCGAGATCTGGAAATTCCCAGCGGAGCCGTAACTAAAGAGGTTCATCCCAAGAAAGCTCTGTCTCGAACGTCAGAACGCCATGACTGGAGAACACTGTGGTTCCTTTGGTAGGTTCGGGCACTTACAGAAACAAAGCTGGCTGGCAGATATATTAAGGTCACCAGAGTCACGATCCGAATTGTGGCATTCCCATCTAAAGACTCGTCTGTGAGCTTGAGAAGTTTGTTGTTGAGACCGAGCATTTTGTTGTTAATGTCTATCGTTACAGCTTGGTTTTCCACAGTCAGGGTAACTGCTAGCTACATTCAGTCAAGGTTTGGTCATCAGCGCGCCCCGGCAACAACGTATAATTATCGAAAAGATGGTTCACGTAACGCACCAGATCCGAGATGGCCCGAACTTTTCGTTCCAGCACATTGACACTTTCCAGGTTTCCCTCAAGACACGTTATGTGATACGTTAGGTCATCCGCCACAGTCTGGAACTCTCTATCAGTTGAGAATCCCATGGAAATGAAGAGTGAATTGATCTTCTCCAAGCGGTGGAGTGTTGTCAACGCAACACCTAACCGAGATGTCAGCGAGGCGAGTTTATCTTCCAGGTACTGCTGTTTGAGTAGGTGGACGAATCTGTCCTTGTGGTCCTCTGTTCGGGGGTTTGACAGGTCCAGAGTAAGTGCTAGATTCACCTGGTATTATGTTAACCTGCGGGTCATGACTGGCCTCAATCTAGGGTTATAGAACACATACAGTCTTTTCGATCTCATCGCCTAGTGTTCGAATGTACCAGCGCCAATTGCCTAGGTAAGTGGAAAGAACAAGCAGATGCATAGAGAACCACCGTCCAAGAAGAGCTGCAGGGTCTGTCGATAGTATCTGTTCCATTCGACGCTGGAGGTTCGATTGAGCTTTTGCGTGAATCAAAATCCAGAGGTTCCCCCATCCCGACGGGTCATATCGATGAAACATGCAGACTTGGCGGATTCTCCACGAGGCTATTCCTCCTCTGTTATCATCTTCTGCATAGGTGAAGAGATACTGCATATCTAAAACGAATTAGCGCGAAATATGAAACCTAACTTAGGCTGAGTTGGGCAATACCATACCGCACACGCCATCTTCTTTCTGCTTCACCTTCATACCCCCATGGCCAGCATCAGAGCTCCGTGGCTTATCGCCAAACGACACCACAAGGTCCAAAAATGAAGTATCAATGTCGTATTGACTCATAAGCTTGCGCAAGGCCTGTTCGGTAATGCCTGAGGGCCGCAGAGAATTTTGACAGCATATTGACCTGGGAATTATCAGACTGGATGCCACTAGAAAGGGGTCAAAGGAAACCTGCACTATGCGGGCGGCTGGCTTCTGGGTGTTTGCGATATGGGATTCAAATATCTCGCTGTTGGTTAACGAATAAGCCTTCTCCTGGGGGGAACTGTCGAAAACATAGATATCGGACTTCTCTGGCTGAGAAGCAAAAGCAGGATAGCGGAGATATGCTCGTATTGACGCGTAGTAGTCAGATCCAAGACCTTCCATATCTTGTCCAGGGCCGATCGGAGGCGAAGAGGGAATATCAACACGAGGAGTCTCACAGTCCAGTTCGATAGGGACGGACATCATAGAGGAAAATTGTGGTTCCTGCATCGCCTGCCATAATCAGTATAGAAACGAACTGAATTTTGAGTTCTGTTATACTGAAACTTGGGTGCTCTGCCACACGGTGGCTTGGGAAGGCGGCCAACAAGGCATCGCACACAAGGCAACTTTGGAGGCTTGCTTAGGGCCAGGAATAAACCTCTGACACAGTGGCGCTGTTGAGGAGTGCTACGCGCTACGACACACAGTTCTTGCGATGACTAAATAGGACAAACTCAGTTTTTGTCTGCAACAGAAGCATACATACAAGCAAACTGCGGCTACAGAACCAAGTTACCACCGTCCAACATTCGCATTTCGCGGTCCTAATTCACACTGATCTATTGGCGAAGGTCACTACATCACCCGGCGGTCAGTAGGCGTGGGGCTGCATCGACTGAGGAATGAATGGAGGCGCATGCTAGAATGTCTTACGCAATTTCATTCTATGAGGAGGGCATGGCCCACAGATCAGCGTTTCTCGAACAAGACCCTCACCACGGGAGCTTACTCTAGTTACTTCTCTAGGCGCTTCGAAGCAGTATCGTCCATTAACATGCTTCATGGTATACAGCGTAAGCGAGAGGACAGTGTTTGAGAAAGGCAGTGCTGGGTTGAACTTCTATTACCCGAACTTTGATGGGATACCCGAATAACAAGCGCAGACGGGCCTCAAGCTTCTCTTTCAGAATGTAGCTTGTTTCGTCCTCGCTGATAACATTCCTGACTGTTTGGTTCATGATCATAGAAAGAAGCTTGGAAAGGTGCTAGTGGACGACAAGACGGACAGGCGAAGGATCTGGATTCCTGGGGAAATAGACCGACTGCCAGGTTGGCTGTGGGTCCAGTGACGAGAAACTGGAGTAGTGGAGTACGGCAAGAGCCGCCTGGGTTTCAACTGACAAGGCTGAGGAAAAAGAGGGGGCAAATGAGACGGGGCAAATGGGAGGGGCAAATGGGACGGTTATAGCACTGTTGATGCGGCTGAAGGGATGAATATCTATTCGCACAGCTCAGTCTCACCTCGGGGTCCCCGGGGACCAAGAATTTGCCCTGGTGGATTCCTGAGTGAGTGTTGATTCGTTGAGTTATACTATGTTTGCCCTCCTTGTCCTCGAAGTTAGCGGCGTTCTCTCGAGTCCCTCAATTGTGACTTGTCAAACGGACAACCTCTTGCCTCACGAGTCGAATTCTTTTCCAAGTCAAACAACCCGAACTGGCGAAATTTTACAGCCAATGAAACGTCAAAACGTCAGAAGAGCTATGGCGCCAGATGGGCTGAGAGCGTGCTAGAAGGGAAGGAACAGGCCTGAAGGGAATGTGAGTCAAGATTATACGGCTCGTACTGCAGCCTCGACTGCCCTGGCAAAGTAGAAAAATTATGCTCACAACGTAGATGACATGAATTGATTCTTTGTTGTTGAATCATAGGAAGAGAGTGGGTGGTTCAAAGCAGTGAGTCTGCCACCTCCTACCTAGTACCTACACTTATACGATCCCAACCTCCCCCGTAAGTCATCTGTAGTCTCCTTTCGTGAATTACTCAAAGAGCTAAGCCACATACAGGACCAAAAAGGTTTTTACTGTCCGAAGTTTTAGATGGCTTCGAATTTCGGTTACTATGAAGCTTGGCATCCCATTTCTACAATAAGCTGGGACGAGGAACTAAACACTGATTACGACTTTCCGCTAACCACCATAGGTAAATCAACAGTACTCGAGGTCGAAAGCGGGGAACGTCCATGGGCCATTGATCATATGCAGGGATCATTCCCCTAAGAAGAGGACCAGATTGTAGGCCCAGTGGTGAAGGCAATGGCCCTGGGCCAATTGTGCTGAGCTGGTTTCAGCCTTATTTCATAATCCTCAGCTTCTGCCGCCCGGGGATTGTCACTCTGTTTAGTGTAGTTGCTTTTTTTTTGGCAAATTATATATGGGATGGGGCATGGGAAAGTTCAAATCCCCAGAACTTCCTGAGGTTGAATTATAGTTGCACCATAAATTAGTCCCTTGTAGGCGGCTGGGACACCTATCCCAGACATGAATGGAACAGCTGGGCCCTATGCGGACCGACGGTGAGTGCATTTTTCTTCTATTATTTGCACTGAACTCTCGCCCAAGTTATACCAACGACTTCATTGATCCACCATGCGTCTGGCTTTTGCTAACCACGCTCATACCTAGCAACCCCAATCCGTTGAGGGAACGAACAAACGGCGAGCTTAGAGACGATGTCCACAGGTTTCACGGCGACCACAAACTGGAGAAGGTGGTCGATGTTAAGCTACTCATTAATGGAGCGCTCATAGCCCGGGATCCGTCTAACGTAGAAACGTGTGACCTGACCGTCCCCGAAAAGCTTGCCATAAAGTCGGAGCCGCGTTTAGGACTCTTTCAACAGACGAAGGAGCTCAAGGTAGTCATCCTTACTACTGCTTGCGCTGCGATTATCCAGTAAGCGAGTCTACAGGAATTTTATATATTCTAACCCCAGTCACTAACCCCCGTTGAAGAGGCTGGCAACAGTCAACCATCAATATCAGTTCCGATGGGTGGAAATGCGACCTTCTCGTCGACTCGAAAAACCCAGAACGTGGGATTCGCCTAGACACGTATCACAGCTACATCGCTTCTTTAACTGATGCAGCACCATGGATATCGGCAAGTATCATGTACGTCTTATTGCAGCTCCTGATATCATTCACCCACTAATGAGCCTGGCATACAGCGGGACATGGCTAAGTGATCCCTTACAAGAAACCAAATATGGCCGGCGCCCCGCCCTTTTTATAGCCGCAATACTCTGTGCAGCTTGTGCAATTGGTACGTTCAATTGCTGGAAGTGGTCTAGGCAATGAAAGCGGATAAAAGGATGTCACTCTAATCTACCGCGGTAGGGACCGCCCATTGTCCTACTTGGCAGACACTCCTGGCCTGTCGTCTCCTACTGGGGATTGGGGTACGTAAAGCTTACCGCGCACATATGAATATTGGATGACCGTTGGCTTCCATCAGATCGGAGCAAAAGCGTCTATTGCTCCTGTCTTTGCAGCGGAGGCAGCAGCAGAACACCTCCGAGGCCGCCTGCTGATGATGTGGCAACTATTTGACACGTTGTAAGTACTGGCCATGAGCTCCAGGCAACTCCCCGCTCATCTGTCCCACCACTGAACTATTTTCCAGTGGGATTTTCGTCGGGTTTGTCTGCTACTGGATCTTCGATCGCAGCTGGCGTGGGATTTTAGGGAGCGCTGCAGTGCCGGCATTGGCCCTCCTCGTTCTGGTATTTCTGTGCCCCGAGTCACCGCGGTTCCTCATACGGAAGCGCAACTACGCGAAAGCATTCATCAGTCTCCGTCAATTGCGAGGAACAGACATACAGGCTGCCAAAGACCTGTACTACATCCACAGTCAGCTGCAAATCGAAACCGAGCTGTTCCAGGGTCGGCGACCAGAGCAATGGTGGCGAGCAGATTTGTACCAGGACGAGGTCGAGTCACAAACATTCTTCCAGAGGGTTCGGGCTCTTTTTACGGTTCCGCGCAATCGTAGAGCCTGTCTAGCGGCATTCGTAGTGATGGCGGCCCAGCAGCTCTGTGGGGTGGGTATTCTATGCCAATGATGTCTACCTATGATATAGACCGTCATTCCGTTTCCGGCTGACAACAACCACAGATTAACGTCCTTGCATTTTATTCTTCGCACCTCTCTGATATTCTAACGTCTAGAAAGGATGAAAAGGGTCGCCAGCTCAAATGTACGCCTCCAGCAATGAATAACCGGGTCGCTTGGCTCAACTTCGGTAAGCGATACAGATCCCCAACGATCCTGTCTTCTCTACCCTGATACATGACTGGGAAACTGAAAACTGGCAGGGTTTGGCTTAGCCAATTTTTTATTTACGATCCCTGCCTATAAATTCATTGACTGGAGGGGTCGCCGGGTTCTTTTGTTGATCTCTCTCGGCGGAATGTTCTTTACTCTTCTTGCGATCTGTGGCTTTTTCCGTATTACAGGATCCGAAGAAGCACAAATAGGCCTAATAATCGCTTTCACGGTTATCGTTTTTACTCTCTTTTATGGCATTGGTGCCGGACCTGTCCCATTCACCTTCAGTGCCGAAGTGTTTCCCCTGGCTTTTCGAGGTAATTGCGTCGGCGCTCGATCAAACTGATAATACAACTCTGCTAATGACGACGATTGTAGAGGTTGGCATGAGCTTTAGCGTCATGGTCAATTTTCTCGGTCTGAGTATTTTGATCCTCTTCGTGCCGGCATTGGCCGCTGCATTCTCATCCAGCAATGACAAAAATCTCTTTGGCCAATCAAATCTTCTCTTCATCTTCGCGTACGTATCCCCTCGGTGTGTCATGAGCAATATAAAAGTACTTAATGACCTTTTTAGTGGCCTCAATGCACTGTCGTTTGTGCTTGTGTTCTTCCTAGTCAGTCCGCTGCAGAAAAGGGTAAATCGACTCTTCGCTAACATACCGGATCCCTAGGTCCCAAGTGGCACGGCGCAAATTACTCTGGAAGAGATGAATCATATCTGTATGCATGTCTTTGTGATCGAACTGAGTACGTATGTGCTAACTGGCTGTACAGTCAGTAGAAAGACCTCTGAGCATGCATTTGACCATCTTCCGGGGTTAGTAAAGAGGAGATGGCACCCACGAAGCCGCCAAGAACAAGGACGGGAAGATGAAGAGGGCGAGATGGGGATTTCACTGGGGACAATGACGAGGGCCGCTTGAAACAAAGACATTTCTCTGTGATCATGTCCATGAATCATGGTTACATGTTATAAATAGTGTGGAGACACGTCTCATGGTAAACCTGGTCAGGCCAGTGCAGCTGCTCTCAGTCTGGATGTAATAGAAAGTACCCGCAAGGCTTCCGAAAGGTAACTAGAGGTAGACAATCATCCCATAGCACTGAAGTCAGAAAATTGTTGTTGAAATAGTAAAGCGGCGGCACTCAAATGCAGGTCTTCCCAGTCAACCAACCATATCTGTCCATCAGCATCAAGGACAAGGTTTCGTGGAGTAGATTATCATTAAAGACAAATCTTGAGAAGCTTGATTGTATCATCGATCGGTAGGGCCAGCTTGCCTTGAACAGTGATCCTATCACGGCTACTCCTCTGTTCTCCTGCGCATGTGTAGCCCCATGAGACTTGAGATTTCTTTACTACAAAGTAAAATAAGTGCATATGCATGAAGTTAGTGAGATTTTAACATAAATCCATGGAGCTCTAATTGCATGATCATGTAGCAACTAACAGCACCTAGATCTAATACAATAGAATTAATTGAAGTGAACTCTGTTTAGTTGTCCAGCTGCATCCTTGTTTAGTGTCTATAGATATATGGTCCTGGATAATGACAGAGAGGCTTTTGCCGAAAAGAAAATGCCTCAATTTACACAGTACTATGTATGCATACCCCTTTTTACCGGAGATACTTGCTTTAGATTAAGAATATGCGTGCTAGGATAGACCTTAGCATAATCAAGCATTTAATTTGTGGTATTAGTGGATGGCTATAAATGGCTACTTCCCCCGCACAACCACATTATTGTCTACAATATTGTCTCATGACTCATACTATTAAATAGAGACTTATTCTGCCATCCCTTAACAATATATGCTTTGAACTTGGAGCTGCTCATTATAGCAACACTAATAGCCTGTTGCCTTCTTTACCCTTTCCCAATCCAGAACACCATGGCGTCTGCTGATAATGAAAGGCCTGCTCAAGGGCGCACAAGGCGCACAATCATTATAGTATGTGCCATCGGCAATATTATAAAGGATTTGTATTCATCTGCCTGGCTTCTTTCGCTTAAAAATTCTTTTTAGACCCGAGACCATCCCATTATATTTCCAGAAGAGAACCTGCCAACCTTCCTCCACACTATCCTGATCACCACCACAGCCTCAGGCCAGCAACAGCTCACCGAACCCTGCACAATACACCACTGGGACCATCCTAATACAGCTCTGAGCAGGTCTGTAATGATCCCAACTGGGTTATCTATAGATAGCGTCAGCTATATTGAGGGATTTCGCGAGCTAGGCCGTTTCAGACCGCCTCAGTCTCAGTGCTCCCCGCAGGAGATACATGACTATCTATCCTTACACATCCGGGAGACAGCTATTGCTCTGTGTGAAGCAGGTGATAATACTAAGAACCACCAGTTAGCAGTTCACCAACTAGTGAGGAGATTAGAGGGGCAGAGCGAAAATTCGACGATACAACAAGATGACACAGGTGATGCGCCATTAGATACAGAGAGGGAGGTGATGCTGTTCTGTGCGCAGGCGATTGGAAGCACTGCAGACATGCTTTTTGCCGACGAAGACAGTATTTGGAGATGGGAAAAACCCACAAGTGTGTATCACACAGGCATCAGAAGAGTGGGATGGGCAAGCACTGTTGATGAAGCTGTAGAGGGAGCAGCTTGGGCAGCAGGACGGAACTCTTCGCTTAGAGTTGAAGGGGTGGACAGAAAACAGAAGAATTTCTTGTTTAGAGAAGATGGGGCTTCATTGATTATTCCTCCAAAGTCCTTCAGGGAATAAGTGGTAGGATGCGGGGTACCTGATATTCTCTGCTTATTTTTCAGTCCACATATGCTATAGACATTGTCAATAGTGCTACGGAGTAGTTCGCCGTATAAACCTAGACTAAGTAGGCAGCTGAAACTTTATTTCCTTTTGCTCAAAGTAAGAGGCTACAGCATGAGGTGGTCTTACGCATGTAGCACAAGCACGCAATCAGAAGGCTTGATTTGATTGCTTTTTGGAGGATACTGTACGTAGAATGTGATGTGTAACATAAGTCGACTTCACAGTGCAGATCTGGACCCACCACAGATCATGTTTTCCCAGACCAATTTCAATAGATCTGCATCTGCATGAGAAAGTCTAAGAGCTATTCAATGCAGGTGGAGCTGTATGACGAGTCGATCGTCATAGGACTACCCCTCCTTGTTCGCAGAAATCAATATCATGCAAGTCCACGTACACCACCAATGATGAGCAATACGGAGTAGACCTATATACACTGTAAATTAGAATCCACCACGTAATGGCTAACATGCCGCCCAAATTTCAGAGCAAATGCAGGACAGTAAATTCTAGCTTAGGCAGAATAGCCCATCACTAGGCAGCTGACTTTGCACTCGATATTAGCTTTGTAAAGGTGGAACACTTGTAACAATTTTTTCGTACTCCTTTGTAGGCAATCGACTTATACTGACTTATTCGGACCCACGAATTCAACGTCAGTTTCCATCTCGACAATGTCGTCGCCTATGAAGAAGGTCATCGTCGTCGGAGCGGCCGGCCATCTCGGACCACATGTCGTGTCTGCTTTTGATACCGATCCTCACTTTGAAGTCTCCATTCTGAGCCGTCATTCATCTAAGTCCACATTCCCGCCTCATATCCCAGTCCACCGCGTCAGCGATAACTACGAGGAAACCGAGCTGGTCGAGATCTTTACCGGACAGGACGCAATCATTTGCACGATCGCATCGGAAGCCGTACACCAGCAAAAGGCCATGATAAATGCAGCTGTCAAGGCCGGTGTAAGCCACTTTGTGCCGTCCGAGTTTGGCCACGACACGCGAAACAACCAGGCGGCTGAGCTGTTCCCGCAATTCTACGCGGCAAAGAGACAGATAGTGGAGTACTTGAAGAGCAAGGAGGGGGATGGGCTTAAGTGGACAGCCTTCGTGACGGGCCCGTTCTTCGAGATGTAAGTGGACGGTCGCGCTGGAGATGCGCCTTGACGGAAAGAAATCTGACCCAACTAGAGCCGTTTCCAATTTCCTTGGGTTCGACATGGAAAGAAGGCACGCCACGATCCTCGACCATGGCACGAATCGTTGGTCTGCAACAACTCGCAGCACTATAGGACTTGCAGTCAAGAATGCGATTCTGAGTCCGGAAACGACCTCCAACAAGTACTTGTTTATTGAGTCATTCAATGTCTCGCAGATGGATATTCTCGCTTCTTTGGAAGATGTGACCGGAGCAAAGTGGGACGTAACCTACCATGATGCGGAAGAGGAAAAGCGGCTTGCCTTGGAGAAGCTAGCCAAGGGTAACTATAGCGGGATTCCCGCGCTCATGCGATATATAACGTGTGTCAAGGGGTATGGTGGGAACTACATGGACAGTGAAGAGAGCGCGAATAAGCTGCTGTCATTGCCAGGAGAAAGCTTGGATGAGGTTTTGGCCGGATTGACAAGGCATGAATGAGACTATCAAGATCATACTCTATTCTGGCAGCGCGAAGGGGACAGATCCACCTATTTCTATAGATATCTGGAAATTTATTGCATTATACTCGAAGCATCATAAGTGCAATCCCCACCAATGCAAAGAGCAGACTGCTCATTATCCACACCAGCCCGATCCATGCCCCGCTCAGTCTCAACCCAAGCGTGAATACATTTGTGAAACAGAGACTCCCCAACACACTTCCCACCGACTGTAATATCTCGATTGTTGAGAACAATCTTGCTGTTTTGTCCCTCTCTACCAAGGCTGTAGCCAGAGACCGTGCGACAATGGGGAAACCTCCTCCAGCCGCGTGCAGGCAAAGGCTTGGAACCAAAAAGATGATGTGCGGCGCAAGACCAACACCGAGTGATCCAACAGCCAGACAGATAATACTCATACGCGCGAGGTAAAGATCCCTTCTAAGCAGCGATAGGTAATGCAAAACGTGCGTTGAAAGATACGGAAGAAGGAACAGGTACACGGGGATGGTAGCAGCTGCGTGGAAGGATTTGAGGAGGTTGGCCTGTGCTAAGGTCCAGCTGAAGCTTGTAGAGATATACTGAGCCAAGTACGCAGTGGAACCCAGAGCGAGCTGGGAAATGGCAAAGGCGAAGAGTAGCAAAAGGACCCGGTGGTCGAAGATGAAAATGTCATGGTTGAGGAACCGTCGAATCTTCTCCAAGATGAGACGATGTCTCGACGGCTTCGGGAGAACCTTCGAGCTGGAGTGGGACTGTTCTTCATCGACAACCAAGCCGCCTATGCAGGAACCTGGCTCATCCCCTTGCACTGGTGATTTCCTCGTTACGCATTGGTTCATGGTCTCCGGTAAAAACAAAGCACAGCTCAGTCCGATAGTTACTATTCCACAACCGATCATCATCGGAATCCAAGGGTCAAAGGCCATGAGTTGCGCGCTTATGGCGCCGGCGAGGAAAGTAGCAATCTCACTGGTGACTCCAACCCGGAAGAAGAGTATCGCACGGTTTGAATCTGTCGTGGGATCGGCCAACATTGTCCATATCACCGCCATTGCAATAGCTGGTCCTCCCCCAATAGTCCAGCTCAGCGGTGCGAGCCAGATAGCCCTGAGAGGGAAGATATCAGAGAACCACAGTACGGAATTAGTGATGATTGCATTCATGAGAAATCCAAGAATGGTAAGACGAATGGCTCGCCTGCGTCCATATCGATCCGCCAATAGACCGTACGGGATAGCGCAGAGGACGCCTGTACCAAAGTCAGACAATGAGATACGCGGGCGGACAAGGACAAGGACATTGACACGAACAGAGTAGCCCCTCGAGGAAATCCTTATAACCCTTAACAGTTGTGACTTCCGCCTGCACCTCTTCTATCTTACATAGCTGCTCTGTTACATGGCCCGAAGGCGGGAGCCGGCTTGCGTCGTGTGCACGCCAATAGTCATCACAGACGATGGCTTCGATAATGCGTACCATAGGGCCTGGGATCATCTGACCTCCGATCTCAAAGGTGAGCATTATCGCAACCAGGGTAATCACCAGGCGATGACGGCTTTTTTTTGGTAAAACAGTGGCTGAGCTGGAATCAAATTCGAAAGGTCCATCTCCAGGCCCAGGCTGGATCCTGCGGCCTTCCAAAAGGATCGGAACATCTTCGCCACAGAGCTCTCGATCATCTTCTGGCGAAACAACATGCCCTACCATCTTGGATAGTCTAATAACAAAGGGAAACGAAAATTGTTAAGGGTTCATGGAAACACAGTTATGGCCTTTCATACGAGTACAGTACATTGGGTGAATGACGCATCCTGCAATATCTTGATCGGTTCGGCACATGGGGGTGGCAATCGAGGGGCTGGGTTGTGGATATGGAATGGCGGTGACTGGAATCCTTCATGCATGAATAGACCACATACTTCCAGCTGCCTTAAACAGTGAAAGATCTACACAAAGGCATTATATCAATTACATATCATTGAAGACAGTTCCCCACATGTCACATATTAGAGTTTGCTTTAGTCAAGTGTGATACATGCATGTTTTACTTTACGGAAACTATCGACACATTTTTGGGTCCAAAAGCAACTGGTTTACCCTTGATCAAGCAAAACTACTGTTTTAGTGTCTCTGCAATACTGGTCACATCTTAATTAATTCCCTGCGCCATGATGATGCACATGCATATCGCCGAGGCCTTCCTGCATATGATGCTGACCCAGCTTCTCACCCAGTTCCGTCTCTTGCTTCTTCCAAGGTGCAGGCCACACGAAAGCGTCCTTTGGAACCGGCATTTGGTCAAATTTGTCGGCATCAACGGCATTATTGCGTTGCCAGTCGGCCAGCGCATTGAAATCGCGACACTTGCGATTCACACTGAAGTCCGGCCACGGAGCCTGACGGTCTTCCACCCAGTTCAATGTCAAGAACTCTGTATTGGCATTGCATTGGATATTTTGCAGCAGGATATCAGTGCAGTGACCGAGGTGTATCCACCACATTTTGTCCTTCTCGTCTGACCCTGGCTCGTAGCCAGGGTAGTCGGCAAAAGCTGCTTTGCGCAGCAGGTTAAGGCAGTGGATTTGCTGCCCTCGATCAGTGTCTTGAATATCCTTGTAAGCTGAAAAAGTTACTTACATGCATCACATCCATCTGTACCATGTATGCATCATCGCCCATTCCCCAGTAGTTATTGTCGAAGCGAGCCACGGTTTCCGGGTCTTTGCCCAGCTTGAGGATTTGCTCGCGAGTGACGACGTGTGTCAGGACCTTTTCATACTGAGCCCACGCTGCGTCGTTCTCCACGCTGGGCTCTTCTCGTGCTATTGAAACCTCGGGCTTCGCGAAGAGTGTCCCGTTGAGCTTTGTCTCGAATCTCGGGATTTCAATGTCGTCGAGGATGGGTGCTTCAACGGATCAGCTACAGTTGAGACAATCAAACCCCAGCTAGACTTACACCACCATGAGATCGGCCTTAGGACAGCATTTTTCTCACTTGTCCGAAAGGTGCCTGTACTGAGGATCAAGGAAGCCGTGATGCTTAGGATGATGAGGTTTGCAACGGTAAAGTAGATCCAGGCATTTGAGGAAGCTGTTTTTCGTCCAACATGTCCGTTCCGAAGGAGATTCTCTGACTCGATGTCAGTATCATCGTCAGCCTCTGATTTGAGGTTTTTGTATTTGCGCTCCCCGACGAAGGGTTTGAAGATTTTTGAAAAGATCATGTCGGCTAGGACGCTCAAAAAGCCTCAATCCATGGTAAGAAGGAGAGGAAATGGCCTTCGGACTTTAAATCTAGTACGTGGGAACTTCTATGGACGACGTAAAAAGTACAGCGTGCATGGAACTCTATCAACGCAAAGTTGGAAACACAACATAGCCGAAGAGTGATCCGTGCCGTCGCCTATCACTACCTAAAGCGGTGTATGATCGTCAATGCAGATCCTGTTCGCACACTCCCGGCGAACCGCTTAGCAAACCCTGGTCGTGGCAAAATTGAGATTGATCTACACTCAATAGCTCTGCTGGAATTGAGTTCAACCTAGGTTAGGCCGATGTCATTAGAATTGACACAGGCCTTTGTCATTACTGGCTTATTCGACATGTACCCTGTCAGTAGCCTGTTGATCAATGACGTGGCACATGCAATGTATCTGCAGCCAACACAAGTATAGGCAAAAGCTAGACTGCGATAGATAGATCACATCATCATTCCATCAGCAGTAGTTCATGCCAATCCTTATCCACACAGAACATACTCGACAACAGTAGATCTATGGTAATCGAACCTGAAGGAAGCACAGTGGGGCTATAGTGTCGATCTCTTCGTACCCCCTCCCTTCTTCTAACCCCTGATAGGACGCCTCTTGTCGAGCAACAAGTGGAAAAGATGTTCAGCTTGTACTTCAGCTCAAGGCGCATTGCCTCATGCATGGGGACGCACAATGATGACGACTGAATGCTTCAGAGACTGAGTTACTTCCACCTGCAGAATGCAGCTAGAGCTTTTCGCTATGATGTGCCTATCGGAAGCCGTGATACTACAAGTCAGGTCAAAGGTGATGGGCTCACAAGCTGCTCACTTTATATAAAGCGCAACCAGTTTTCTACCCCGTCAAACCTTCTTCCATCATCCAGATACACTCTTCTGTTCTATCAATCCCTTAGTACCGCCTGATCTCATCATCAATATGCAGCTCTCTTACCTTTTGGCTCTCCTTGGAGCTTCCAAGATTGTCTGGGCCGCCCCTGTCTCCAATAATGACCAACTCGAATCAGCCTCCGACGATGTTGAAAAACGCTTCTACTACACAAATTACGATGCTGAGAAGCGTGATGAAGACCTCGACAAGCGGTTTTACTATACCAATTACGATGCTGAGAAGCGTGATGAAGACCTCGACAAGCGGTTTTACTATACCAATTACGATGCTGAGAAGCGTGATGAAGACCTCGATAAGCGGTTCTACTACACCAATTACGATGCTGAGAAGCGTAATGAAGACCTCGACAAGCGGTTCTACTACACCMATTACGWKSCTGAGAAGCGTRATGARGACCTCGAYAAGCGGTTCTACTACACCCATTACGTGCCTGAGAAGCGTGATGAGTGAGAAGTCACCATGAGCTGCGCTTAGCTACCAGTGCGGCCTGGAGGTTGAGCGCAATTTGAAACCCAGTGACATATCTGCCTGGGGCCCAAGCACCATGTTGCCACGCACTGAATGGGAATAGGGGGACAATGGTTGCTAGTTCATTATCGCCAACTGCAGTATTTGTTTGCTTGATTTTGTTGTGTACTTGGGTTGAGCAGTATTGAATGCAACATAAATGGATGTTATAAGCCTTCGTTAAGACTGGGTTCTATGGTCATTTCGACATCACAGGACCGCTCTCTTATGTGTCTTAGACATGAAAGTAGTCTTCAATGCGTGATTAGCTTCCCCTTATGTCTACTAGCATTTATGCTCTAATGTCTGACCTTAAAACAACGTAGATCATGCTATGATCGGCATAGGCTGATCTATCTCTACATCTTGGCCTGTCTCACAGCCAATGCATTCGTCAGAGACAAAATACTGTCTCGTTCCTCGGGGGTAAACTCCCGTCTATTAGGACCTCCGCGGCTGCCATCTCCTCCACTCCGGCTCTTCTCCCCAGTGAAGATGTCTTCCCGCGGACGGTCTTTGTACTCGGTATGGAACCTCCATTTCTCAGTCAGCTCCGGGGACAGTTGTCTCTGGAACGACTTGGCAATGTATTTTCCGATGTTAGGGAGGAATTTGAACGCACTGCATTGATGTTAGTATTTATCGCAAGGATTTGGTGGTGCACATACTGTCCGGTCCCGCCGGTAGCGACAAACAGATTACGATGGTCAGGGTGGTAGTCGAAGATAAAGTCTCCCGTTGGCGTCTCGTTATACCAGCACAGGCACGTCTTCTCAAAACCTCTTTCCACCAGCTGAGGTAGGATCTCTTTGAGGCCAGCAAGAAGTCTCTGCATGCCTTCCGCGGGGATAAAGTTTGCCCGCGCGGAGATCGCCCGACTTGGGGGTGAGGATATTTGCTGGTCCGATGATAATGTATATCCAAAACTGTGGCAGGCGACCTTGAGATATCCCGTCTTCTCGTGCGGTGGGAAGCTGAAGAATCCGGTCGAGAGATTAAAAATAATAGGCAGATCCTTGAGCGCCTTAACTTCCTGCGGTGTAAGCCGCACGAAGCCCACAATCTGTGCCGTCGCCACCATCGAATTCCACGAGGGAATCAGTCCAGCCGTCCATGCACCCGTCGCCAGGATAAACTTGTCTGCTGCAATCCGTCCCCCATCGGCCGTCTTGACTGCTGTAATGGTACCGTCCGAGCTCTTCTCCAGCTCCGTAACCTGGCCATGAGGACCCGTCACAAACGACACCCCAGCAGCAATGCACCGATCTCTCAGCCCTGCAATCGCAACACCTGCATCCGCCCACCCAGCGGCATTGTTGTAGAACCCCTCGAATCCCTCCCCGATCGGCGTCCCACTGACAGCGGGAAACCTCGCGTTCAACTCCGCCGCATCCGCCAACGCATGCCACTCGGCCCCCATCCTTGTCAGAATCTCCTTCGTCTTCCGGATGAAGTCCGAGCCCCCGACTTGAACGAGCCCAGCGGGACCCGTCCTCTGCGCCGTCCAGACACACGGCGTGCGGTGGAACGAGTCCGCATACTCAGGACTGGTGTTCCACAGATCGTACGCTTCCTTGCCGAGCTGCGCATATACAGGATCCCCGTAGTCGAAGCGGATTACGCGGGAGATATCGTTGCTTGACCCGTCGGGGACGGGAGGCATGTGTCTATCTAGCACTGTGATCGCGGTGAAGCCATCCTGGCTGAGGTTGAGGGCGGTGGACAGGCCGAAGACGCCTGCGCCGACGATGACGATGCGTTGGTTCTTGTCCATGGTGTATAGTTTCGATAGCAAGGATGGAATTCTTGCCAGGGACGATGATACTATTATGACTTGTGGTCTTCTCATTGGAGGTGGGGTGCAGGATAGGACGGTTCGGGCACAAAGCCGGACCGTCTTGGCACGGCTGGTGAGCCGGACCCACAGGAGCTACAGCTCTGCAGCTGTACAGCTGTTGTCCGGATTGCTCTCTTTGTATGGAGCGTCGGGTTATGCTTATCTGGGGGGTGGGGTTGGGGAGGATATCCCTGTGTAGT